GCGCGTGACGATAAAGGCGACTTTATTTCCCATTCTGCGCGCCAAATAGTGCGCGGGTCAGCACCCGATACAGACAGGCGCTTCCCTGAGCAGCCGGTCCGTGTTGATTAACGCCGGGGCTGCAGACGACAACAAAGTGTGCCAGACAGTGTAATATACGGTACGCTAAGGGAAAGCTCGAAGAAAACGATAAGAAATGTGTTGCGCATAAGATTGAACGCTTTTGTGTGTGGGGGGGGGGGGGGAAGGGGGGGTTTAACGTTCCAAAAAGATCCGAAAGCTGGCTGCCAGTATAGTTAGGATATGTGACGAGCTTGGTATCAAGTTCGGAACATCAGAAATGTGAAACATAAATAGAGCATCTTTAAGACGACGAGGACAAGCCAGGAATTAGCCATAACGACAGTTTCTCGTCGTCGTCGTCGTCGTCGTCGTCGTTGTTGTTGTTGTTGTTGTTGTTGTTGTTGTTGTTGTTGTTGTTGTTGTTGTTGTTGTTGTTGTTGTTGTTGTTGTTTGCAACCACCTTTGCGGATAGAGGTCGTACATGCGCGTATGTTAAGATTATGGCCCCGCTTGTTAGACTCAGAAAACCTATTAAGAAGTACTGAGGGGTAATTCTAGACGCCTAAAGCACCACAGGAAGAAATAATCACAGAGAAAGAGCGTCAACTCGCAACTGATTTATTTGCAGGAGAAACGCAGGAAATATATAGCCGCACACGCATGTGCAGAGCACACGTACTACTTCACCTAGTCACATGACCACAGACATAAACTGAGGACGTTCAACCGGCATATCTAATCAAGCAACGAAGCGCAAAAATCAACTCAGACTTGCGCAAGACGACTGACGTGTCACTTATACACAAGTCACCTTTTTTCTTTATCCAGAACGCTTCATTATTTCATGGGCCAGAGCATCTGGGCTTTTGGCGAGGACAGAAACGCTTGAAAACCTCGCCTCACAAGAACAGGAACGGCAATGCGCAGGCAAATGTGCTCCGGAATTATTTCGAAATGAAAGCTCATGTTCCCTAATTCTCACGTTCAAACACAAGTCCAGTTTGGCCGATGTAAACCCGGCCACAACTAAGTGGGATTAACTACACCTCACCCACTACGCAAACCACATACATCGAAGCGTGGATGGGGTGGACGTTCTTTTGAAGAACGTTCCAGCGAACGCATCTTCACCCTAAGGACCTACTAAGGCTGTTGTCACGCACTTTCGGAGGGACCATCTACAGCTCATGCAAGCCGACAAGGAAGGTGGTTTCGTGGTACTGGCAGCCAAAGCCTTTGGTGAGAAGGCTATTCAAGCTCTACAGAAGGACTTCGTACCAACGACGTCACAAGCAAGCAAGGTGAAGGCTAAAGCTATTCTGCTATGTAAAGATCTTGAACTTTTAAAAATTTCTAAGGCTATTAGCAACTCCAGGCAAGCAACCCTGTCAGTGTTCTTCAGTGCAAAAACACACAAGGTTGACATGCCTTTCAGGTGCATTGTGAGTGAACGTGACTCGTGGCAGTTGCATGTCAGTAAATTTTTACCCAAGCACCTCAGCACGGTTGAAGTCAGAGACCCGTTTGCAGTGAAGAACTCGAATGACGTGACGCAGACTCTGCACTGCCTTCAGGGTGGTGCGTATGGCTTTTCAGTCGATGTTGAAGACCTTTTCTATTCTGTGCCGCACTCGGAGCTATTCAAAATCGTTAGAACCTGTTTTGAAACGAACGGAGTTCTAGCGTTAGAGAGGGCCGCAGGCGTATCTCTAGATAACTTTATGACGTTGTTGGAATTTTATCTTACCTCAACCTTTGTATCACATGATGGCAATCTTTACGTTCAGCGACAAGGGATCTGCATTGGCTCTTGTGTCGCTCCAGTGCTGTGTAACATGTTCTTATCCTCCTTAGACACTGCTTTAGCTCAAGCAATTGACGATGCAAAGGTGCCGAAAGTCTTTCGGTACGTGGACGAATTTTTAGTCATTTTAAAGGCTAACCCTCTGACGACCACCACTATAGTTCAGTGGATGATATTCTAGCACTTTTCAGACAACATGCTAACGTCCTTTCGTTTACGCATAAGCTTCCCACTGACAATAAATTGCAGTTTTTAGAGTTGAGCATCATGTTCTCGGAGCGACACGTGTGCTGGGCGTATCATCCACGTTCGCGCAAAGAGCTTTTTTTTTACTTCTTGATGCAGGTCATTCTAAACTTGTAAAAAGAGTCATTGCAACCATGTGTCTCGAGGGAGCGCTAGTGAAATCTTGCCATCACAGGATGCAGGATAGCATCACTTGAATCAGGTTAGGCGGCTGCATTCAGCTGGCTATCCTAACACTGTCATTGTATCCGTTTCGGAAACCCTCCTTCAAAAGTTCAAGGGCAAACGAAAATGCAGGCAGCCGAGGGATAAACGACCTATGGTTGTTCCATATGTTCATAAGGTAGCGCACAACCTTAAGAACGTGGCGAGCAGGTACAATGTGTCTGCTGTTTTTTCTGCACCACGAAAGCTGGCTGCCCTATGCCCACGTATTTCTAAAACACCAAGCGCCTCCACCTGTGAAAAAATACACGCTTCGATGTATGTGGTTTGCGTATTGGGTGTGGTGTACTTAATCCCACTTAGTTGTGGCCGGGTTTACATCGGCCAAACTGGACTTGTGTTTGAACGTGAGAATTAGAGAACATGAGCTTTCAATGCGAAATAATTCCGGAGCACATTTGCCTGCGCATTGCCGTTCCTGTTCTTGTGAGGCGATGTTTTCAAGCGTTTCTGTTCTCGCCAAAAGCCCAGATGCTCTGGCCCATGAAATAATGGAAGCGTTCTGGATAAAGAAAAAAGGTGACTTGTGTATAAGTGACACGTCAGTCGTCTTGCGCAAGTTTGATTTTTGCGCTTCGTTGCTTGATTAGATATGCCGGTTGAACGTCCTCAGTTTATGTCTGTGGTCATGTGACTAGGTGAAGTAGTACGTGTGCTCTGCACATGCGTGTGCGGCTATATATTTCTTGCGTTTGTCTTGCAAATAAATCAGTTGCGAGTTGACGCTCTTTCTCTGTGATTATTTCTTCCTGTGGTGCTTTAGGCGTCTAGAATTACCCCTCAGTATGACGAACCAACTAGCCCAACAACAAGTACTTCTATTAAGAAGTGTAAATAATGAGCAGCGGTAAACTATCAAAGCTACGAATACATTTACTATAAAGCTATGCTTAGCGACAATATGTCAATATGGTTGATTTGGCGAGTTGGTGATACATGATTGTTTCGAAATGAGAGCGCAACTTAGACGCGGACAGAAAGACAGGGACAAGCTCTTACTACCAACTGAAAGTTTATTCAGAAAACTGTGAAATATATACTGACAGATGAAACAGTGTCAGCCACAAAATATAAATATTCACAAATACGGGTCAGCAAAGTCAACTGGAAAAGAGTTACTTTAAATTTTCGGTTGGGCGTAAGAAGAGACAATAAGAAATGTCAGAGAGCCAGTGCGTTAGTTATTTGGTGAACCGTTTGCACGACTTGACGTGCTGCCTAATTTCATTGCTTTGAAAAAGAAGGCGCATATACCACGAAATGACCTGTACGGTCAATAGTTCATTTTTCCCCGACTCTATCACAAGCGTTAAGGGGCATGATACCTAGATCGAAGTGTCTCGTATTAGTAATCGTACTGACAGTCCCGAGAACTTCGTTTTAAATGCGTCTGACTGCTAAACAGATAACGTTGCAGACACATTTATCACGATGCGTGCAACGTCAACAAATGACGATTATCCATTGTTATTTTGCAACTACTAACCGACGCATTCATATTATCCGGAGTTTCACGTCCCAAAACCACAGCATAATTATGGACGCCGTAGAGGAGAGCTTCGAAAAATCCAACTATTTTAAGTTTTTATAGCTGGAACAGGCATCTTGTAGTACACGGATGTCTGCCATATTTCACCTGCACAGAAAGCAACCGCCGCAACCAGGATCAAACGCGCGGCGCTTGGGCCAGTATAGAAGTGTAAACGGATAAGCGAGTTGTATAATGGTATATATTCAAGTTCAAACAAGAACAAAGAAAATGAACCGAAGGTCCAAATCAGTGTTACTTACAGCAGCCATGCGAAACCAACGAATATCAGAGAATTCGAGTGTGCGTCGTTTGTATAGATTCGCCCATTCAGCAACTTCTACCATCAAGCCCAGCCCCGCAGCGGTGGTTTAGTGGCTAAGGTACTCGGCTGCTGACCCGCAGGTCGCGGGATCGAATCCCGGCTGCGGCGGCTGCATTTCCGATGGAGGCGGAAATGTTGTAGGCCCGTGTGCTCAGATTCGGGTGCACGTTAAAGAACCCACGGTGGTCGAAATTCCCGGAGTCCTCCCCTACGGCGTCTCTCATAATCACATGGTGTTTTGGGACGTTAAACCCCACAAATCAAGCAATCATCATCTACCATCAAGCCCAGGGCATTCGCTTCAGTTGTCCGCAGTAGTGGTGTGCGGCTACAGTGCTCGGCTGATGACTCGGAAGTAGCGGGTGCGATCTCGGCCGTGGCGGTCGCATTTCGATGAAGGCGACACACTCGAGGCCCGTGTAGTTCGACGTCAGTGCGCGTTGAAGAACATCAGATGGTCAAAATTTCCCGGAGACCTCCGCTACGGTGTGTCTACGTACTGCATCGTGCTTTCGTCACGTAAAACCCCGCACGTTATATTTCGCTTCAGTTTACGCTCGACAGTCGTACTTCGCTCCTTCTATATGATGCGCCAAGCCGCGGCGTCCAGCCGCCGTTAAAGCAGCAGCGGAGGGAACGAGACCTCACTCGCCCATAAGGGCCCGTTATCTGGCTCAGGTGGACTCCGCTCTGCAGCCCGGCACGCAGCACAACGGCTGCCGACGGCGTTGTTTGCGCCACCGTGCCGTCGACACCTGAGAAAAAAAAACAATAAAAATTGCGGCGAGGAGGCGAGCTCCAAAGGTCCGCGAGAGAGATCGGCCGTTGAGGTGCCCCGCCTCGGAAGAGCTTAGATAAGGTCCCTGCGGGTCTGAATTCCTCGGCCCATTCGGAATACACCGCTGCGAGTCGTTGGCCAGGCGAACTCAAAAACCACACGAACGTAGACGAAAGAACAGCACTGAGAAGGCTTACGGGAATACTCCGATTTACGTTTGCAGCATCTCCTCGCCATGGAGTTCCTTGCAACGACGATTGTAGGTGAGTGCTCGAGAACGCGCTCTACGCCCTGCTCTGAACGTCGGGCGCCATTGTGGCTGCCTTTGACGTCCTCGAATGTAGACGTAATTTGCGAGGCCCCGTCTGGTATACGGCATTGTCGATTAAGAAATGCGCGGTCTTCATAACGTGAACCGCATAATTTCGTTTGTTTTTGTTATAAATAGAACTGGAAGGATGGACAACAGGAACGTTGATTAAGCACGTATGCACCAAACCATCTGCGTTTCATCTATCGGTGCGACCTAATTAGAACATCTTAATTACGATTCGGCCAGGTGTAGATTAATAAAGTAACAGCAGTTACTACAATGACAAGCGTTTTTTCTTTCCTTCGCTGCATGCATACTTTGTTCGCTTTGACGAAGGCGCGAACGAACAATGAAGTTCGCGTCACCGGGATATGATCACTATGACGCACTGCAATGTGAAAAAAAGAAAGAGAGAGAGAAGAACAAGAACATACCATTATCACTGTGCAATTTGAATGTATGTCTGACATATCCGATGAGACAATTCTGGACAGGTTAGACTCGCCAGCGACTCGAACGTCAAGTTTGCTTGTCGACGAGAAATATATGTCGCGAAGATTTTTTGCAGCGCAAGAGGATAGATAGGCTACTCATCGAGAATCTATAGAACACCTTAAGTTTCTGAAAAAAAGACATGTATATAACTGCCTTCACTTAGCATATAATTGCATAGAAGTGGTAATGCAAAAAAAAGGAAAAAAAGCAGACACGTTAGGCACGGCGGAAGCGTTTACTCACAATGCCTGAGATAAGGACTGAGGCGTGAATGCGTCAATGGCTTCCAGCGCTGTTAGTCATGCTTCTTCTAACGCATCCGTGTCGTTTTACATGATCTCGTTTTTCAGGTGTTATTGCCATTATCACTAAAGTTTCCGCCCAAGGTGCCGGTGGATACGACTTCAACGCCCAGAGCGAGGGACAGCTAAGCGGTGAGTTGGCGCAACTTTCCTGAATAGATGCTTATACTTTGATTACAAGAAGAACGACATTTATTGGGAGAACGGGTATGGCTTTATAGGAGCTACATGGGTGGGGCATCGTGACCAAGGCTCCACTGGCTTGTGCCGCCAGCCGGACGTAATCCAGAAGCGCTATAGTTGCACCTCCGGGTCGGAGCCAGCGAGGAGTGCCTTCCATTACTCCAAAGAGCCACGTTGCAAACAATTGAGGTTATTTGGCCTTTTATCGTAACCCCTTGAGATATGGTAGAGGGTCGATTCTGCTTTCGTTTCCCTGAGAAAATCAGGCCCTCCTGTCAAAACGTTGGAAGTAATAAATATTTTCGCACGTTCGTCCATTGTTTCTCAACGCACATATATATATATATATATATATATGTGTGTGTGTGTGTGTGTGTGTGTGTGTGTGTGTGTGTGTGTGTGTGTGTGTGTGTGTGTGTGTGTGTGTGTGTGTGTGTGTGTGTGTGTGTGCGCGCGCTTTTCGGGTAGAGGAAAGCATTGATGAATGACATTCGTTGGCATCGTTCGTTTTCTTCCTCATCGTATGATATATAATAGTTTTGTGAAAAATTTCGACATCCCGACGAGTGTCACCGAAGTTTGTGATAAAAGCACCAACTGCCTGGCTGGCAGTAAACGGAAATAGGCAGAAGGATGGGAGAATGAAAGTTACTTCATCTCTTTAGGCTAAAGGTCACATGAGTTTTGAATAGTGACAAAAGCCGCAATCGCAAGACTACATGCAATAAATATCGCGCCGAAATAACTTTTTCCACATTCAGTACGCTGGTTACACGTTTTTTTTTAACGGTACAACTAGAGCGCCTGCATAATATGAGTGGAACAATAATAAAATTAAACAACGTTTGGCGCCGTTCCCCGATTTCGAGGACAGATCATAACGCTTGTGTCCAGAATCCGACGCTATATATTCAGTATATATTATAGAGAGAGTAATCAGAACTGACACTGAATTTAAAAAGAAAAAAAGTCCCATGACTTTTCTTGCTCTGAGACGACTTGTAACAGAGTTACTACTTCTGGGTTACAGATTGATAAATAAGGTGACCGTAAGTTTTCTGGGGTGCCAGTACCAACCTGAGCGGACCCCCCAGGCTGATTTAGGGATCGTAACAGCCTCTACTCGGCCTTCTCAGGATATGTTCAACAATGTCCGTTTCACTCACTCTTAGGGTACAACGCCTGCTGCTACCATCGCAATCATGAAAAGGCGAATCGTAACGTGTTACTTGGGGATGCTAAAACTAATTACGTAGGAACACGCAATAATAAGCGGTGTTACATCATTCTTCATAACCTCAAACGATATTGAAAAGAAGTTAAAAGGCGACGGATCAATCGTTCTTCTAATAGAACACGCTGCACTGCACTAAACGTTCGGGTAAATACTTCGACAAAGGTCGGGAAATTGGGTTGCGGGAGTTTTGTGGGAGGCAAGATGCGTATGCTACCGATTTTTACACGTGTTTTCAAAGAAACGGCATTGGATAAGCCTATTCGTGGCTTTTCGTAGACTTGTAGCACTCCCAATATGCTCCCATGGTAGAGAACCAAGTACTCTGGATTGTTGAACATTTTTTTTTTCTAAACACAGACTTGTCCTGGGCTCGTTTAGCCATAATTTTTGTCAACAGGGCCTCATCAAGTGTAAGGTCCACGGGACGGCTTTGTGCTCTCTCATAGCAGAGTATCTATAGTACTCTAAATCATTACCCGCTTTTTTTTTTTCTAAATACAAACTGGCTTCGCTTAGGGGTGGCTCACTGCTCTACTATATATAGTTGATTGCGCAGTACTCAAAATCGTTAGACTTTTTTTCTAAACGCGCAGAAGGTCATTAGATTCGCATTTTACAGTATAGCACGTGTACTCCAAACCTGCTTGCGGCAGGGCGAAGCTTCGCGGCGTAAGCAAGTCGCATGCTTCCGCGGCGTAACATATATTCTAGTTTGTAAAACTATTATAATTAGCAGTGTTTAAGTCTATTGCGTTTGCTCGACACGTGCCGCGTCACAGCGATACACGGTGCGCTAATTACGATTCGCAGGCGCGTTAAATGCCTTTCATTATTGTATAAGTAACCGCCGGCAAGTGCGGTGGCGGAGCAACCAGCAAGCGATCGCCCGCTTTTGATCCGAACTCGCGCTTGCTACAATGGGCCGCTGTGGCGACACCAATAAATAACCTGTGGAATATGCTTTGCGCCATCTAACGCTGAGAATAAAGTTGATTGATTGATTGATATGTATACGGTTTAACGTCCCAAAACCACTATATGATTATGAGAGACGCCGTAGTGGAGGGCTCCGGAAATTTCGACCACCTGGGGTTCTTTAACGTGCACCCAAATCTGAGCACACGGGCCTACAACATTTCCGCCTCCATCGGAAATGCAGCCGCCGCAGCCGGGATTCGAACCCGCGACCTGCGGGTCAGCAGCCGAGTACCTTAGCCACTAGACCACCGCGGCGGGGCAAGCTGAGAATAAAGTATCGGGTATGTTTCGTCCTTTTATTGAGATCAGTAGTTCGTTCAGCCACGCCTTCCAATAATTGTCACCGAGAATTTGAGAATGAATTTTTAAAATAGCGTAAAATAGTTACGAATACATTGCTATCGAATTGAGCTTCAGGAGATGCAAACGCAAGCGTCCGTGTAGAAATTACGGATCATGCTGCGCATGACGGCGACTATTTAAGTTCAAGGCACAAGGAACCATTTCGACTAGTGCCGACATGTTGCTGTTGTTATTTATTTGTTCATTTATAAAATACTGCGGACAAAAAGTCCAAGCAGGGTGAGCAATATACCCACCATACACACTAAATAACCGAATGAAACAATGTTGTAAAGTGTTTTAGAGATTTTTGCTTATTTTTCGTTATAAGACGGAGGATTACGACTTTGGAAAAAAAAAACAGTACTGCCTTTACAGCCCACCGCGTGACGACACGCTTGGTACATGAATACATCGCGAAGACTTTCTGCTCTTTCCATGTAGGCTTATAGGAGCTTAGCAGCCACCACAGTGCTGCAACCAACCCCTGAGATGGCATACAGGTCCCGACCTCTTCAATCACGAACTTTTTTTCAACACTCAATAATGAACGTCTGCGCACAACTCTCATATATAGCAGTAAACTTTCTCGCTTTCTTTCTAACAATAGGCAATACGTGCGAATTCGTTAAAATAGCGAGTAAATATTTCAGAAATAAGAAAAAAATAAGGTATCAATATAGCTCTTAAATTCTACACTGATAAAATTAAAAGAAAAATCCACCAAGCTATACCTGAAAGCTGTTTCTAAACAGCGAAGCTGATAAGAAGGAACTCCTTCTGATTATGGGAACTCCTTCTGTATACGGAATGCCTGTAATTTTACCCAACTTTTAACAATTAAATTCTGAATCTGGTTCCCTTAGCCAGACAATGCGCGCGCCCACATCAATCGAGGAACCCTGTTCCGGCAACCCTTCCCACCATACCTCACTCAAGCCCCACCGACGCGCCACGTGACCAGCATCGCCGACAAAAGGTCGACTTAAGGCCTGACCACACGTACGCGCTGCAGCGCGCCAGCTTTGTGACGCGGCATTGCGCTTTCTTCTTATGGAGAGAGAGAGCGCGTGGTTACGCGAAACTGCGGGCCCTCTTTCTCGCCAAAAAGCCACACGATGACGCGCTGAAACGCATACGTGTGTCAGGCCTTACAGGGACCCTGCACCACTTTTTGAGCACAGTCAGAGAACGCTGACGATCGGTAGTAATATCTTCCGAGAACACGCGAGCCAAATCTTATAGCGCAGCACGCGGCCTGCATTCGCAATAAATTATCAAAGTCACCTAAAAATTGCTTTCTCTTCCCTTGACAAATCGCGGAATATGCCCCAGAATCTCACGTAGATGACCCATTTATCAGACATTGGCTGATTTGAACATGGCGCGCTCGGTTGTTACAGAAATCGCCGCGAGAGGCCGTCATTTGTCCTCAACCTCATTATTTAAAGGGAAAAAATAAATCGGGCGGTGGCATTAGCCACCGCCCGATCTAAAGGGTACAGCCATATTAAACCATCCATCCATTCGCGCGCGATCCCACTGAAAAAACCGCGTATTCGATGGAAAAAAAAAGAAAAAAGTGGTAGTGGTGGTAGTGGTTAGAAGATGAGAAAAGGCACCTAATTTCTGCAACCCGGTAAAAAAAAAGTGCTCAAAGTCACAAGGCGCACGCAACGTTTTTCGTTTGCCCCTCCCATCCCTCCCTGCTTAGCTTCCAGCACTTTCGTCGGGACGAGAGAAGAGAGAATGCGATTGCAGCGTGTGACATATCTTTGTAACTCCGTTGGTACTGGACGGATTTTTAAATTTTTTGCGGCGTTAAACTGGCGAGGCAATATGCTTTTCCAGTGGATTAATTCCGTGTTTACCATGACCCGTACGTCACGGGATCGAATCCTGGCTGCGGCGGCTGCATTTTCGATGGAGGCGAAAATGTTGTAGGCCCGTGTGCTCAGATTTGGGTGCACGTTAAAGAACCCCAAGTGGTCGGAATTTCCGGAGCCTTCCACTACGTCGTCTCTCATAATCATATAGTGGCTTTGGGACGTTAAACATCACACAATCAATCAATCAATTCCATGGTTACTCAAAAAAGAGTTTCAGGGCCCCGTTAAGAACAGCTTTGCTGTTTGAAAAAAAAAAAAAAACCAAAGCGCTTTCTTTTTCGTGTGTACGCGAACGAATGCAAACCGAGACCTATTACGAGACACAAAATTTTAGTCACTGATCTATTGTCTGAACATGCACGTGCATCCACCCAAATATTTAACTATATATTTTTCGCAAGCGGCTGTCTTTTCCGTGTGTCTTCGCCGTATGACTGGATTAAGTTCCAAAAAGGCTGAGGGCAAGTGCATCCCCACATTTTTTTTTACTTAGTTCCACCATGTAGCACTGCCGCACGAAAAATTCGCTGCTGCGCACGAGTTAAAGATTTGGGAAACTGTACTTTTTTTATCTCAATTATACCAGAATCATATTTAAGTGGTCACGGTACAGATCATCACCAACTTGGTTATTTCAACGCGTACAAAAAAATGATTTTGGTCTTTTTGGCGAGCCGCGGCTTGCCAAATACTGTATATAACTTGCTAAGAGCAACGCTTTCCTTTCTTTAAACGCCTACGACGAAGATGGGTCTTGGACCGACAAACGTGAGGACGTCTTTTTGTCGTGTGCCGGGGCGTGCCGCCGACTTTGACACCGATCAGAAACGTTTCTGTGCGCACGGGACGCCTCATGTATCTACAGTTTTCATCATATCATCCTATGTATAGCGCATCCAGAACGAGACAGAGCAGACGAATCACACACACACACACACACACACACACACACACACACACACACACACACACACACACACACACACGCACAGCGCTAACTTTCAACAATGTGGTTTATTCCGAAAATCAACGGTAGGTATAATAACCTAACCCGGTGCGTGACAAGCCACGTACGTGCACTCAAACAAACAATCGTATATATAAAACAAATCAAGTGAACTCAAATATGCTATTTCTTTAGCCGATAATGATACAGAGGCTTTACTAATGCAACCAAACTTGGCGATGAATTGCGCTTCCATAATTAGCCTTGCCTTCTACTCGGTCCCATCCATAATCGCTTTACATCGTATGATATATGGATAACCAAGAAGGCATTCGTGCAACCTTAGCTGTTTTCGTCGTCATAGCGACGCGCGCGATCCTTCACTCTGGAGAGCCCCGAAGCTCGGCGAAATACGACCGAACGACTTGAAATCCGCGGTGTTACAGTGACGTACCAGCGATAGGATTTCGGCGCGAAATTCAGAAAGAGGCTTTGACCTTCATTTTGACTTCTAATCACGAACACATGATCGTGAATTCATCAACCTCAAAGTTTTCGAAAATTAACGTAGCACGCTAAGTTCATTTAGTGCTTCACCTTATTATCTCTCTGAAAATGGGACAGTTCCTATGGGACAAACTAGCTTCGCGACATTTCAAGCTCACGACAAAATATTCTGCAGCATTTCGTCAAATCTTTCATATTGGTCTGAATCTGTTTTTTCTACGTGCAGGCCATCTATCTCCTCTGCAAGTGGCCGGAATTTCGATGGTGGTCGTCGCATGCCTTGGCGCTGCGGTCGTGTCCATGTTCTTCTGCTACTACATCTACAAGAAGAACAAGGAGAACACGGCCTTGCCGAGATACTAAACTACGTCGAAAGCCGTTGGCTGATGTGAAAATGCTTCGATGTACATAGACAAAAATAACTGCATTATCATGCTTATCATTCATCACTTGGTTTTCTTATCATTTCTTTTTTCACCTAGATAACAAATAAAGCTTCTTTTATAACCTTTGGTTGGCTGAACTTGAAATGGCAACGGACGTCGATCAATGCGCACAATAAGTGCGTACACTAAACCAGTTTACATTGTGAAGTGTGCTTTACCGTGCCTATAACTAACACCCTACTATAACGGTGTTTTGGCAAAGCAAAGCACACATGTCATGAGTGTTTTGGTGTTTCAAACACCATCATCACAGAGTATTAGTTATAGGCACAGAACGCACCCCTAAGGGTGCCAACTGATTTACAGTGTACCTGCACATCCAACATCAAGCATTGATGCAGTGCATGTGAAACGCAAAATCTTGTCAGTCATAAAAGTTATAATTCGACAAGGACCTCAATATCTACCAAGTGTGTTTCATGTGACAAAACAACCACGCCGTCATTATTAGTAACGCCGTACGGTGAAGAAAACTTCTAACGATTTTGTGTTTACTCTCCAATAAAATATCGCCGCCGCCGGAAGCGGGAATCAAATAATAATAATAATAATAATAATAATAATAATAATAATAATAATAATAATAATAATAATAATCAACCATACAATTTACAGCATGGAGCGCCGCCCCACTCCCCCATTTTCTCTCCCAGTTAACTTGTCTAGGATGTCCTGCCAGTAAAAAACTTCTGGCGCCGCCTCTGCACAAGCTCACTTCCCACGGATTATCCATGGGTGAATGCAATATATATATATATATATATATATATATATATATATATATATATATATATATATATATATATATATATATATATATATATATATATATATATATATATATATATATATATATATATATATGTATGTAGCCTGCCACAGCCCATAAACTCTATGGTCGCAGCGAAAAATTAGCCTGAGTCTACGGCGTTCTGTACGGCCTCCGAGATGGCTATGTTTCATAATTGTCATAAAGTTTCACACAATGATATTGTATGAAACTCTATGAAAATCGTACTGTCGCAAGGTGGCATTAACTCTGCGGTTGTGTTCATTCCGTATATATTTTTGGGAACTGCTTGCCTCCACGACGGCATCGTGGCTGCTATGTTTATGTACACTGTAGTTTAGGTTGCGCGTATTTTTTTTTTTATTTACAGCGCCATCATCAGCAGCGAAGCCGCACCAATCGACCCAAGTCGAAGCTCAAGCCGAAGAAAAATCCAAGCGAATTCGTGGCTGTTGGCCGACGGGTGCCTGCGTTTATATCGTTCCCATGTTTTCTCGATAAATAATGACGAATGGTAAGTATTTGTCTCGTCTATATGTAATCCAGTATCTTCACCTTTCGAAAGGTATTCGCTCGCACACATACACGAATTGTGCGTAAACGTTATTTACACCAAAGCTTTCCAGTTACGCGACGTGTTATGCACGACGATAGTTATAGCGCGAGAACAAAACGACGACACAGAGACAAGAAGGACACGAAAGACCTTCTTGTCTCTGTGTCGTCGTTTTGTTCTCGCGCTATAACTATCGTCATGCCATACCAACTAGCCCAAGCTGCCACACTTCTAAGTGTTAGGCACGCAGTGTTATTTCCACAATCAAATGGTGCTAGCTTTCTCACGCAGCAGCGCGCAACAAGATTTTGGCGTCATATACCAATTGATAGTGACACGAAATTTCATTAAGCTTTTGAAGACTGTCTTTGTAGTTTACCTTCCGAATTTCGTTTTGTCTATGCAGCGATGTTTCGCTCAATTGTTGGCATGCATAACTTGTCGGCTCCAGCACCCGTGATAATATTTACATCCTTGCAGCGTACACCTTTGATGGCCTGGTGGTTTTTGGACTCTTGGTGATTTGCACCTGCGCTTATATGCGCAGAGTTCCCCGGCTGAAGCAGTGGTTTCTGTCAGAGAAGAAGGGATTTTGGGGCGTGTTTTACAAAGGTGAGAGTAAAGTTGGCAAACTATAGTTACAAATGAAACAAGACATGCCAATTGGTAATGAGAATATCTTGATTTTTTTAAGGTTACGATGGAAGCAGAAACAATACTTAAGTATAGATCGTTTGCCTGACAGGCATTGACTGATTGGTGCAACTTTTTCTTGAAATAGGGTTTGTAGATGTCTTGAAAACATTCAGCAGCTGTGGTATGGTACTTTGAAAACTGCTACGAACAAAGCAAAGATATTTGACGTTCTGAGTGTTTAGCGCAACGCAGAGTAAAAGGAATACGTCAGGCTTTTTGTTTCTCATCCTTGTGCTGGCGACCATGATCAAGAGAATTTGCCAACGTTAGTTTCACACACCTTTTATGTCGCAAATGCAGTGTCAGAGGAGCTGTTTAATTTTCGAAATCATTCAGCTCTGCAGGAAGGAAATGCACAAATGCTAAGTTATCACATTGGTGTATGTAAAAATATGCAATTTAAAATTGGTCGAACAGCAAAAGGCTCAAACCTGGGCCAATATTTCGGCTAGAAACATTAAACAGAGTCGAGGTGATATAATCATTTTAGTCAAATCCTCAATCCTCCTGTCCTATGTCAGTGGTAATAGCAGTACTCATTAGTGTTGTCACTGTGACCACTCAATTGGGAGTGGTCTAACATAATGATGGCAACCGTAGCTGTGGCATTGCATGTACATGTTTGCTTCAGCTACAGGAGGTGCGGGGTTCAATACCCAGTGCCGGCCGGCCACCCACTGGTTTATAAACAGAGTAAAGGCGGGCTTCAAGGGGCTGTGGTGAAGCTTACTTGCCCATTGGTGAAGCTTACTCTGCCTGGATGACTCCCAACCCGTTGCGCAGGAACCCGGTAACATAATGATGGTAGAATTTACACAATATGAACGTTTGCACATTATATAAAGCATTAGCTCACTTCTTAGTTGTTGCAGTCTGCTCTGTTCAGACTGATGTATGCCAGGAATTCACGTGGAAGCACATATAGCAGGAACACCAGTGCACTAGTCCACAGCCATCAAGTGAGCTGCAGAGCCTAAAACACCCTTCTCACTTCATTCGCCTCAGCGGAGCATAAGGGCATGTTGACAGAAACTCTTCACCTCGTAGCCACGCTGATAGCACCACGGCAACATCTCTGCATCACCCACTTATCGAAAATGTGAAATCTATGCAGTTTCCCGCACTGTCTTGGCACAAATTCTCTGCAGAGCACAAGCAATTAACTTCTGTTAGCCCCTGCTTAAAAAGAGCAGGTTTGCAGGAATAAGTTTCATTGTCAAATGTTGGTTCCACCCTTTTAAGCCACTGTTGACCACTAGTTATGTTGCTGTATTGTCAGACTTTAGCCAAGGGACATCTTTTACACGCCTGTGTTTTCCACGTCCCTCACTTTAGGTATGTCTCTCTTTTTCCACATTTTCTAGCATCCGTCATAGGCACAAGACTGCACTTCTTCGTCTCTCTGAGCTGCGTCCTGGCTGGCTGTTACCTGCTCTTCATTAAGTGATCAACGAGGAATTGACTGCCAAGAAGATGCTTCTCTTTTGCCCAACCTGCTCCAACATCCTCATCGTGCAGGACAGCGGCAGCTGCTATCGGTTTGCTTGCAACACATGCCCGTACGTACACAACATCATGCAGAAGATGTCAAACCGCAAGTACCCACGGCTCAAGGATGTTGATGATGTGCTCGGAGGCGCAGCTGCATGGGAGAATGTGGATTCAACCGAAGAAAAATGCCCCAAGTGCAGCCACGAACGTGCCTATTTCATGCAGATTCAGACACGGTCGGCCGATGAGCCCATGACTACGTTCTACAAGTGCTGCAGCCCCCAGTGTGGGCATCAGTGGAGAGACTGACCACCTTCTGTTTCTCTTTTCCTTATGAAAGGCTGCGGGCATGCAGCAGCAATCGGGTTTTTCTACGGTGCGTTTTGCTTGGAAAACAAAATGAACATCACACACTTATGTGTACAAATGCATGCTTTTCAAACACAAAAGATTGGGTGTTATATATTGTTGAATCCTATTGTACCGTAAAAATAGATTTGTGTTGCAGTTCCCTTCTCCTTTGAAGCGATGTAACTTTACTTTGGTTTGTACGATGTTACTGTAAATAAAATTTACGAGAAAGTACCCCTTTGCCTTTGGCAGACAACGCACTTGGCATTGTCTTTGTGATTATGCTATTTCGGCAACTTACGGGGCTATAATTATCGTGGAAAAGAAAATCTGTTCTTACTTTCAAAACATTTTAATGCATTGCATTTCCCCTGTGTCTGTCCATATATCTCCTTTTATCTGTTGCATGTAACATGCTTCTTATAAGCTTTGTTAATTTGTAGAGCAGTCTGCATTACAGTGCTTGATTTGAGGTGTTTCTGAATAGCGAAGTCTGAAACCGATATGAATATGAATCAGATATGAATATGAATCAAATACTATTGGAATAGTTTTCAAATATTAAGGCACTCTCTTCAAGGCCACCCTGCACTGTTAATGTAACCATTTTCGAAACCATTGAATAATATATTATTACAACAGTTTATTCGGAAAAAACATTTATGTTTTAACAAAGGCGCATTAAGATTAGCTTTAACTAGTACAAAGGTCACTTTTTTATAAACTGAAACAGGCCTGTATTTCATACTAATAACATAACTCTTCAGTCACTTATAGTCCAAAGTTTCTAATTAAACAGAACTTGAAAACTGTAAACTGACCCGACGTTTAAAGACCGGTTCGGTCCCTTTTTCAGGGCTGACTGTTTGGCTGGCTCTACCGCTAGTCATTTTTCTTGATGGTGTCGCCTTCTCCATCATCCTTCTTTCCGCCTTTGTTGTTGCTGCGGTGTTTTTTCCACTGGTTCTGTAGACCGTGCACGTATACACTGGGTAAGGTTCCAGTTGAGTGGTTAACACTTCCAGATGTTGTTGAATATGCCAGGACTCTTAAGAACTGTCTTTTTGTGTGGCTAGCTTCTGTTTCGACGACCCAGGCGTTGTCGAAACTGATGCGGTGGTTCATCTTTTTGCTGTGTTCTGCGAGAGGGTTTCATGCTGCGTTAAAGCTACGCACGTCGTTTCGATGTATCCTCTCTGGGAAGTTTTTTGTCTCACCAATGTAAGTACCGTGACAGCCTGTGCATGGAATTTCGTTGACCAGCTTGGGAAATCTTTCTAACCTCAGTCTGTTTTTTGGTCGCGGCAAGAATCACCCAATTGTTGAGACAAGTTTGTGTGTCACCTGAATGCCTTTCTTCCCCAGCACCCTAGATAGTTGACTGCTTGCTGATTCCCAGAACTATGGGACTGAGATGTGGTATAAATGTCAGGTCAGTTAACAGTTTTCACATTTTATTTGAGTAGAAACTTTGGACTATAAGTTGACCGGAGAGTCTATGTTATTAGTGTGACAGTTAAGACAGTTTTCTGTGAAAAATGTTCACCTTTAAAACTATTTTGTAAGTGCAGGCTGAGATACAGAACGGACTACAGCATTCAAGGTGGCACTTTTCAATAGCTATTAAATAAAACTGGAAAATATTAAACACTATTCATGAGTAAACATAACGAATGTTATTATGAGGTTCGGCATTCCGAATATGACCTCTTCAAGTACCGAATCAAATAGAACGTTATTAGAAGTATTCGCACACTCGCACACCCCTAGTTGATTCTTGTGTGCATGTGTGTGTTTAATCTTATAACAAGCCGCTGTCTAGTGCAAGCACATAGTAGGGGTAAGCTAGTTATTCGCAGGCTTTGGTCAAAATTGAATGCTCAATACATCAAGCAAATCACTTGCGAATCGTAGTACCACCGATTATGAGCGTCGGCAGGGGGGGGGGGGTGCAAAGGGGCACTTGCCCCCTCGACCCACGCCAGCACATGCCCTAACTCATGGAAAAAATATATATATATCGGGAGGGGGGGGGGGGGGGGGGACGGTCTTTGTGTGCCACTCCCTGGCTACGCCCCTGCACAGAACAACGTCGTGGTGTCGCGTGGCAGCCAAGCGCTCCGCCCGCCAAATGCGGGCTAAAAGCGGCCGGCACGCGGCGTTCCTCTGGCTACCTTGACTGAAACTTTTCAACGGGGAAAGTACGGACGGAAATAAGAACACGGCTGAAAGTTATCTGCGCCCCGAGGCGTTTCACTATGTTGCGCAACTAGCGTGCGTGAACAGGGATCTGACAACGGAACTGTGACATTCATAAGCGCCGTGGCAGTGTCATCCTCTCCCATGGATCGGATGGATTAAGCGCCAAAACCGCCGCGATCACAACTGTTGCGTGCAGTATAGTGACAGCTGTTGCCGTGCGCGCCGATGAGTTCCCATCGCTCGCTGAGCTCCGCCAAGCGCGGTATGGCGTGCGCGAGTAGTCAACAGGTGAAATACATATACGAGCTGCCCTACGCTCAGCGGAACAAGCTGTGCAGACTGTTAGACGCCGGCGGACGCTGGAAGGAACTGGGTAAGCAGACATTGTCCGCTTTGTAACGTCGCCACAGCATGTGTTGACGCTGTTGCAGTGGTCGCTGCATGCGAAACCGCCTCCCGTGTAGATTATTTTGATCGATCCGATAAACCCATCCAAGTGGTTCAATCGACAGCTCTTGTAGAAAGCCTGCCACGCCAGAATTTTGCCTGCTTAACAAGTGCGTCCGACAACAAAACAGTGATATATAGTCGCGTGTATTGCATATCATTTTGACATAGGTCGCGCAATCCCTTATTTTGGTCCACTGTAAGCTTGGCTAATTTTAGAGGCATAGAAACCATTGCGCGGGGTTCGACAGCTGTCTTCGGAGATGCTTCGAACTTTCCTTCCTGGGCGACTCAAGAGGTGACTCAAGTTGACAGCTAATTTTGCAAGTTCAGCAAATACACATTTAGATCGACTATCAAACTTATTTCATTTTAACCAGCTGCAACTGAACGTCCAAAGACATGATGTATATATTATTTGCTCGAATCGATAAACCACGTAGTTGTAAAACTACATTGAACTTTCTGAAGCTGAGCTGGAACATGTGCAAACACACAAATTTCTAGTGTGGTTTAAAATAGGTATCTCATTGAATACTTATGTTATTAACCTTACGGTCGATCTGAGCAAAATTACAGGTTGCTTCTTCGAAATCTGCAGTACTGTACCCATGTGGTTAAGAAAATGCTATACTATTCTCTATTTTACTCCAGGTTTTCGTGCTATATACCACACTAGTATGGGGCATTACATATACCCAGAATTATAAGAAACTCGTATTACGAAAAAGGATGCAGAGATTTTTTGAAAATTATCATGGGTAGCTGCAACACATGAGTGCAGAACCCTTACGAAATATGACCTACTAAATGCCTCCCAGATCTACTACTTCAAATTGTTACGAAAAATGAAAGTTAATAAACTGTTTGATGCACATGAGTCGGAATTGCAAATTCACTATTCACAACATAAGACAATTATTCGAACCAGCGTACGAGAGCCCACTACCGCAGACAACACATTACTTACCCTATCTCGACATTGCTAAATCGTTCATCGTACAGGATTAACTAAATTCACTACACTTACTGAGAGTTTGTTCAAGTCATTGTTAATCAAAACAAAACTGAATATAGCAGACTTCTTTCAATTCTACATATGTTCTCAAGTGTGCTATTACTGAAGTGCTAGTGATACTCGCATCATATTTATCAACGACATTTTGCATAACTTTTTTCAGGCAGCCTAATGACCTAAAAGCTCCTGATGTTTATAGTTGTGATTTCACATTTGATTTTCCCAATTCAATCTTTTTTTCTGCTTAATATACTGATATTTCTTTGTGTAATGTGTATTGATGTGATCTTATTCAGCCTATCTATTACAGTAATGCGAATTGGGCATTGTGTTCAACTTTTGCATTAATGTATTATTGCTGCATGTGTACTGATATTGCCATTCTTTTGTATTATAAGATTGTAATGTTCTACATTTTTGTACTGGTGCACATAATCTGTCCAATGCAGCCAAATCTGTGCATGTAGCAGGAGCCTCCCTCATGCTTTTGCCTGTTGCTCATGCCACTGTTTCTGTAATGTTACAGAAATTAAGTATTTTTCTTTATTTGCTTTAGCATCGTAACGCAACTGAGTTTTGTAGCACCGCTGCCCACCTAGCATCGTTCTGTGGCCTTGGAAGCTTTAGTTTACACTATGCACACGTGTTACAAGTCACAGAGGTATATATTTACGTCCTGTTGCAGGTTTCAACTTTATGCACATGGACCAAATAAGCATGAGCCTTATGGAACAAGCCATCCTAAGAAAAGAAAGCCCAACCGACGAACTTTTGCACAAGTGGGGTGAAAAAAATGGCACGGTGAATCAGCTGTTTGTTTTTTTATACAAAATGAGGCACATGCAGGCAATGCTCATAATCGTGGACTTTGGTGAGTCTGGTTCTTGGACAGCATTATTTCAGTGCTCAAAGCTGTAGTCATTAAGTCGTGAATTATTCGATGATAAAAGTTAGAACATAATACAAGGGAACGATGTGAGATTATAAACAAACGGATATGCCACAAACTGGGTGCAATCCCGAAGAGTGCCATTTCCAATAAAAAGGGAAAGAAGCTCAACAGCACACACTAGATTAGAAGAATACGGATTGTACACTCATCAACAGCATTCATAAGTACTCCCAAGATCTGGTTGAACTACACACCAATTTGAAGAGTTGCACAAACAGGATGGCAGGCCAACCACATCCATGTGGGACAGAATTTTCAATGGGATTATTCACGGCACTCGTGGATAGCCAGAAATACAAAATGTGACATAACATTTTAAACACCAAAATCAGTGTTTTCCATACTTTTGTCCCAAAACACCAAAATCAGTGTTTCGCATACTTTTGTCCCACAGTTTTTGTCTTACAACAATCAAGCACTTCAGTGCAGGTCAGTGGAGAGACCTCAGCACAGTTGCTAGCCTTGTAATACTTAAAATGTATACCAGCTTTGAATGACAACTTTGTCCTAAATCAATCAATAAATGTAGCACAAATTGTTAGTTATCAAAGAAGTTCAGTTTGATCATGCTATATGTCATGCTCATTTACTGAGCAAACTAGCCTCTTCATCTCTACTGTATCATCCAGATGACTGAAAGCTTTTACTGAAGCATCCGGCATATCTAATCTGTCTCATCAGAATAAATTAAATGCATAAGAACTAATTGTACAATTATTTATGGTGCATATTTGATAAAGTTTTATTTCACCTTAGCGTATGTGTGCTCTTTGACAGTAAGCCCAAAGTACCATTACCTCCTGGATAGAGAGGAAAAGACCCAGTTGGATAGCGCACTTCTGAGCAGCGGCAGCAACCTGTACCTTCACTCATCTCCGATGCTCAAGGGCACTGCACCGCCACCTGATGTATGAAAGAAGTTTGATTCTTCTGTCATGAAAGTCCTTTGTTATCAGTGTGAACTGCTTTGAGCTCTTGGTTATGGTCAGCTCGTCTGCGAAATTGCAAACTTGTGCACTTTCACTGAAGCCAATGAAAATGTGTTACTTACATTAATAAGAACTTTTAATGAAAATCAGCAGATAGGAAAGTGAAGGAAGGCACAGGGAATGTTAATTGTACTGTTTCAAATGTCTTATAATAACTGTGGTTTAGGTGTAAAGAAAGCAAAGCGAATGAAGAGACAACTTGCCGCCGGCAGAGACCGAACCTGTGAGAACTTGTAGTTCACTGTCTGGTGTGGTTGAGCAGTGGTTATAGTGCTCGGCTGCTCACCCGAAAGTCGCGAGTTCAATATTAAAGTGCTTATTTGGGTCGGTCAGTACATGATCAACGAAGCAAAAAACGAAGCAAAAAATAGCGCCAGAACACAAGACTGTGAAAGAGACCAATTAGAAAGAGTCCGCTTTGTCTGTGTCTTTCACTCTCTTGTGTTTTCTCGCTGTTTTTCGCTTTGTTGATCACGAGTTCAATCGCAACTATTGTGGTCACATTTTGGTGAAGGCGAGAGGCCCATGTACTGTGCGATGTCGGTGCACATTAAAGAACACCAGATGATCAAAATTTTCCAGAGCCTACCGTTAGAGCTTTTCTGATAATCACGTTCTAGTTTTTTAACGTAAGGCCCCATATATTATTATAATTACTTGTAGTTTACTGTTAATTCTTGATGAAAGGCAATCATATTTATAGTCACTTAAACACTTTCTTATGTAACAAAATACAATGAGAAAAACTAATTCATATGCACAAGTGCAACAAAAGGTGGCCATGATGTGGTTACCACAAAATTCTTTATATGCTTCAAGCTGTGCTTCATTTGCTGAGCATGTTTAACTATTGTGAAAGGGGCCCTGAAACGGTTTTGGCAATTTTGTACAAAGACATTGGGCTGGTAGACCAAGTCCCGAAGGTTATTCAGAGATCGATTTAAGCTCTCTGCGTAAACTGTAATTTATTACAACACTTCGAAGCTGCGAAGTGCTGCAGATCAATGCAGATTGTTGTCACGCCGTCAAACGTGTTTTCAACCACCCATTTACATGGCGACATGCTCTGGCCACTTGACGATGCCAGAGCACATCAGCAGCCATGTCACTGTGACCGCTGATATGATTGGCTGTCATGGGCTGTAAAATGCACAAAAGTAAGATTGGCTTATATGGTGTTGGCACCTGTCGGAGCAGATATGAACCACTCCAGTGTCCACGATCTTTGTGTCTGCTACCAGACGGCGTGCGTGCTGCCGGGCGCATTATGTGATGACCTCCGAGACTGCATGCAACCTGTCGGTGTGCCATCTCGGAGGTCTAGACTGGTAAATGCTCAAATCGTCAAGCCCGCTCATGAGAGCTCTGCGATTGCCAGCGTGCCTCATGAGTTGAGGAGGCAAGGCAAAGGTGAGAAGGAGGGTGTGATATAATTGTTCCTTAGCCACCTTCGCACATGGCGTGTCACTGAATTTGCGGTGCAAATGGTTTGATGATGCTCTAGCCTAAACGCTGACAAAAGTTCAAAAGACCGTTTCAGAGTCCCTTGAAGTCACCGTGAATCTGTGCCGTACTGACTGTTGTCATTTTCGCGATAACTTAATGCTTATAGGAGCCTGTTTCAGTGTCACATTACTACTTTGTAAGTAGATACGCCTAATCTTGCTTCCAGCATAGCCTTCATGTTTGAGCTCAAGCATATGTTTTCTAAACGATGGCCTTTTGCTACATTTATACCACTAACTGTTTTAAAAGCATTTTCTCAATAAATTTTTGCCATGTTGAAAATTCTAGCATACAATTCCAGGAAACCAGATTTAATTGCTCTTTACCCCAAAGTTTACAATCCTAGCAGCTTGCGTATATGTATTATGATACAGGCATGAAAGGTCTGCCTTTGATTTGCTGAAGAAGTGCCTCCGTACAATGTGCATCTTCATTGCAGTCAATGATGGGCGGCGCTGCTTATAGCAAGAACTTTTACCCCGACGACTGCCACATGAACATGGACAAAGGGAACTCTCAAGCCAAGGTGAACAGCTCCAAGGTGAAGATGGTGTACTCCGGACTGTGAGTACTGTTCCCGATAGTATGTTGTGATAGATAAATGTGGGTAAAGTGATATTTCCCCTTCTAAATGGCTTCAGGTCAAACTGTACTGGCAACATAAATATGCAATACATGGTAAACTGAACTTTGAGAAAAAAACAGCACTTCGAGGGTCAGTGAACAGATTTCATTTTTTTACACCTTCCAAACAAGCTCACTAACACGTGCAGAAAGCCGTAGTGATCACATTTTGCAATATCAGTATTTCACACCTCACAGCCACTCCATTTTGAGAAGTCTCTCCCGTGCCCTTCTGCACCTGTCCAATCATCCTCGCTCGCGAAGTGACGTAACCCTGCCTATGGGCAACATTATGCAGCACCAACTTCATTAATTGGTCCTTTGCACCATTAAACAGCACCTTGGCCCTTTGATAGTGCAGTTTTGGCCACACATTCCACATTCTTCATTTTTCTGTGCTGCCCTTTGTTGTTTTGTAAAGCCCTGAAATTGCCGGGACAAACGGTATTGCCAGAACGAAGGCCTCCAAGATGAAGAGGTGTTTCAAGACTTTCCTGCAAGGGGAAGAGGGTATACCCCGCCAGTGCCTCATACCCCCGCACCATGCTTTCTCCCTGTGCTGCTATGACACTAACGACACGTGGGGAAAGCCTTACTCGGTTGTTAGTTGTGTGCTGATGATGTAATCTCTGACATCTTGTTACTTTGCTTTAGTGGGCGTAATCACAATATAGGGCTATGCGTACACTTCTCCACTACAGAGAAGGTTGGGATGGCCCAGGGATAAAACTGAAACCAGCCAAAGTGAGTTGTTCTATGCTGTAAAGTTCCTTATTACAGCATTTATTGAGAAAGTTCTTGCAGGAGCATGTTCACATCGTACGAGTGTGCAGTTATTTCTCCATCAGAAGTTTTGTATCACGACTTTGTTTACTGGCCCTTTAAGGTGACGGTACCACCGTCGCCATCTTGCGAGTAGTTTCTGCTTGAGCCACCAGAAGACGCCACTAAGTCACGTTTGGAAAAAAGGGAGGAAAATGCACTCTCCGCGGTCATAGCATGCAGTGGCGAAGAGCCTGTTCCTGCTGGAACTAATCCATTCTTTTCGGGGGTGCTGCTGCTCCCATATCTCCTTTGAAACGTTTCAAATGTGCATGACGCCCCCCCCCCCCCCCCCCACTCCCCAATAACAACAACACCAACAAAAAAAGGCACGGACCGGAGGAGCCTTTGTACTCCCGTGCAACTGTCCGGAAAAGAGGTGTCTCTCTCTCTCCTGGTAACGTATAACTATTTACAATAGAACGGCGCTGAACCGTGCTGCCGCAAGGGTTGCTGGAATTAATGGTTTGGTTTCTGAACCGACTCTTTCTCTTCCTCGCTAAAAAAGAGTAGAAAGAAAAAGAGTAGAAAAAGAGTAGTTCTCGAGGAAGTTCTTCAGTGGCCCTGAATACCAGCAGTGTTGGGTCGCCTGGAACGCGACCCAACACTGCTGGTATTCAGGGCCACTGAATGTGGACCTTGTGCACGTGCATAGTAATTATAGATTTCTCCACTGTCAGCAGCTTTGGTTCGACTATGAATGTAGTGTGGGTGTCGCGCATGGTCCACTTGATACTTATGTCGCTACATTCAGAAGCTACCCAGGAAGCTCCTTTCCACTACTTCCTGGCTATCATTACACAAAGCCCCTTTTCCATGCCTTGCAGTGAGCCAAAAATGGTGATTTTGTATGCATGAACGACAGAAGGGCTTTGCCTTTTTGCTAGCGAGAACACTATGAGCCTCATGCATCCCAAAACAGATGTATGGGGCGCAGCTGTAAACAGATGTATGGGGCGCAGGTGGCTATCAGTGGCGCCTCTATAGGCGGTGCACAAGGCGTATACACGAATGCGCTGCTCAGCTTTAGCGAAACATATGAGAGACAATTTTTTCATCTATAAAACGAGTCCTCCTAGCACCGCACCGAAGAGCGCAAGTCGTAACACAGATGCGAATTGCGTCCTTTTGGGAGTATTGAATAATAAAATGCGTAAGGGCTCTTTCTCAGCGAAACCCAACCTATCTGTACAGACCTAGAGTCGACACCCGAAAACTAGCTCAGCTTTTCCAAGAGGCTGTCCAATAAGGCACACGGAAGCGATTGTTCTTGTACTAAAATTATAATTTCATCCCGCAGGTTGGCTGCTAATGGCAAAGTCGGGCAACATTGGGCAATGTGCATTATTTTCAGCTGTCTAGATAGCAGCAACGTAAAGTAAGAGATAAATAAAACAGAACACAGAGAGAGACGGCAGTTGAACGAAGAACGCATTCAGTGCGAAATCTCCACCGAAGCATCGAGAAGGTTGATCCTGACAAGGACCGTTTTTTTTTTTTTCTGGCTTTTTTGCTTCTGCTAGAGGTGGTGGATATCGCCGCATCCTTTTTCGCCGTCTTAGGAAACGGCGCACTGCCATGCACGGTTGTAACACCGGGCACGAGTGTCTTGCGTTGGCGTCCGCTGCTCCTATTCCCTGTAAACACACAAACATGATACGAACTGCTGAAATAATGCTTTTTTCTAGAATGGGCTTATATTTCGATGTTGTTAGAATCACTGCATAAACATAGTGCAGTGGTTGTACCATCAGTTCCGCGACATTTCTCACAATATGCTTCAAATAAATTACAACATGACAGGCGCAGGGAGAGCTACTTTTTCAGGAGCTCAGATAAAACGTTAAAAAAATGTCCTTAGGAACGGTGTTTCTCGGGCATCAATACAAATTGCTCCGTCCTATGAACAGCAACGAGTTAGGCTGGTCTAGAAAGTGAATTTGTTTCAATGCTATCACAGCAAGTTGATCCCAAACAAATCACACTCGGAATAGCTGACACAAGGAAACGCAGCGACACGGAAAGATAGTTACCACTCATATTTTGATAAGGCGCGAAGGGAAGATCACCGCTTATATTCCGCTTTATACCGTTGCAAGCTCAGTTACTTACAGGCATATTTAGTCCTTCTTGTACTTGGCTCTTTTGGCCTTTGGTGCTTCTCCATTCTTCGTTTTCTCCTTAGCCTCAATGGCAAGTCTGTTCCACTCCGGACGGCGCACGTCCATGGACCGAGCAAGTCTGGAGTCTACAATCTCTGGAAGGATGCAGTCCTTGTAGAAGTGCAAAAGAAATGGTTCCATTTTCGCTCTCCAGAAAGCATCATTCCTGCGTATTTCCTGCACGTGTATACCTTTTGTGGTGTACACTACAAAGTCACAGATAATCCGCCGGTGATGTGCAGCTGGCCCTGCACTTGATAAAAATAGCTGTGCAACATAGAGAGAACCGGAGCGCCATCTCTTTGTTTTTTCTCCGAGAAGTTTCTTTCTGCTTCCAGTGGTTCATGTTCCTTGTACTTCAACGGGCATTTGACTTCCACAATTCGGTCTGTTCCAACCAGCCCATCCGGGGCAGCTGCCAAAAACCCGTGTTTCAGGTCAATAAAAAGCCCACATGGCTGAACAACCGTTTCTTTTTCTGTTGCATACAGTTGGGGTGCAACACTTTCGTGTTGCTTCCCGTGCTCTGTTGCGGCGGTTGTGAAGCCTTTGGGTTGAAGGAGCCGCTTCACCAGCGCATCACAAGGAGTGCTGTCTTTCCTTGTGCAGACAGCATAAAAATTGGAGGCGGTGAGGCGGAGCCTTCTTTGCTCGTGCCATTCGGGACTGCTGGCTTGCCCACGCGTCTCTTCTTCGATGCTTGCTCGCTTGCTGTCATCCACCTGTAGGTCCTGCAGCTGCCTTTCTGTGTTCGCAGACAATACGGCAGCCGACATGTCTGGCTTTTGACAACTTGGTCCATAATGGGGTGCCGAATTGCTGGCTGCGTGATTGCCGTATCTGCGCTCACGGTGGCCGCTCTCCTCAAATAGCCGCCTTTTGCGTGACATCGTCTGCCTTTTCATTTCGAATCTCCTCTGCGTGTATTTCTTTAGGGTTGCAGCTGGGCTTGTGCAAGTGACAGCCTTGCTTGCTTTCACGTGCCATTCAGGTCCCAGTTGAAAATGAAGCCCCGCACCTTGACAGCGATGCTCATAGGAGCCCTTCTGGCAACGATTTATCTGCTTTCCTCCAGAAAATTTAGCCACAAGGGACATAATGGCTTCAGCAAGATTGCTCGTGTCATCTGTGATGAGACGGTCTGCTTTGTCCGCAATCATGTTGGCTGCAGACATCAGCTTCACTTGTTGTATTTTAGGAACTGCTTGATACACGTTATCTGCCTTGCTTCCATTGCAAAAGTAGCTTTTGCAGCCATCGTGACTTCCAAAAACATGTAGCAGCCCATTCCTGAGGTCTGAAGCTAGCTCTTGAATAAGTCGTGATTTTTCTTTTTTCAGGTCTTCTGTGCAGCCATTGCAATCGCGCAGAATTTTGGCGTAGTGGCTCACTGCCTTCCGAGCTCCATTCTTAATTCGCTTGATTCTAGGAGCCGACAGCAACGAGCGAGTGCCCTTGCTTTCCTTAGCGATGCTATAAAGTCGAGAAGTATAGCACTTGACCACATGATTGGCGCACAGTTCGTTTTTCTTTATGAAACGGCCATATTCTACTTTAGTCTGAAGCTGGTAGTATACTGACGAGTCTCCGTCGCCAATGAAAGTGCGATACTGCACACCATGCATTTCAGTGCTTCTTTGGAACCCTTCCACAAGAATATCGGCCTCCATGGCGCCAGAGCTTTGACTCCAGTTTCTGTAGCATGTGTGCTCTTTCGTCTGGCCTTTCTTGGAATAATATTCGCAAGTGCTGCACAGCTTGTTTCTCACGCCCAAGTAAAGCAGCTTTTGCGTGCGCTTTCCTACGATGACAGCCAGGCCTGAGTTGGCAGAGTACCTGTGGCCATGACTCCTGTGGGACCAACCGCGATCCACAACTACGGTGATCCATGGGGTACTGCCATCCTCGCAGAAGTCTCCTGCAGCCTCTGCGAGCCTTTTCTCTTGTTCGCCAGCCTCAGTCATTTCCTTCAGGAGGGCTACCTTCCACAACTGAAAAACAAGAAAAAAAGACGGCAGAGCTTTCAGCTATGTCTCAAGTTACCTTTGGCGGCTACATTCGCCTCTAAGCACCACATTTTGCAGGGTACTAAAAAATTGCTACAGTGTTGTCATTTCAATGAAAATTACTCGTTTGTAAGTGGTGCCCTAGCAGCCGCGAATAGTATTGAAGCGCAAAATGACATCGACTCCCTAACCGAGTGCATGAAACGGAAGCTTACTCACGATTCGTTTGATCGAGACAAACCATCCCTGAAAGCTTTCAAAGGCGCCGACTAATATGAATGAAGATATATTTGCGGTGACGCACCTAAATATTTCTTCATTTTGTCGGCGTCTTTCTAAGTTTTTACCGCTGCACAAGTACTGTATCCATGCGAGACTATCCTCCTCGCACCGCTTTTCACCGTTTTCTGCGTGGACATTTGAATGGGTCTACGCAGGTATTCTCCTGAACAGCACTGTAGCCACCTTACAGAATTCAGCAAGTGGTTCACTCAAAAGTATAGAGGAAAAGTTGCGCTTATAAGGCACCTTGTGAATTAAAATACTCGGATACTGGGTGATTCATCGATGTCTTGATGTATATACAGTATAGCAAAATGTGTCTCTTACCTTGCCACTGCTTTCCTCTCGCCGCAGGAATGATCCCTTGCTCATTGCAGGAATTTCCATGACGGACATTGCCTCTTCTAGGTGCGAGTGTCCAGAACCTATGCTCATAAAACCCCACACTGCAGCATCATTGACGCCTAGTGCCGTCTTTTCTGTTAGGGGTGTTGGCTCCGCTACAGGATCAGTGGTGACCTTCCTGTTTTCGGCGCATCCATTGCACTTGAATGTATATTCTGACCAGAAGCCTACTCTACGCTCTGTCTGCAGTTCAAAGAACCCACCATGTGGACTGGCGCAGCGATGGTTGCCGAGTTCTTGTATGGCCTTTATAAAATGAACAACTGAGACAACTCTTCTTCCAGAGATGTTCATGCATTGCGACGAAGTTTCATTCGAAGCATTTGAAAAGCAGAGATTTAGCCACTGAAGTCTAAAGAAGTCCATCCGTGTTTTGGCGGCTTAGTTATGTTTAGAAGCGCCACTTTTGACGAACGTCGGAACTGACGTGAAACAACTTGATGTTTTTTTTTGACAGATGGCGCCACCGTCAAAAAGTGTTTGCGAGCTTTATTATTTTTGAAAAATCTTTTGTTTCAAGCACCGCTTCGTAAAGTTAGTGAGTACTGGTGATTACAAGACACTACATGGTCCTGCTAATGTGCAATACTTGTTGTGAATTAGCCTACAAAAGACAAAAAAAGGAAATTTGCACGAACCTGGCAAGCAGAAAAATGAGCTAAATTCACTGCTGTCCTACAAATTTTCTAATTAACTTACGACAACTTTCTCTTCATAGAAACCTAGGGAAAGGCTTGCTGATTTATTATTGAAGATTTCAGAGTTTCAGCTTGGATAGTTTTGTCTCTTCGTCGGTAATGCCTGACCAAGTAGCGCCATAAATTGCCGTATTGAAGGAGTAATAATTCAAGAACTGTTCATCAGAACACAAAACAACTTCGCGTACACATAATGTACACTGTAGCCTAGAAACCCATTCAATATTGTTGTTCTGCACAAAATAGAAAAAAAGTTATTTACTCATAAACTTTCATTCTTTTGCCCATTTTTATTAGAGCGTGCATCAATTTCTAATTGCTTTACTGGCAATATCTCTTCATATAAACCTTGCATAACGCTTCGTTAAAAGGCTCAGCAAATTTCATTTCGTTATGTTGGACAGTTTTGCTGCACTGGCAGTACAACGGAGGCTTGTACAGCAAAAATGCTGTTTTTTGCTCACACTGTTTTAATTGCCATGAAATAACACTCCAGACTAGGCGAAAATACTAGTTGTCATTAGAAAGCGGAGAACGTAAACTTTCTAATGCAATAGAACTCATATTCTTCCATTGAGCAGAGCAAGCACAGTGAGCCAGTAAACAACGACTAAAATGTCGAGCTCTTGCCACTGGAGTGGGACCGCCACCTTAACCCTTTGACAGTCAGAGATGTACATATATGTACATATATGTCATTGCCTGTATGTTCAAAACGCGCGTCTTCTTTTCACTTTTTTTCATTCTTTTTTTTTTCTTTTGCTTGCTACATTGCGGGAATACATTACATTTTTTTCTAGCACCGATGCCTCTTGGTTTTTTTTTTTTTTTATGCTCTATCACACGGGTGCGCCACCTAGATTTGGTTTTGTCCTTCAGTCGGTTCAAGCTTACTGCACCTGCAAAAAACTGATGGCTTTCTGGTTTAGAAGCTTTCTTGCTCCTCGGCATGTGATTATGCTTGTTTCTGTGCAGGCCTTGACTGGCACAAACAACGCCACTTTGGTTGTGTTTCCTGTTTCACGGACTTAATCTCTTCCCTTTTGTTGGCGATAAGACTTACGATTATTTTAGGTTTCGGACTTATCATTGCTCTTTGGAGGCAGTCACTACCATACAAAATTTTCTTCTTAGCTCACGCAGTTTGCTTGGGCTATGGAAGTGCGCACCGGTTTCTCAGCTACAAATGCGAGTCTAACAGCATTTCTTCTGAATCAGCGGCTCGACTGGCGAATCAGAATAGGTTCAGTAAATGTCATCCCATAATATGAGGTGTTACTTATGAGTTAAGATTTAGGTGTGTTGATGAGCGAGTGACATTTCAAAGGCATGTGTGGCGAGACTATGCTAACTAGACAAAAAGTGCCTGTCCTCCCTTCGTGTTTCTACTTGACACTGTTTCATGCACTGATTTTTGTATGTCTATGAATTGCACTAACGTTTATAGCAGTGCATAATTTTATTAACAGTGGTATCGGTTATTTTAAGAATATATCTTGCTGTTACTGATGAAAAAACAAGTGTGTAAACACACAAACTATTTTTTTGTTATTTTGCAGTCGTTCAAAAACACTTTATACACTTTTTTTCTTAGATATTCATCTGAAGAATTTAATTCAGCTATGAAAACTACACATTTTATTTTTGAGATGCATTTCACAATGGGTTAAATAGGCTTTATTGTAACTGCTGAAAGCATTTCATGATGCGTATAACTGTGCATGAATTATACTTTTACGATTTTAGGCCAGGGCAGGGTAGCAGAAGCCCTTTGCAAGTTCCTCATGGCACATTTCCTTCGGTCAGCAACAACTGCTATGCCAATGGGAATAATCTATACCCCCAGCTTTCAAAGTTCCAACCACGTGAAGAACCGAAACCAGGCAGTCCAGAAGAAAAAGTGCAAAATGTTGGCTCTGAAAAACCTCAAAGTGCAGAAGGAAAGTCCAACAGGCAAGGAGGGGCATGCGCTGCCACAAAGGGTAAGTGGGGTGCTTTGATGCTTAGCTCTTGTTAATAATGCAAACATTATCTACTTAAAGAATCGTTCATGTTGCTCAAACCAATTTGCATGAATATTAGATTTGTGCAGTGTTTAATAGAGAAACAAGTTTATTGTGATATGAACAATGTGATAAGTAAATACAGGCTTCGCCTTTGTGTAATGTAGTGTGCTTCATAAGTACGCGAAATTAGCTTGTAACAGCTTCTTTAAAGGTAACTACTTTTACAGCAAAAGCTCTTATAAAATCACAATAGTGCCTTAGTTGTTCGCCACAATAATCAGTGAACATGACCACCATCGTGCAAAATGAAAAAGAAAAAAATAAATGAGAAAGAAAATAGCTACAATCGGAGGGGATTTGAACGCCGGCCTTCTGTGTGGCAGTTGTGTATTATACCATCGACCTACTCCTGTGGAAAAAGACTCTATACATGCATTATGTCAGGCAATTATGTATTAATATAGCTTGGTAGAAGAGTAAAATAAAACCAGATGTCACACAATGCGAAGTGCGCAACAATTGTGTGGTTTGAAGCTTCCCGCTCACCACAAAATGCTCAGCTGTAATTCTTCATTGTAATCAGTAACAGCATCAACAAAGCGCACCTAATGCTTCACAGATGTGTAACAGGTACCTCACTTGTCTGCAGAATGATGTAAAATGACATAATAGGTGGTGCTTCCTTACTTAACAAAAGTTAATATTATGATTAATGGCATAGTGGATACCTAGCAGGTTTACTTGTATTAGCTGCCCCATGAGAATTTAAAACAGATTATAGAAAGGTCGCCATTCCAACTTTCGCTGTGACTGTGCTGCGCATTTCCCGCAGGCATGTTGGTTTTTTAACATTCACTAGAAATTCGATTACAACATATGCAGCATTCGTGAGTGTCTGCTCCTCCTGAATATGTGCTTTTGCCTGTACAATTTGTCTACAAGTCTCGCACATGTGCATCGCGCATAACGAGTGTTACTACTTTTCAGAACCAATCGAACCGAAGACTGCTGTGAATACAATACCTTACGAGGAACTAAAGAAAGCCACGGAGGGCTTCAGTGATAGCAAGATTCTTGGGAAGGGAGGCTTTGGAACAGTATACAAGGGTTGTTGGAAGGACACTGTAGTAGCTGTTAAAAGGTTACATGTGGTAATTACATTTTCTGTATTCTTTAGGATAATTATGGCAAGACTGAGTATGCGAAAGGATTAGACTTGATATGCTTGACAGATGGAAGTCTGTGGTACTAGGAACTGTTGCAGTGCTGATAGCTCTAGGTTTAATGACTTCGTGGTCTTTAATGTTGATGTGCCTATACCAGCCCAGACAGCAAACAGACCTCAAAGTCGGTTTACCTATGCCATTCCTAGATAAGACACTGGGCTCTGTGCACAGTCTACGTAAAAGTACATTTAGCTCATTGGTGTAAGGAAATACTAAAATCGATACGTTGCTAGAAGTCATACACCTAGCTTTAAAGCTTTGCTAGCAAATATGTTACGAAAAGTTATAGAATAAAGAGTTTTATGAGCTTCAGATACAGTGCTGACACAGTGTAGGCACATCTGTCTGATATTACCAGCACTTCAAAAAAAAAAAGCATTCAAAGCCAGCAAACATGAGGTTGTTGCAGTTACTGACATTGCTTGTAAAATATAACTATGACTGCAAGCTGGTTCAGTACTATGTGCTTGCAGTGTTTGAATATAATTACAGTATGAATGGACTTGTTTTGTACAGAAAGAAAAAGATGGCAACATACTACAGCAGCAGAGCTTCAAGCAGGCACTGACCGAGATGAATGTGCTACAAAGGTATGTATATGCATTGAAAGCCACCAGCCCCCATGTTAAGTGCGAATGTCTAAGCACACGGCACAGTCAAAGTGTACTCTGTAGCCACTGGCAAAACAGCTGATGCTGCAACAGAAGCTGGGCAGTTGATTTTCTCACAACCCCAGCTAGTACCAAAGCATGCTTGTGCCCTTTAGCAGTGGACCCCATTATAAGTCAGCAATATGTGCATAATCGCTTCAATTCACTGCTTAATAACCCTCGATATCATGTCTGTGAAATGAGTATGAAGTGTGTACGAGTCGGTGCACTCGCAAGTGAAAGTGAGTTTGCCAACCTAGCGGACCCCACTTCACGTATGTGTCTTGGGGATCTAGTTTTTGTTATGTAAGAATTCTGCAAAGTTCTGGCAGCACTGTCTGACATGCCATGACATACACACAGCTGCCGCATCGACAACATTCTACCCCTCTATGGCGTCTCTCATGATGGACCAGAACCCTGCATTGTCTACCAGTTTATGCCAAACGGCTCTCTTGAAGACAGGCTTCGTTGCAAGGTTTGTGTGCCTTTGCATGCTTATTGAGAGAGATGTTGCCCAGACATTAATACTACGGCTGCGGCGGCTGCATTTCCGATGGAGGCGGAAATGTTGTAGGCCCGTGTGCTCAGATTTGGGTGCACGTTAAAGAACCCCAGGTGGTCGAAATTTCCGGAGCCCTCCACTACGGCGTCTCTCATAATCAAATGGTGGTTTTGGGACGTTAAACCCCACAAATCAATCAATCAATCAATCAATCAATCGACATTAATACTAAATAATCACTGAGATCAGTGCACTTTGTATGGCAAATATGGCCATTGACTGTTGTAAGCTTAATTTACTAAATTGTGTTGTATTTGTAGCACAATTTATAACTTATTAAATTACACTGTATTGCTGTGACAAACATCACTTCTTGAACGTGAAAACATAAAGTGTTGGAGCTATGCGTTTCTTGTGGTTATGCTATGCGCACTTGAGCAAAAATATGAATACAGTACTGTGACATTCCTTATGCTTGGCTGTCTTTGTCAACCCACTTATATTAAATTGCTCAGATCCCAAAAGTTATGCATTGCTGCTCATGTCCTCTGGTGGAGGGCTATAAGAAAACCTGAAAATTTTTCTGCCCATGAGTGCTCTGCTGAAACTGTGCGTGTTGCACTGCCCATTTCTTTTTCTTGTGTTCAGCACAATACGCCAAGTCTAAACTGGACGCAACGAGCAACAGTTGCCAAGGGTGTCGCACGTGGTCTCTATTTTCTCCACACTAATCTAGTTGATGGCAAGCCCCTCATTCACGGTGATATAAAAAGGTGCGAGACATCAGTGATTGCATTATCACATTACGTATTACATACTAACAGGAAATTGTGTTGAGAGCTTTCCAGGGCTGTGTTGTGTGTGCTTTTAAAAGAAACCTACAGAGTAATGTCTGAGTGGAAGAATGCTAAGGCAGGTGGGCTAGATAGACATGGTTTAGTTATCGTAAATGTGGAATAGCAGGAACCCACCAGATTATTGCAGCAAGGCTTTATGTGATGATATTTTTAGGTCATCTGAAATTTTATTCATGTATTCACAATTTATAACATGCTGGAGGAGGTCTCATAAGCTGAACCATATTCTTACTTTTGATCACTGTACCTTTCATCTTTGCTTAAAATGAGTAAGTGACACCTGCAATCAGTCCCATTTTACTGTTTTGTACAGCAGTAATTTGAGCAAAGTATCCTCTTACTGACCAGTAATTTAACGAGCTCTTTCATTTTGTCTTCACGTTTATCTAGACAGTAACCCACAGTTGCAGCTTAGTGGATCTTTTGTAGCACTGCTAAGTACAAAGTTGTTAGATAGAATTTCACATGCCGTAGCCACATATTGACAAGGACGAAATACTTATATGCTCTCTGCATGTTCAGGTATGTCAGGCAATGATAATTGATTTGGAGTCCCATACTACAGTGTGCTTCACATAAAATCAGATCTGTTTTGGCACATAAAACACCAGGATTAGACACACTCAAACCTCAGTATAACTATTCCGGATATAACGAAATATCGGTTTTAATCAAAGAAATTAAGAATACTAGTTTTGCAATAGATAGTGTTTGAAATATACCTTTATAACAAATTTCCGTATATAATTAACTTATTTTGCTGTAAGATGCAACTTTGTTATAATAAGGTTTGAGTGCATGTGTAATTATCAAGTATCTCAAGGCACTATATTGCAACGCATTTATACATATTAAAAGACTTCACAACCACTTCAGCAATATGTAGGTACATGTTTTTTAGACAACTGAATAAAGCCAGTATTTACATTCGCTTTTCTTTTTCACATTTTAGTGCAAACATTCTTCTTGACGCCAACTTGGAGCCGAAAATAGGAGACTTTGGCTTGACTAGATGTGGACCTGAAGCGGATAAGTCCATGGTAGTTGTGTCCCATGTTCACGGCACCAGATACTACCTTCCTCACGAGTACCTGAAGAGTAGGCAGCTTTCAACCAAGGTGGACATCTACAGCTACGGAATTGTGAGCAAGCCGCTTGTCAAGAAGCTGCTTGGCTTATTTGTGAAAATATAGCTTGGAAATGTTCACCCTTATCAGAGGAACAGTGCACAAAGATGTGGAACAAAGGAAGATAAACATTATTGACTGATGGCTGAATTCTTTGTTATAAACCAAACAGGCAAATGCGATATGTACCTAAAAAAAACAAACGTGCATCGCTGCGCATGAGCAGGAGAGCATGCGAAATTTATTTGACAATTGCGATTAGATGCGACTAGAAGTGTTAAGGTTGTTAAGATACAGTAACCCAGCATGAGATAATGCCACAGGTGGTGAACCGTTCCTTTCTTTTCAGTCATCTACTGTGTGTCCCTTTCATTTTGAGTCTTCGCCTGCTGTCTCCCTAACAAGTATGCACCGGCCAGCTCAAGCCTTCACCGTGTTGACATGTTCACCCACTTCCCACTATTACTTACAGCACGTTTAAATGTTATACCACATTTAATCTAATCCAACCAGTGTGAAACAATACTGTTGTGCACATGGTCTATTAAAGGCGGTATTATGGCTAATCAGAGGCAGAATCAAACAATTTTCTCTCGGCATTCATAACGTTGGCATTAATAATTAATCTGTACGCCTTACCATTCTTGTTTTTTTTTTGCAGGTACTTCTAGAGCTTGCGACCAGTAAGCATGTTTATGACAGGCGACGCAAGACCCGAACACTGGCAAGTTACTGTGCTTCTTTTTACAGCAAAAGCTGTTAGGGGTTCACAACAAGGATCGCTCTTGGCACGTGGTTGTCCGCCACTACCGGTGTCTGTAACCACTGTCGTGTGAGAGAAAAGGAAAATGACACAAGAAAAAATATCCAGGATGGAATTGGATTCTAACCTAGGTCCTCTCCCTGGCAGCCCAGCATTCTACCACAGAGCCATGCTAGTACTCAAAACTCCTTCACGAAAACACCCTATATAGGCATCATGTCGGGCGAGAAACGGCGTTAAGATATGTAATATAGCGAGGTAGAAGAGTAAACAACAACTAGACGTAATGCTATACGAAATGTGTAACCAGGCGTCACACAAGTTACGCTACTAGTGGGTCATTGAATGCTTCCAATCCATTGCAAATGGCTCAGCTATAATTCTTTACATTCAATTCTTTATTTATATTCAATTCTTTATTTATATTCAATTCTTTATTTTATTCAATTCTTTATTTATATTCAATTCTTTATTTCCACCAGTCATCGTATCAACAAGGCACACACAATGCCTTGCAAATTAATCGGTACCTCGCTTCCTCGCAAAATGACGAATAAGGCGTTGTGGGTGCTTTACAACTCGACGAAAATAAGGATTTATGACATGGTGGGTACCTCGCAAGCTTTTTTGTATTAGCAGCCCCAAGAGAGCTTACAACATGCTCTAGAAACACCACTTTCCAGCTTTCACTGTGCTGTGCTCTCTGCGCAGGCCTGACCGTTTTTTTTTCCCCCAAATTGATGCAGTGCTCTACTAAGAATAGTAAGACGAGCAGTCTCTGTCCATTGCTTTGCATGCTCAGCTTTTCACAATGTCTCTGCGTTGGTGCTCTTTATAAGTACCAATGAAAACCAAGCAAACATCCTCAGCTCAATGATAAGGATTTACGACAATTTTCATGGAAAACGTGCTTGCATGAATGTTTGGCGAAAAAAAAGTTTTTGTGCCATTTTCTGTAGACCTCACTCATCACTTAACATAATGCACAGATAAACAATCCGCAGCAAAAGTCATGGACTGTACTGAAAAGGAAAAACATAACACATGCAGACTTCAAGACTTATTCAGGACAGATGTGTGGTATACCTGTCTTACCTTTTGAAGTCAGTGCGCGTTACATCTTTCCTTTCTTTAGTGCACATCTTTATTGTGCTGTTTATCTGTCACTGTGCCCCTTTCATGTATCATATTATCACCCCTCATCATAGCTGTATACTATTTAGGATTGAAAAACAGCCATGGCCTTGTTTGTTTCAGGTTGTCACCTGCTAACGTCAATACTATTATGCAAATCAAGACTCCTTAGTGAAACTTTTATGTATCTCATCGTTTACAGATTGAAACGGTCCAAGACTGTGCACAGAGCAACCAGCTGGACAGTCTAAGAGACACAAATGCCGGTGACGAAAACCAAGTCATATTCAGTCTGCTCATACATCTGGGCCAGAAGTGCTCGAGCTATGACAGGAAGGACAGGCCAGAGATGGAACAGGTGAATATCATATTGCCACAGAGAAAAGTGGGTTGGAAAGTGACAAAAAACGAAGAAATATTCTTTCCAATTTAGTATTGCGATTATTTATTAACGGGGTCGCCTTACACTTGCAGGTGCTTCAGCAGTTTAAGGAAAATCCGAATGAAGCAGTTCGAAGTAAGTGCCAGCATGTGAAAGAGTTCTGATCAAACCACTTGCGTGTGTTGTGTCAGCATCATTTTCTATCTCGCAGTCTCGCTCTCCATATGACAGGGCAGATTCCCTTTGTGAGCTCATAAGCATGATTTTCTTTCTTCTGTTTGCATTGTTATTGTCTGCCTCACTAGCACTCCCGATTACATTTCACATAATGTGCACATTGACTTGTAATTGAGGTGATGGACCACTCCTAATTTTGTGTGGTAATGAAAGAAAATCAAAATGAAAAATGAAAAGCAGGGAACACTTGCATCAGTGAAGCCTGACAGGCTCAAGCCAATTTAACTTAAAATATTGAGGCACTCCCTTTAGCTATATTATAACTTTGATGATTTCCAGGCTTTCTATTGAATATAGGTACTACGCATTTAATTGAGGTGCAACACTTGCTTTAAACCTTTATTAGCATGTAATCGGCTGTTTGTAAAGATCTAAACTATCACACACTTGTTTGTGTTTGCCACGATCTTACTGAGTATCGTGCTGTAAAGCGACAATATCTTTAGCCACAGAGTGGTCACCGATATAAAATGTCGTGTTTTTGCAGGGCTTTCTCAGGGCACACTGATGCCTCCCAGTCAACCTGGAAGTCCATCCCCTTTCGACCTACAGAGGTGGTATGATATTCGGCAGGGCCAGGCCACAAAGCCCACTTTCCTGACACCCGTCACTCCTCTGTCCACCACCCCAACCAATGTAGCTGCAGCAAGGCAAGTGCCTATTTCTGACGTGTGTTATCCCTTCACATGTGTTTAAGCAAAAATTATGCAATGGCCTAAACTGCTGGTAAAACGAAAGTGGTGACATTGGCCTAACATTGAATTGCCGAGAAAGGTGCGATTCGCACAGTTATCAGACATCTCGTTGTTATCAGCACATCGATGTCTGTCACGAGATAGATGTTTTCTAGTCATTTGCACATTAGAAAGTAACATGCCACTGATGCTGGCCAACATAGATGCCATCCTCGGTGTCCCATTTCTTTTAAGAGAAAGCAGCAAGAAACCACTGTCTCATTACTAACACCAACACTGTAAGGGTGATGTGACAACATGTTCGACAACAGTGTGAATCAAGCCTAGTCATGTCCTCTTTTGCAGACGATAGAAATAACCTGTGAATTTCTTACACTTCAAAGATGTTAGAAAGTCGCAGTAAAAACCTGCACATAATTCTGACCATCTGTTGCTTTTTAATGTATGCTTTATATCAATGCATTTTTTTTTTACAGCCAAGGTGTTACATCATGATGGTAACTTGGCTGGTCAGCCAATGAACTTCATAAATACAGAACGCCTCAAGCAAGCTGTAAGGGTACTTGCATTCCATGTAAAGTTGTCTTCGCCTCAAGGCACCTGTTACCTTTGGCATAGTTGGCATACTTGCCACCATATGAGAAGTGGCACTGGTCACACAGCGGCACTGCTCTGGTGGCGAGAGGTTACTCGCATGAGACAGAGCACTCGATCTTTATGGGGTTCAACAATGCTCGGGAGCAGTCGTCTCTCACAAGAGGTCTGTGGAGACGATTTTGTAGCTAAGCCCTGCAAGTTCCCATAGCGAGTCAAATATTGGCGACATCATATTTGTGGTACATTGCACGTATAACATTTGTGTGTGTTATATTGGCATTATATTGTGTTATTTGTCACAATACTGTAGTTGTTTGTAAGATTCAACTGGCAGGACCACAATGACTTAAGAAGGTCTTAATAAATATCCATGCATTCATTATACTGCGGTGTGGACAGTTTGTCTCTTATGAACAGTGCTCTTTCAGAACCCACTGAGCAAATCGATCGATTGATGATGTTCATTGCAAAAGAGTCTGACTTAGTCACCGTTAAGCTGCATTGTCTTTTAAATATATGCTGTTTGCAGCCCCAAGATGTCACCCACATTCCCACCGCGTGCTGTGCTGCCTTCGATGTCTCCTCCTGCAGCTGTGGAAAAGGAAGTTGTCCCGGAAGCCTGTCCACCAGTGATGACAGAGCCACCCATGTCATCGCCAGAGAACCAGTTGCCCATAGTTTCTATACTCGGTGTGACTCAGAGCCTAGCACAGCAATCCAGCGAGAGCAGCGCCAGAGATAGAGCAGGCAACTCAGTTGCCACCTCTGCAGCGGCACAGTTACACAGACCAATGGTCATTACCCACGACTTGACTGGCGGGGAGCTTGAAATGCCTAACCTTGATGATTTAGAATTCAGTAACTTGAGTCTTTTAGATGATGATGACGATGAGGAAGATTACAACAGCCAGTACACCGGCATTGAGAGCAAGAGTGAGACAGATGTGTAAGTCGCCTCTAAGCGCTTCTACAGCTGTCATCAGTCATGTACAGTTTGAGCTGTGCATAGCAAGTTTTCATGCATGAGATCACATGCACTGAATGTGAAACAGTAAATCTCCTTCCTAGGTGCAAGGAATCTGTGAAAACTTGTCGTGGTGGTCTAGTGAATATGGTGCTTCAATGCTGACACAAGAGTCGGGGGTTCGAATCCTGGCCGGGGCAGTCACATTTCAATAAAGCCTGGTGTACCGAGTTTTAGGCGCACTCTCAAAAACCTCAAATGGGTAAAATTTTCAGAGACCTGCTATGGCGTCCTTCATGATCGTATTGTGGTTTCAGAATGTTAAACCCCAACCATTTTTATTTCTAAGAACCCCTGCAAAAATTTTATGCGCAACCAATTATTCACTGTCCTTAAATGGGCAATAGTATTGTTGAAGCACCCTGCAGATATTTCATCCGGTGGAATGGAAATCTCTTAACATGTTACTGTACCAACTTTGAATATTGTTCTGAAATTTTCCTGTAGCAATTATTGCTATTGTAAATGTAGACGATCACCATGGTTGCGATTTTGTTGCAATGCCGCCTGCTTCATTTTACGCCACTGGTGTTGCCTACCGTACACGGCCAGCGTAGTGAACTAATAACGCAGGTGGAGAGTTGTTCAGTCCGCTCACAAACAAGGATAATTAGTATTGAAATTGGTATTGCTGCAGAAAAGTGGCCCATGCCTCTCTGTCTGTAGGGTACAAGTGTAATAAATCCATGCAACATTGTTTTTCCATCAAATACTGGGACCGAACCTACAATAAAAAAAGGGCCTAAAGAAAAGACAAGGTCACCACTGGAACCTGCTTTATCTTGCCAGAAGTCCACGTTAATTTGAGAGCTCTGAATATATGTGAAAAACTGCCTGCCATCTGTTTTGCCTGCCAAAAAATTGATCTAGAAGGGAATCTAATACACGGGCACTTTCGTTCATGCCGAGCTGGATTAGGCTCGATTTCAATGAGTTGTTGCTACACGGTTAGCTTTAATTGCAATCAGGCCCTTATAGAATCAAGACGATCACGATTTGACAGACGTCAGTGCAAAGTGCAGTACATTTTAGTTTGGACCATGTAGCAGCAACCGTTATTGATCACGATCAATAAATTTGATCTGGATCAACACTGGTCGCAATCAAGTGCCCAGGGGACATCCATCTAACATAATAAGTAAAAGTGCAATATATCAGTGCCTTTCAGCTGCTGTGATAAAAGTTGACCAATAAAAAGATCTTGGTCATGTCACAAAACATTTTCTCGCAAATGAATTTGTTGAATGTAATAAATAGCCTGCTCATTTTTTTATGCTTTGCTGTATAGTCATGTTCAGCAGAAGCAGCACCTTGTACAGAATGTGAGAGTATGTATAAAGTTTCAATTATTGCGAAAAGAGATGTATATGCAGCAAGGTGACGAACAGCAGAAGTAATCTTGATTGTCTTGTTTCGAAAACCATGATAAGACTGCACTAATATGTCGCAGTAAACCACATCAAAGTATTTTATTCACATGCTCAAATCACAACCTGACTTGTTGCATTTATTTACTTCTGTGTGCCATGATCAAAAATAAAGGCACAAGCAAAAGATCTGCATCCGTTTTTTACATCTTCTGACAACACTTATCTTTGGATATGCACACAATTTAGCTTTCTCTCCACCTCTTACAAAACCATGATAAGACTGCACTAATATGTCGCAGTAAACCGCTTCAAAGTATTTTATTTACAGGCTCGAATCACAGCCTGACTTGTTGCATTTATTTACTTATGTGTGCCATGATCAAAAATAAAGGTACAAACAAAAGATTGGCATCCATTTATTACATCTTCTGACAGCACACATCTTTGGATATGCACACAATTTAGCTTTCTCTCCACCATCTTACAATAGGTCTGATGTTACCCGATCCTCACTAGCAGCTTTGCCTTTTTTCATTCTCTCCAGGGCTTTCTTTACTTTCCCTGTAGTTAATGTTAAGATGTCTGATTCATCTGGGTTATTACTACTTCTTATTTTGTCATCCTGGTTGGCTCAGCTTCTGTACAGATCTTTCTCTAGAACTCTTCTACTACTTCAACTATGCTATTCATAATGGTAGTGACTTTGCCTAGCCCCTTAATGCATACATCTGATTTTTGCCTATCCACAGTTTTCTCTTCACAGCTATGAGGCTTACATTCTTCAGAGCATGCTCAATTCTCTCCATGTTATACTTTTTTATGTCGGCTACCTTACGCCTATTGATTAACTTTGAAAGCTCCACCAGCTCTATTTTGTCTGTTGCATTTGAGTCTTTCGTGGTTTAATTAGATTTTTCCTCTCCTAAAATAGCTTGCCACTGTCATGTCTAATAACTGTATTCCCTACTGCCATTGCACACTCCTTAATACTAGTCAGATTATCATTGCGTCAATGCTAAGGTTGGTTTTTTTGGTTAGAGCCACATACCTAATCCGAAGCGAAACTCATAATTCCTGTACTTTCCCTCTCGGTGATAGCTCTTTATTGGCTTCTTGTGTATCACCTTCTGCCATTCTTCCCTCAAGTCTAGGCAAATTTGATGCCTTACCATGCTTACCAGCAAATTCAATACCTCACCATATGAAGTCTATTTCATTTTTAGTTTTGCCTTTAGGACTCCTGCGTGTCCATTTATGGTCAGCTTGTTTTCTGTGGAAGGTATTCAAGATCTATGAATTCTTATGTTCTGTGAACTGTACTAGTAAATTACCTCTGCCATTTTTAGAACTGATGCCAGATTTCCCCACTGCATGGTGTCCAGTCTGCTTCTTGCCTACCCTGCACTGAAGTCACCCATCAGTACAGTATAGAGTGTTTTTACCTTACTCATTGCTGTTCTACATCTTCGGACAAGTGTTCGACCGAATTATCATCATGGCTGCATGTAGGTGCATAAGCCTGCACCAACTTCATCTTGTACCTCTTATTCGGTTTAATTAGGATACTCGATATCCTCTTACTAATGCTATTGTATTCCTCTGTTCTGCCAGCTATACTTTTATGGTTAAGGGACCTCACCGCCAGTACTCTTCTGTCAACTAATCCCCAATAGCATAAGGACATGTCCGTTTTCAGCAGTGTATAAGCCGCATGTGTCCTAATTTCACTGAACCCTATCACATCCCATTTAACACCTTATAATTCCTCAAATAGTACAGCTAGACTCATCTCACAAGATGACATTTTAGCGTTAAATTTAGCCAAGTTCAGATTCCAATGGCAGCCCTTTCAGACCCAGAGATTCTTAGCACTCTCCGAAAGAAAATGGAGAGATTATGTTGGGAAAACTGGCCACTCTATGTGAAGTGTCTCTTGATGGGGAGTGTACCAGAATATTGGAAGAATGCAATTATCATTTTAATCCATAAAAGAGGGGACATCAAAGACTTCAAAAATTACAGGCTGATTGGCTTACCGTCTGCTATCTACAAGCTATTAACAGAAATAATTGCTAATACAATTAAGGTGACACAAGAGGTCAATCGGCTTAACGACCAAGAAGGATTTCATAGAGGCTGCTAAACAATAGACCATATTCATACTATCAATCACGTTATATAGAAATACGCGGAATACAATCAACCCCCATACATAGCCTTTATATACTATGAAAAGGCATTTCAATTGGTGGAGATATCAGCAGTCATACAAGCGCTGCAGAATCAGTGCATCAACGACGTCTATATAAACATACTGGAATAAATCTACAGCCATCATTGTCCTCTGTGAAGAAAGCAACAGAATCTCAATAAACAAGAGTGTAAGACAGGGAGACAGGATATCTCCAAAGCTGTTTACTGCGAGTGTACATGCAGTTTTCAGAACCCTAGATTAGGAAGAGTTCAGGATACCCTAGTGACCTACAATTTGCTTATTACATTAATGAGTAAAGAACCAGATAGAACTTTACATTACATTAAAGAGTAAGCACATTACATTAATGAGTAAAGAAACCAGTTCCAACTCGTGATTACTGAACTGGACACGAAAAGCAATAGAGTTGGCCTGAAAATTCAAAATTAATATGCATAAAACTAAAGTTAGTGCAACAGTCCCGGCAGAAAACAGTGCTTTGCGATAGGTGGCAAGACACAGGAAGTTGTAAAAGAATAAGTCAAAAATAGTGTCAACTTGTAGATGTTGTAATACAGAAAACAATGTTTCTTTTGTAGCTTTGCGTCAGCCCATACTTTTTAATTTTATTATTTTTAATTAGTGTGGCATGTTGTGCCACACTAATTCACTCACATAACCACAACAAAAAGTTAGCAAATTTTTGTACTTCAACGTTCAGTTATCTACAGAGCTTACGTGCAAAACTTTGCTGATATGATACCTGTGTTCATTTTGCCATTATTTAATGTGATTGTGTATCACTGTGCTTTGCCTCAGCTAAAATTAATATTCCAGTAACATAGTTTACCTCAACAAATTGAACAGTGCTTGTGTTTGCAGACCCACGCTGTGCGCCTGCAGTGGATATGGTAATTCTTCATGCTGCTCCATGCATTGGCACACAGGCGCAAGTGAAAAGCAGTTGATCAGCCCTCTGACACTTTAAAGATGTTCTGCAACAATATTTCAGCATGGTCATAAAACGCTGCCGATCGGTAGCCGAGGCTCCTGAGAACACGCGAGCCAAACATATTAGCACAACACGCGGTGTGCAATTCACAACCAATTCTCTAATACAGCTAGAAAGTGTTGCCTCTTCTTTCTACAAATGATGCCATATGCCCGAAGTCACGGCCATTGGGCTTATCTAAGCTTCGTAAGCTGCATAGTCGCCATGACCGCCGCGGGATGCCGCCACATGCCAGCGCGCGCGATCGCACTGAAATTCGGGAGCTTTAGAAAAACGTACGCTAAGTCAGCGTTCGTGGCGGTCGCCCGCTATTTCCGCAACTTAACGGGAGCCCGGAAGAGTATAGCGTACGGCGCATACGCAGCAGCGCGATTGCGTATTCTATGCTAAAACTGCCTCGTAAACGAATTCATGCACTTGAATAAAAAAAAAATATACTGAGACATAACTTCCTTTCTTCCTAGCTGCCATCCATTCCAGCTTAACCCCTGCTTGGCTTACAGCGCGTTTGTCGGGAGCAAGGAACCTCCTTGGTCGGGACGAGAGGAGTGTTACGACAAAACTGCAGGCTGCTCGAACCCCCCCCCCCCCCCCTTAACGGATTCTAACAATTTCAACAACGATCGATTAGCGAGGCAATAAACTAAGGTTATCTGTAAATGTGTTTTTCAAAGCTGTAACGCGAATGTGCAATTCACATACGCCATTGTAAATGCCGCTGCTCGTGGCGGGAACTACAAACCATTCGTCGCCAGGTTTTACTGTTTTTGATATGCCGCTCGACACGCCAGCAGGGGCGTCATGTTTCTTATTGGTTTCTTATTGGTGCAGATCGGCGTGCTAGTACAATTCAAGGCGGTGGGCACGAATACGGTAATGCAACAGCTCGGTGACGTAACTGTCACTGTAATTCCGCGTCGCTGAACTAGCAGAGCACGTCTGCCCAGCTGCTTGAAAACACATAATCACGCCGTGAAAACAAGATTTTAGAAGGTTACGGGCTAAGAGATGAGTATGCGATTGAGGGATGCGCATTCCGGCATTCGTAAGACGCAAGGAAACGTATTTACCATTTGTAAAGTGCTGCGCAGCCGGTGGACGTTCCGCGGGCTCTCCAGCAGACGCTGTCCGAAGTAGCTGCTCGACTTTTCAGTCTTCTGGCATTGTCTCCGCGCTTGAATTCCAGCAAGGCGCATCTGGTCGTAAATACAGCGAAGAACGCATCACTGTTTTCGTTACTATAGTGCCTAGAAAGTATATTCTAGGCACTACACCGTTACTCCCAGGATCTGTTATTTGCCGCAACCACGGACACCGTGGCCGCAACGGTCGCAACACAATGGCTCCAGCGGCGCGACTACGTAGTGAATGCCGTAGTTTCGGATTCCCCGACTGGCCGCCGCAGCAAAAACAAATTATAGTCGGTTACAACCTAAGAATAAATATGCGCTCCGCCCCCAGTAGTGCAGCACGCCCGTCATTCATCTGTGCAACAGGGCAGTGATTGGCGATGTTCGTTCTAACCATAAGCACATTTTCGCTGAAAATTGATGATTGATTTGATTTGTGGGGTTTAACGTCCCAAAACCACTATTTGATTATGAGAGACGCCGTAGTGGAGGGCTCCGGAAATTTTGACCACCTGGGGTTCCTTAACGTGCACCCAAATCTGAGTACACGGGCCTACAACATTTCCGCCTCCATCGGAAATGCAGCCGCCACAGCCGGGATTTGATCCCGCGACCTGCGGGTCAGCAGCCGAGTACCTTAGCCACTAGACCACCGTGGCGGGGCCGCTGAAAATTGAAGACTTGAAGTACTATGCATATCATAAAGTCTGTCGTTCCTTGTCAGAACATTTACGTTTCGCAGGGTAGCGAATCCAAAATTTTTGATGGAATTCGCGGAGAAGTAAAATTTGTTGATCGTAAATTAGCGAAAGGAACACGAGCTTCTACGGCCAAGTGATAAGACTAAAATTTGTGAAATCTGCCTTACGTCACGTAAATAGCCGGCTGCAATTTGGCAAGGTAAATATGCAAACTCTGCCGGGAAGGGACAGTGACTGTTGTGGGTGGAGCTTACATTTATTCTTAGGCTGTAAACGACTACACAAACGTTCGCAAAGTCACTCTTCAAAGCGGCATCACGTACCTTGCAGCGCATGAAACTCGACCACTTGTTCTACAAACTGCAGAGTAACATAACCATCATATCAGAAATTGTGAAACCGTGCTAGATATGTTCACATGAGACAGTCGGGTGAAAAGTGCAGCGCGATTTGCCAGAGCATGATATGCATGCCTAAACACTTTAGGGGACCGTCCCAGCCTGTGCTCACTGCACAATAGCCTGCACTAGTGCATATGGCGTTAGAAATTTGCTGAGCAACACTGGCGTACATACTCTGCAATTCAAAAGCTTATTAGAGCTACTCCTGGCTAGCTTCACAAGCCTGAAAAACAGCAGTCGATGTGCACAAGCCTAAACAATTGGCAATTCCCTCTACTTGGAAATACTAATGCACCTGTAATTATACTCGGTAAAATTTACATTCAAAAATTAGCATGTTAGAGCATAAAAGTCTTTAATCACTCAGAGGCTCCTTTTCGCAAACCACTTGCGCATGGTATGCATTAAATATCGTGTGCCCTTGAAAATGCTGAAGTCATGGTTTGCTGCAATGCTACAAGTTATTTATAAAAAAACAGCTTAAGTAAAATTACATGGCATAAAGGTAGCCGTATTCACATGCTCACCAGTACTTATTTCCCTATAGACCTGCAATATTTAAGATATACAGAAGACTGCAATCAGACACCATACACTTTCTGCAAATAAAAGCATTCTGAAGAAACAAATCTTTTATCACTCATATTTATTAAGTAGTTTAGTAAAGCATGAGCGGACACAGATGTTACAAGTGGTTTATTACATTTTTCAACACATTGCAACACTTTCATTAAGAACATGACTCTATACAATGCAACCAGGCTTCTCTACAGTTTGTTGCAAATGGTGCTCCTCCCTTGCTGCAGCTCATAATCCATTGACGTACGCCACGCTACCTTCATGTGCTTCATGGTCACATTAAAAGTTGATGGGTTTACCGCAGTAGGCCGACAGATTTGCTTCCCGAAATGCTTCAGAAACAGTCTGGAAAAAAAAAAAAGGAAAGCATCTCAGCAAACCAGAAAAATATTTATGAGTTATACTTAACAGCAACAGAGTGCCACAGCACAGGTATTGCGAACCACAAAGAAGTCTAATACGTGTGCAAGATTTGCTGTCTTAACTTGCTGAAGACTGTAAATTGAATGAGACATTCTGTATATAATTATTTTTGCTGTTCACACTTGTGAAATTACTTTTAGATGTATGCTGTAAAGTGAATACCGAAATGCCACAAATTTTCTGTAAACATTTCACTGACAACAGGTGCTACCTAGCATTTTACCATATTTGTGTTAGATTCATAGCTGTGCAGCAAACTAATTCAGTGAAAATGGAACATATTCTGCCTCAATAAAACTTGGATAAATAGAACATTCTGGTAAATAGAACAACTATGTAATACCACTTTGACGTGATACCGACTTTCAATAACAATATCAGTGGTCAGGTAATTATAAAAGTCCCCATACTGATACCTTTTTTAAAGGTGATTGTAATGACTTTTGTTTTCCCACACCATATTAACTTTAATTTTATACCAATTTACATAGAAACTCACAACACTTGTGCATTATATTTAATAACATTATCAGAATGTTTTGGACATAAGAAAGCTCCAATACAGAATATTCTACACACAGCTCTAGAAGCCCTTGCTTCTTTGACTAGTCTTGTGGCACATTTAAGGCATTCATACCTAAGCAATCTACACTGTCAACTTTTGTGAGAAGGAACGCGGCCACGTGTGACCTGTGCGCTTCGGCGGCTGCTGGCAGCGCATTCAAACAGGAGCGAGAGCAACCACCGCCTCTCGAGACATCTCGAGGCGAGCAAAACAACCACTCATTGCTGATATAGAACCAGTGGCAAGACTGCAACCGCCTCCCCCTTCAAGGCGATTACCGGCCCCTTGAATAGTCACCTTCAAGGGGCAGGGGGTTGCAATATTGCCGCTGGTTCCATATCAGCAATGAATGCTCATTTTGCTCGCCTCGAGATGATGCGAAAACAAGCGGTGGTCGCTCTCGCTCCTGCTTTAATCCGCTGCCAGCAGCCGCCAGAGCATGCAGGTCACGGGCTGTCGCGTTTCCTTTCATAAATATTGACACAGTATTGTGTAAATTTATAAGAGGCAATATTTTAAAGGCAATTTGTCCCACATTTAGACTCTCTTTTGCTCAACGAAAAGTAAATTACTGGAACACACAGCAGTAGGCTTATTGAATAGATTCACAAAGCAATGAGTGAGTCTATGATCTGTATAAAGATGTAACACACAATGTAAACCTACGAATTGGACAGAAAATGTAACCTTGAACAACGTAACCTTGTAACCATAAATCAAGCAATGTAACCACGGCACTTATGCCACTCACAGGATGCGCATGGCAAACCCTTGCAACATCCTCAGCAGATGCTCCATACTCCATTGCCAAGGCAGCTTCGTTGATAATCTCGCCAGCATTCTGTATAGAGACAACAAGTGAAAAAGAATTACCAACTTTCATGGCAGCAAAACTTTAACGAATGCCAAAAATAAAGTGTTTGCCATGTTCATTATATGTATTCTGCTCAAATCTGCTGCTTTGTTGCCTCAGAAAAGGAGGTAATCATTGCAGTAAAATCTCGCTAAAGTGAACCTCAGTATAAAGATTTTTTCAGATTAACAAATTTTTTGAAAATCCCCCTTCACATTTTCATTGGTTTATTATAAAAATATTTCACTACTACGAATTTCAGAATACCGAATGTTTCAGAATAATGAATTGAATCTTATCCGCCTTATATCTTCCTAACACTTCTCCCTAACACTTCAAAATAACGAGTAGCGATTTTAAAAAGTTACTCATGGTTCTAAAAATAATGCCCAGCTCTGTAAGTGCCACTATCATCATAATCAGAACGGCAGCGTATTTATCTACACGCTCTGTTCAAATGTGCGATAGCCCTATCGCCATCACTATTGCTTGGTACTTGTTTTTCGCATCAGGCTTCGCCCTGTTGCCTTTCTTTTTGTTGGACAGCTTGACTTGCGTGCTTGTTACACAGGCTGTTTTCTAGCGTTTTGGTTGGTGGTTGAACATTAAAGATGAGCTACGTAAGCAGCACGAAGGGAATGCTACGACAGTAAAAAATGCGATGCGAGTGACCTTTGGGACGAAGTGACCGATGATTGCCCGTGCATGCTTCACTAATGCTCGAACACTACACAGAGTGCGACGGCGAAGTATGCTTGTGAGCTTAGCTAACAACTGATAAGATCTATACCATTTGTCCTTATAAGGAAACGGCGATGATAGCAGAGATGCCATTGAATCAGCACGAGCGAATTAACGTGAAGAATCGGTATTTAATGCTGATGCTTTGCAGCGCGTAAAAAGGATGTGCACGCTTAAGTTCGTCATTTAGAAGTAGAGCTAGCCACATCAGGATAGATCTCGCTCTTTCTCAAATAAATGTGCACTTATTCAGTGATATTTTCTGTCCGTTTTGTTGCCCTTATTCAAGCATAACGCGGCCACAAATGTGTATATACACAACACAGGTAGGCGACTCGCATGTTTGCGTTTACCATTTCTGCGCAAATTTTTAATGCTTTCACTACGACTTTTCAAAACAATGAATTACATATCTTTGTATGTGCATTTGTCTCACAAGTCAAAACACTGTCTACACATCAGGTGTTCTGGGTGCATTTATAAGTTTCAAGGGACACTTTGGGATCTTTTTTTTTTAATTATAATACGATATAGCATATGGTATTGACAGTCCTGCAACAAATAGGGTAGTTCAATAAGCACAGTAACTATAGTCCCTAATATTAAAGAAATATGTTGAAAATGAGAAAGGCAGCTCCTTTGTGCAACGTCTACCATGACATTACGCTGTACACCACTGCAGTCAACAAGTCACAGCACACATGGTGCTGGTGCGAGAAAAGAGAAACTGGCAATGGCATTTGACAAAACATCAATCTATGCCAGCCTTATAGAACTCAAGAACAATAATTTGAACACCGTTTCTTTTTAAGTGCCTGTTCAACAAGCTAGTGGTACAGAATTTGACATCACTAACACAGGGCAACATGTAAAACATAAACTCGCTAATAATCATTCAGTTTCATTTTCAGGGAAACAATATGACTCGATTGCATAGTTTCGCACAGATCAAGACAGTACCAAATAGAACTATATGGAAAGCTTTAGTGATTTCAGTGGACGTAAGGAAATTGCAGAGTTACCCTTTAAGTGTGTACTTGACTAGGCTGTCACAATACTGTAATGTCCAGCACCAATTAATCGGCAGCCTTATGACTGGTTGACTAAATTGTCCAACAATTACAACCAAGCATGAGGGTACTGCATTCACATGACTCAGGCTACATGACTAAGCCAGCAATGCTTCACTTATATGATAGCACACCGGTACTTGCATGTTCTACTCTTGTTGGAGCACAGCTGCTATGGCTGATAACTGAAAAGATGAACTTGTGGGAACTGATTTCCTGACTTACTGGACTTACTGATTAGCTACAGCTAGCCAGAGCTGTAGCCAACAGCTTCTGTTGACCACAGTTAAGGAGCAACGCTGTGACTCAAAGCTTTTATCAAAGTTCTTACTCGATACAAACTAAACTTGCGTGGATTGATAATATTTGTGTGTTGATTTCAAATATGCATTTTTTTTTTCTTAGTACAATATGCAGTTTCTAAATTTCAGGTGGCAGTTTGCGAGCAATAGTTTGGCTTAACTTAGAGAGTTACTAACAAACTAAAGCACATCAGAATGACCTAAAATTAGGGCAGAATGCAAGAAAACAAAAATGAATGTCCTAAGCCCATTTGAATAAAAATTGTGGTGAGTATTTGTTACTGAAATCCCAGCTTAATGCAGACTTGTTTGTGAATGTTTAACATACCATATCTTTTGTTCTAATCATTTTAGAACATTTATTCTTGCTTTTTAGCATTTTGTACTCATTCCAGGTCATCCTGATGTGCTTAATTACTTTTTGCAACTCTTTCGGGTTAGGCAATCTATGGCTCCCAAGAAGCATATGAAATGTTTGATAGTTTAAAACTATATATTATATTACAAAAATAACTGCATAATTGAAACCTACACACACAAATACACGAACTCAGCAAGCCTCACCTCAGTCGACAAAAAAATTTTAACAAAAACTTCTGGACCCAAGTGTCCTCCTACTGAGCCAAGAAAGGCCATTTAATGCATGCGTTCAGAACACAGATTTCTCTGGTGAGTAGATAGTTCATAGCAAAAATGAAATTCAGAGCTCACTGGATGGTAATGAAAAACTTGATTAACAGAAATGCTCACTTGGGACTTCAGATCTTCCTCAGTTTTTCCAATGAAACCAACTTCTGGATGCGTGTAGATGACTGATGGCACGCAGTTGTAGTCAATGTGCACTGGGCCTCCCATGATACCCTCAACACAGACAATACCTGCATGTTTGAAAAAAATTAGTTGTCAATCAGGTTCTTGCATTATTTATTATGAAGATAATTGGCTCCGTTACTAAACATGAGAAAAAATAAAAGCCGATATTGCACAAATTGCACTCAGAAAAAGCCTTATGTACTACGGTTAAACCCCATTATAAGAGGCATGTTCTGGGCAGCAATTTTTGTCTCTTATATGAGATCGTCTCTTATAAGCAGGGCATTACGTAGGCATTCTCTTATCAACCATTATTTTACTGTATGCACACTGGTATCTCTTATACCCATTTGTTTCTTAAATCAGTCTCTCTTATAAAGGGATCCTACTGTACATTTACAAACGAATTGGTAGCTATGAATAGCTCCAACTTTCGCATTTTTGGCAAGAATGCAGAACATACAGTGACTAAAATACCCAGAAATGGTTTTTGATTACAACATCTTAGTATTTTAGTATAATGTTGAAGTTTCTATCGTTCTCCCTTACAATTTACTACACCAATTAATGGCTATGCTTAAGTATCTACAACAACATTGTACTGAACAGTACTAAGCAAAATGCGCCAAGTACACAGCTCTTAAGGTATACCTTATGCCCAATATAATGTGGCTAAGTAGACTCACCTTCATCCTCTGCTTTGTGAGCCAACATTGGACCAGGGACACAGTCCCCAATTGCATAAATGCTTTATGAAAGAAAAGAAATGAAGAGTAAAAAATATTTATTATTATTATTATTATTATTATTATTATTATTATTATTATTATTATTATTATTATTATTATTATTATTATCATCATCATCATTATTGCATTTTACAATAGATCGACTTGCCCACCTAAACATTTCTGTATCTTCGAGCGAGCACTACCTTGACAGAGCAAACAGAATATATCAAAGACCCTCACACAAAACAAAGATGATAGGACACATACAAAACATCAGCCCCTAATTTTAAATCTGTGCATGCAATAGCTTATTACATTTGAAGGGAAACATTTACGGGTCAAATTTTTCACTGGCTAGTCCTTTTTTCTCGCAAGTTCACAAAAAAGGGCAATACTGAAATTTAGTAACATACTATGGCATGAGTGGGTTAAATGTCCAAAGACTAGATACACCTCAAGAATTAGGTGTTGTCTAAAGTTCACTTTGATGATCTGTGAAAGAGCTTGCCACAATGCAGAGGTCACTGATCTAGGCAAAAACACACCTCAGAAATGTAAGAACTTTACGAACAAGCCCAAATCTTGCTGAACGCCTCTTCGGTGTACTAAGGAGGCCTGCTCAAGTGTTTTCACAGAGATAAAAATGGCCAGCAATTATCAGCTCAAATATCCTTTAATCACATTGTAAGGAGCGATTCTTTTTAGGTGCAGTAAGACTTTGTTTGGTAAAAAAATTCAATTTTGAGATTTTGCAGCCATCTGATGGAAAATTTCTTTATCTTAAAAGAAATTATCCACATTTCGATGCTTGCAGTTTCGAAAATAATTTTTGGTCCTTTTCCTTTGACTATTTGCAGGAAATATGAGTTTACGTCAATGTGGACTAGGCGTTTTTGTTTTTTTTAAGAACAGTTTCTGGAAGCTTGTGTCTTGGAAACTAAAGGGCACAAGCACAAAAAATTTTCGCATGTTGACTAGTGGCATTTACATGCCTGGGACTATATTGAGTACCCTAGATGTATGTCTACTCTTTTAGTATAAAAAAAAACATCCGTAATTGACGATTTTCATACATTGGCAAACGTAAAAAAGCATACGAAATCTAGTTTTCTTTTGTACACTCACAATTTTACTTCCACTTCTGTAGAGCATCAGTTGCTACATTTGTACAAACCTTCGATGCTCTGCTAATGGTAGTTCTTAAGAAAAAATGAAGTATATATATAGAAAAACTAAGAAAACAAAAAATAAAAATCTAAGTACAACTGAAAACTAATTCTGAGCTCCAAGGCAACCTGCATCTATCTTCAACATTCCTGGCAAATGCTGAAATGTGTTTTCAATGTCTCATCCCACTTTAACAAACCAATGCCATTATCTAATAAGATTATGTTTTTAGAAAATTACACGTTCAATCTGACCAAAAGCATAACTGCCAGCATATATATATATATATATATATATATATATATATATATATATATATATATATATATATACACACACACACACACACTGACCCACATATTATCCCCCTGTAAAGGTGGTTTCACTGTGGCAAAGAGATGCTATACCGTGAATACAACTCTCCAGGATAAATCCACACTTCAAGGTTAATTGAAGGTATTAGGTACATTGACATCAATTCCCCATTTTTAAAGTTTAAAAGCCTGCCATACTGATTTATAAGCCCAAAGTATAGAAAGTTTTAAAATGTAACATATTTTACAAGTTATTACTTGTATCCTACCAAAAATCAAATCCCACTACTATTCAAAGTTGCTTCCACTTCTTTTGAACTAAAAATAATTATATTGGCACATTCTTTGATACATTGTTTCAATTTAAAAAAAGTGTCATAGAAGTTAGTATGTTCATGACAAATATCCTCATTTTTCCTTATAATAAGTGATATATACCATTGAAACTTGAAGCAAAACTATTTGACCAAATTACTATTTGCTTCAAGCCTAAAATTTACTATCTGCAGAAGCCTATTAAGAACAACTGTCCTTAGAACCATCAATGTGCCACTTTCAACTCACCAAAGAAGGGAGAGAGCTGCTGAGCCCACTGCCAAAGTTAAGAAATGAAAACAGCCTGTAGCAAGTTCCCACTTACTTGGGGATGTTTGTCTGAAAGCGAGAATTGACAGTGATACGGCCACGCTGGTCCTTCTGTATGCCCATCTCTTCCAGGCCGAGGTTTTCAGTGTAGGGTCGTCGACCAACACACACCAGAAGAACGTCACAGTCCAGCTGGAAAAAAAAAAAAACAAAAAAAAAACGTAAGTGAGCACCACGAAATGGCATTCCTGTCCTCGACTGCTCTTTTAACAGCAAGGCTTTCTTTTACACATTGGCTTCTAAGCGATGATGTTAAAAAGTTCATTTCACAGAAATTCTGGTGTCAGGGTCTTCGGTTGTGAGAGAAAAATCAGATTGGACTATGAGCGAAAATTCGAAATAGATTCAAATAAAGAATCGAGAAAAAAGCTTTGCTTCGAGTGGGAATGAAACTCTGGACATCGGCGTGGCAAGCAAGTGTTCTAACACAGAGCCTTACCCTGGGCTTGAGACTGTGAGGAAAATAAATAGAAGATAGTATAAGATTGTCAATTAGTGCGAGGAGTCTCTTTAACGTATGCAATATTGTGTGGCAGAAACACAGAATAGGGCCATGAGTCAAAACACGCAAATTGCGTGACAAGTGGTAGCCCACAAATTACAAAATGCACAGACAGAATCAATCATTATTATCAGCAACTGTTTCAACACAGTGTGCAACTGCACAGTCACGCGTGCTGACTTACGGTACGGTGTGAACATGTACATGGCGTACGTTACGTGTACGTCTTTGACCATCAAAGGGTTAAGGTTGAAATGTGTAAATTTGATACATATACAGAACGTTCTTCATAAATCCCGTCTCCTTAGTGTCCCATTAATAAATTGCCTTGCATAAGTGAAGGCTGATCAATCTCGCAGGGGAGGAGGACAAATACTAAAACTTACATCTTCCTTTTTGGAGGGGTCTTTGACATCCTCCACGCTGACTTTGATAGTGCCACCCTGAACGAGTAGCACCTGTCACTTTCGTAGACAGCTTGAACTTAAGACCCTGTTTCGTGAGGATTCGTTGGAAGTTCTTGGAGATCTCCATGTCGATGCCCATGCCTCCAATATGGCCGAGGAACTCCACAGCTGTCACTTGAGCCCCAAGTCGAGACCAAACGGAACCCTGTTCGACAGAGCTAAATGTCAGGAAAGAGGTGCTACTCTATTTAAACTAACTGGGTCTGCCAGATCCAACAAATATAGGCTGGTATAACACTGCCATTTCTCTCAGCTTTTGTCATACATGATTCACTATTCAAGAATTTTGACGGTAATCATGACTTAACCAAGTGGTTGACGGTTATTTCCCGCAGAAGAAAAACGGAATATAATCATTACATTGTGACCACCCTGTGTCGATATCCGCTATAAATCTAATAAACAGTACAAAGTAACACCCTATAGATTAACACAAGCTGACAGTTACAAGACACACAGATAGAGAAGCTTAAATGTGAGTTCTACACATTAGAAACTACTCCTCTCTCCATATTTAATGGTGTTGTGCAATATGTATGCAACAGCAAGGCACTGAGCCACGCTCCCTATTAAGGCTGCAGAAGTTGCATCTTTTTCTTTCCTCAGCTGCTCTGTCTCTCTATGCAACAGCAAGGTCTTACTGTTTAATTTCAACAAACACAAACAAATCAATACTGCTTGCTAAACGTACTCAGAGGGGCACAGGTACTAAAGCAAAAAATAACAGCACAAATAACTAAAACACACCTGTTAAAAAAATGTTTAAAGTATTTACAAGTGCTTAATAAGCGACGAAAGGTTGGAACTTATTTCTTAGAAGGAATTGAGAGCTCGAACAGAGGACCAGTGTTTGCGGTCCACATGCAATTGAATACGGTATGTGTAAAAATAATGTACTGACGCGCGTAAATGCAAGAAAATACACTACAAAGGGTTTTCTGAATTCTTCTGTTTTTATGACCCAAATATAATTCTTTGATGTGTATTCTTGATGCTGAACCATATTTATTCTATTTTTATATAACAACAGAACACTGCAATACGATGCTTTTAAGAATAAAATGTTTTCCATTTTGCTTCCTGCTGTTCATAATTAGAAGTATTCTCTGCTGGACTAGCCAGCTTATATTCATGACCAGGTCTGGAAGGCATGGCTGTACTAAAGTGCTTGTTTGGGCCGACTGGTACATGATCAACTAAGCAAAAAAAAAAAGGATACAGCACATAACACAGGACAGTGACGTTTCAAGAAAGCGCTTCGTCCGTCTCTATCACTTTCCTGTGTTACGGGCTGTTTTTTTTTTTTTTCCTCTTCATTGAGGTATGGCTGTTTTGCACTTTTCTTGAACCCTTCTCTCATTATTTCATTGTGCTAAACATTCATATCTTTGTGGCCGGTACATGGCCTGCATAACAGCAAATGCAGATAAACTTAGTAACAGTGGTACAAACTGAATGAAAATGTGCTTTGAGAGTCAATAATAATGAATTACATAATGACTGTGAAATGTCACACTTCTAGTTTCTAAGTGGGTACGTGAAACAACCATGGTGAAAACACCAACCAGTTCGAGCCCAATCACGCCAGCACCGATTAAAATCATCTTCTCTGGCACTTTCTTGAGGCTCAGGGCACCAGTCGAACTCACAATGGTGTCTTCATCGACCTGGAAGATTGTTCAGTTTATGTGCAACAGACCACATTATAAAAAAAAAATTCTGTAGTGCCAAAGGCACATGCATTCATCTCAACATTAAGGGGGCACTGCAACACAAATCTGGCTTGTCTGGTAATCTGGTTTATTTATTGAATGCATCGATACTGTTGTGCATGCTGAAGTACTGAAAACAATGTATAGCTGTATACAATTTAGAAGTCTGCTGAATGTCCCCCTCAAAGACAGATGCAAGAGAGCCTGTCCCAATGACTGTGCCCTCCAGAGTGATGTGATAAGCTGGACGGCTGGTAACCCTGCCTTCGGTGAACATTGCCGAGTGCACGAGCAAGCCTATTTCTTTATTTGCAGAGGCGATTGGCGGCCGCACTTCAGTCACTTAAGCCGGGGCTTTCCCAAACTTCTTCAGTTGCGTGAAACAACTATATAATAGTTTTAATTGAATTTAGAAACCATCACATGCTGACTACAGCAGCACACAAGAGTGACATCTGACAATGGAAGTATCACTTGATCGCAAGACAGTAGTGTCAATGGCTGTGTGCTAAGATTAGCTGGACGAGACCAATTGTACACAGCAGTCACATGGTGTCATCTTCATCTGAGGTTGTTCGACAAAGAAAAGTGCTGTTACAGTTCTACAAAAAAGAATGTAAGCTTGCTTACTGTAATTCCTGGAAAAGGTGTCACTTCGGATCCCGTGGCAATCATGATGTTTTTGGTCCTTACAACTTCAGACGAGCCGTCACTCTTGAGGGCAGTGACTTCATTTTTGCCAGTAATCTTGCCATGGGCCTTAATGTGTGTGACCTGAAACAAACAAGTAAAAAACAGCTGACAGTGTGTTTCTTGTGCTTAAGTAATTTCGGACAGTATGCTTTAAGTGTGCTCACCTTGTTCTGCTTGAAGAGATGTGCTATTCCACCAGTGAGGGCTTTTACCGAGTTAGACTTTTGTTCCATAAATTTGTCGAGGTTTAGACGAACATTGTCGACTATTTCATCAGCCAGGACAAAAAGAAAAGTACACAGCACCTCAGTTTCAGTCATTCGATGCTGCCATGATGAAAGCGTTGTGCTTCTTTTCAAAAATGTTCTCATTTTTGACCAATGCAATGTTTTCACTTTGGACTAACACCAATGTAATGCCGGAAAGTTCATTATAATTAACTATTCTTTTCCTCACTAAAGCACGAGCTTTTTACACTGGCAGCACGTTCAGATTTAGTATCTCATGTGAACAGCCCAAACATTAAGGTTTTTTCATGCGTCTTAAAATTGCACACATACACCTATGGGTTAACCCCAACAAAGAAGTGCAGTGCACTCAATACAATGTGCAATACATGCCACTCACTATGAGATTACTTTAAGTTACAATGTGACTTACAACAAGAATGCGAAGTGAATTAGAATGCATGTAACATATTCACAATTGGAGTTTCAAACCTATAAATTATCATCACAACCACAGCATTGTGACTGATAAAAGGGTATTTACGGAAGCATGAAGCTTAGTCAATGGAAACAGTACAGTTTTTTGGAATTCACAACTATCAAAAGGGCTGGTACAATGTTTTCCTGTATCGGCATCACATAATCACTCTGTACCCCAATGCGAGAACTATCATGCACCACAATTAACAATGGTGCGTGATACTCGGTCCACATTAATCTGGATTGAGTTTGGTACAGTCATCAGCCAAATTGCAAACTGAAAGCCAGATTCCGATGAGCAGGTTGTGAATGCTTTGATCATGATCGGGCTTGATCGCAATCATAAATCCTTATGTCACACTGATCACATAAAAAATAAGATTACAAAATATTCAGACAAGTTGCACCGGTGTTTTACAATGGTTTAACATCTTCAATTAGTCATTTTTTAAAGTAATTTAAAATTGTTCATTTAATACATACTGTGGATACAAAGCCCATGACAAGTGGGTAGAATACAATAAGTCAGAAAAAAAAAATCTAGTGAATTTAACCATAAAGCAAATGCGCCCAATGGTAAGGCACAATCACAGGAGCAGGAAGCGATCGACTAAGCTTAGCCTACAACAGTGGTAAACTTTCCTCATACTTTACGATCATCATGAAGGGCTCGCCCAAAGCAAAGTTACTTACAAAAAATTTAAATGAAAGATTCTGGCATAGGTGCTTTCAAAGACTGATCACCTTCGATTCCTCGGTTCTTGAAGTCGTTTGAATGTGCCATATGATAGAGGTGCGAGTTGTGCAGCAATGCTTTGGAAGGGATGCAGCCCACGTTGAGGCATGTTCCACCCAAGGTGTCATTCTTTTCTATACATGTAGTCTGGATGGAAATGGTACAGCACCACACATAAGACAACGTGCACTGAATATAAGTGTGTTCAAAAGGGCGTGTACGTACACGGCCTGGCTTACCTTTAATCCTAACTGCGCAGCTTTGATTGCGGCTACATAACCACCAGGTCCACCACCGATGACAACGAGATCTTGTTCCTCTGCAATATGGACCGTGTTCATAATCAAATGCACGTACACAGAGCAAGTCCCATATTCCATAGCAAACGTAAACTAAGAAGCGTATACAAGTTTACTACAGATCCATTAAAGAGCGAGGATGTATGCTGGAAATACAGACTGAATCACACTTGTCTAGAGCATCAAGACGGCTGCTTGAGCTACCACTTTCTGTCAAAGTATGAAAAGGCCGGCGCCATAATGATACTTAACCATAGGTCGACTTACTCAAACTCAGATCGCGCCGGCCGCGAGTCGGGGCGAGTAATATTTGGCGAGTATGCGTCCGAGTGATTCTGGTTGAGGTAAACACTAGTAAGTATGAATTCGAGCGGGCCGTAAGTGTAAAACATGTTTTGTGAGTGAGGCTCCACCTGCAAATACTAACATTGTCATACAGCATGCTGGGTCCTAGTGCTATAATTCAAGCATGAACGGAAGCTTGCAGCTTCGTGCGGTAGCGGCTGCGGACAACAGTGTCCACAGAAACGCGCTCCACTGCTCTAGTGTGATTCAGTCTGTGCCAGACACTTGCAAATGCAAACGCGAGTGATGCTAAGAACCATGGAGGAAATGGAAACGTTATTTCTGTACACGTTTAGCCTAAGAACAGTCGTGACTCCCAGACAAATCAGTACATACCTGTACTGCTCGAGTAGTTTCGGTGGTGAGAGGTCTGTACTCCGGGTACCGCGATGCCAGTACACGCTGACCTTTGCAAGGTAGAAGCCTTGGTAAGTTTAAATAAACGTGAATGAAAACATGTACAGCTTGACAGCATAATGACATAACGTAACATATGCAGCTGGATTCGCGGACAATGTCAGTAATGTGGTTAGCTGCTTAGGAGTTCGGCATCACAGATACGAACTGGACACACTTGCAAAGATCACAGGTCAGCTTGAAGTTATAAACACATGTTACGCGGTACGCAGTATGGCATACATAACTACAACGAAACAACAATCATTTGAAACCCGTGTGTATACAATAAAGGACACCGGTCAAAGGCACTATCGCTTTCGGTCTGCTCTCTTAAGAGCGCACATTAGGAGCGTGCCTTGCCAAGAGCTCAAAGAACTTGGCCACACGTGAGTAATAGCTGAGGTTCAGTTGTACCTTCTGAAATGGAATTTATGCTCACCCTTAGCGCAGGAATTAGCCTGATCCACAAATTTGACTGCATGCTGTATTTTCGCACGTCTTTCGATGCGGGAAGGGCAAACAGACGGCAAAATCGACCAACTTCGACCACAGCGCCACCGAACAGACAAAAACAAAACTGTAACTTACCTAAAAGTAACTCTCACTTCTTTATTAAAAAATTTTAATAATACTTGTACTATTATTGTAAAAAACACTCAAATACAAACGTATTTTTATCATCGTATTATATTTTTTTACTGTGAAATAGTGAGGTTTAATTTTGTGTTCCAAACGACTGCTATCGACGAGTCTTCGTTGCATATTTTAGTTATTTTGTTTATTACAAATGACTTTGAGAACGAAACTTGATTTTGGGAGCCAGATATTCATCGCTGTCGCCGCGCCTGTGGTCAAGTTTATTGCTGCTGTTTAAAGCGCTTGCAGCGACGAGCACCGAAGCACGCTTGTAGCCCGCGATCGCGGAGGCCATGGCGGGCTGAAGGGCAGAACGAGTAGACGCCTGCGTCGCCTTCATCACAGCGCAGCTAAGTTATGCCAGCCAGGTTAATTAAGAATACACGCCATGCAATACGCGAGCGCCGCTGGAATGAAGGCTAAGTGACTTAGAACACTGTTTCTTTTTTTAAGATGATGTTTCAACACAACCTAGAACAATCTGCAAAATTGTTTATGCTTGCTCAGTTGACCAACGCCGTCAGCCCAGAGCAGTTGGCTTTTTTTTTTTTTTTCATTGCAGTGATATAGCTGGCAATGAGTCGCACTTTGATGCCACATGTCACACAAATGAAAACTGTTCAGTACATTAGTCTGCAAGAGGTATTTCATGCTCTGAAAGTTGTAAAAACATTTAGTGTGAAGGCAATATTAGCTTAATTCCATGCAGAATTTAGGTCTTTCAGGATAATTTTATGAAATTAAACTTAATGGACGATTTCATACCTACAAACTGGATTTAATAACATTAATTAGGTTGCATTGTTTTAAATAGAGCCTGCTCATCCTCAGAATAAAATTGTTTGCTTTACTATGCAACCTGCAAAACATTGATAGAGCTTGCATAGTAGTTCATAGCTGTGCATAGTAGTGATTTACGTATCAAACAATGTTTACACGAGGCTCATAATCAGATTAGAGACAACTATGAGATTCATTCTACTTCACATTTTCCTCATAGCAGGGACAGGAATGCCTCCAATACGAGGTGGCTACGCGACTGCACTTAGCTCTAAAATAAACACCCAGATCAATCCAGGGCACAAACTGATGTGGGCATAACTTTTATAGCAAAAGCTGTTCTGAGATCACAACAAGAGTCGCGTGCAACGTAGCTGTCCATCGCTGCCGCCAGTGTCCGTAACCACTACCGCATGAAATAAGAAAAAAATGAAGTAAATAAAAACACCAGGAACACAACAGGATTCGAACCCGAGTACTCTGCTGCCAGCCCAGTACTCTAACACAAAGCCATGCCGATTCTTTGGAACTTCATTGCAAACTGGCTTTAGGGAGGCTTGATGTCTGCAAAGAAATAGCATTTATATGAGTAATAAAGCATTTTAGAACAGCAAAAGAACAATCAAGTGTCACACAATGTGAATTGAGTTACGAGTGCGTCGTCGAAAATGCTCCAACCTATTACAAAAGCTTCAGGCATAATTCTTCGTCGTCAGCCACAGCATCAAAAAATTGCGCGAAATTCCTTAAAAGTGTGTAGCAGGTGGTATGCTTCTCCGAAGAATGATGAAGGATGGCATATAGTGAATGCCTGCCTACTACAAAAAATTATTTATGGCATAGTGGGTACCCTGAAGTGCGCTTGCAGCAGTAACCCAAAGCATGTTTAGAAAAGGCTTTGAAAAGTCGCTCTTCCAGCTTTCGCTATGACTGTGCTGCGCATTTCGTGCAGGCCTGGCGTTTTTTTTTTCTCACATTTCTTTAAGTGTTTTGCACTGCAGAAATTCTAGCATTGCAACAGTGATAACATGATTAAAAAAAAACACATGAAAGGCATGGTGGAGGAGGAAATGGTTTATTTCAGATTTAGAGCACTCGCTTCAGGACATTATAGTGATTCTTTTGAACTTTCAGCGTGACTAGAACAATGCAAATTAAGACATGCAATCTTTGACTCAGGTGATTACAAACCAATAAATAATCTGAGTGAGTGAACACGATAAAGTGGGTGCAGGCACATAATGAGAAAGCTTAATTAACGACATCATCAGTGGCTGGATGACCAGCTTTGCAAAAGTAATTTGGGCTTGCTACTTCTGCCATTTCTAACAAGCGACACGGATTGTTTGGGCTCTATTTTTACCAATTCTTCAGAAAACTATCACTTGTAGATTAAATGAATAATCTTGACCAATAAGTGCACACCATGTTTTAAAACACAAAATGGGATGCTATATCAGACTCTTGTCAAAAATGAGCTTGCTCAACACCAAAGTTAACACAACAATGATGCATGAACAAAAAAAGTGAGCATAAAACAAACGTTTCTTCATATTTCTAAAGAATGTACAACTAGCCTATGCTGAAAAAAATTGACATGGCTTGGAACTCATGTACAAACAATGAATTAGTATAACCACTGTAGATGCAAATGCTATGCTGTGTCATTGAAACTAAGCAACATATAAATATAAAATCACGCAATGCAGCAGGCCTCAGTAAAAAAAATCACAACTCCGCAAAAGCTCAAAATCAAGCATCTGTAAAGTTGTCACACACACTTTGGCAATCAATTTTGTTCAAACATACAGGGTATTCCAGCTAGAAAAAATCAAGCAGTAAAAAGAAACTAAAAATGAGTGCTACGTGTCGCTAACTACATGGTATCTTTCTTAGCTATACGTTGCACGTCAGAATATTTTCTTTTGATCTGCCAAGCAAGGCAATTAACAAAAATTGCTTAATGAACTCTTTCAATACTGAATCAAGAAAAACATTTTCAATACAAAACTTGTAGCCCTTATCCAGAAATAACAACTATTCAACTATCGCTTAACGTCCACTGCAGTCACCGATAGACTGTTCAAGTGACCTTCGTGCTGGAGAAGCCTTCGCTGATTCACTCAACTAACATTTGAAGGCAGTAGAGGTGTTGCATGTTAGGCGGCAATCACGTGGTATATTTTTGAGTTTTGTGCACTTCAAACAAATGCAGGAAAATAATTAGCCAGTGTCATTACCTTACCATAAATTGAAATTTTTTTATTTCTGGGTAAAGGTTACAAGTTTTGTATTGAATTTTTTTCTCTAGAGTCAGTATTTAAAAAGATCATTAAGCAATTTTCCTTAAATACCCTGCTTGGTAGATCAAAAAATATATTCTGACGTGCTACATACAGCTAAGAACAATCGCACGCTAGTTGGAGATGCATAGCGCTAATTTTTTATTTTTTATTGCTTGATGCTTTTTAGCTGGTATACCCTGTATAATATTTATGAGCTATGAAAACCCAACACACAAGTTTAGAACAGAACAAAGAAGTAGGAACATGTGTAACAACCAATGGTCAAAGAACACTAGGATAACTAAGGATGGCACAGTAGGTTCAAAATTCACAACCAAAGTGTACCCTTTGGGAAACGCAGCAAAAGGTGCGCTTCAACATTTAAAACATTTTTATGGTAATAAAGTTCACCAATGTTTTTATGTGGATGACACAAGTGGTAGAAAGCATGTAAACCAGCGATGGAGGTAAAATATCCAATGAAATAATGTGAGACAACCCCCGGTTCTTTCTGCTACATTGTCTATATAAATAAAATAAAAATGATAAAGACATTAATATGCTTTTACTTCTCATTAAACATAGCCCTCGTAAAAACACATTCGGGAGTCTGGACACATTTTCTACTTCAACGACTGCTTGGGCTGCCAGCGAGACACAAAGAAGCCGGGAAAAGTGTGACCCAGTTTGTTTTTGTTATTCACACCTCTTCATCTGTCTCATAAGACTATTCTCATTCCACACATAAGTGAAGCCCCCAGAAAGCTTCCACTGAGAGCTGTATTTCTTTATCCTAAAAAAAAGACACAAATGTCGTCTAGTGCAATAGATGACATGCCAGAGACAGGCCTGTGATTGTGCCATTTTTTTTACAGCACACCGAGAACAGCCAATGATGTCAGCCGCCTCTCATGATACAATAGATAGCAGTAAGACGAAAGTATACTGTTGAAGTGTAAAGTATTAAGAGAGCAACAGAAGTGCTTAGAGGATAAGTTGGGGTTGAGATGGGGGTGTGGGGAGGGCAACACCGACTCTCCAAGCTTCCTTACAAGCTACCTTTTCCCCGACCCATTTGCTCCTAGCTCACCCACCACTGAAACTGCTTACTAAACCCCACAAAAACAGGGAGGCTAAGGGTGTTCCACCTTCTTTTAAATTGACATAACTATGTTTCTTTCAACATGTTCAACCAGAATTCCCTAAAGCCTTCCGGTATATTAAAATTAAAAGGCTACAGAAAGAGCTGCATGAAGAACTGGGTTACTTGAAGTGTTTGCATATGTGAATGACTTTTTTTTACCTTTCAGCAAGTATACAAACATTGGACAATCTTAATAGGTTTCACTTGAGGCTTTCATTGAATGTATTTACTCCTCGTGCCACACCGCAGTTTTTCTGAAGAGAAAGACAACCTGTGATCATTAAAAAATAATAGACAGCCAATGTGATTATTAGCACTACACATAAAATGTACAGTTATATATTTCTATAGGTTTTATGTGGCAATAGCTACGGCAGTGACGGTTCACTGCCATGCAAAGCACAAATTTTAGTGATTAGTACATCACCTTAATTAAAAAGCACAAATAACTTCTATGCCTTCCTTGATTTCATTGCCCACTCCCTATTGCAGGAAGCAAAGATGACATGAAGTTGATTGTTTACACAATTCGCAGACTAAATCGCTGATGCCCCAAAGACATAGGTGACCACTTTGGCGATTTATATATATAAGAGCAGGAGTAATCTAAGAAAAGAGAGCTGCTACAAGTCTCATCCATCGCGCACAAAAGTCTTGCACTCATTGTCAAAACAGACAATGAAATATGCACACTCTTTAAAAATCCACATAATTTCCACATGTGAACTTCCAACTAAACAAAAATTCACTTCCATACGTGCTGTTTCCCTGTACCATTACACTGGCTGAACTTGCAAAAGTACACCACATACTGCAAATACATGCAAATATAACATGACAATCAAGTACAGTATTTGAGCTTCGTTACGACATGGTGACCAAATACTCACCAATTTCAAATTAAAGAAAACACTTTCAAGTAAGGGAAAGAACAGAAATTGGAGCAGAATAAAGGTAAGAAAGATGGCACAAGCACTGACTGGATGCCTCATAAACTCCACTATTTGTATTCATGCATGTTGGCTTTGGCCTTATCTACTCTAGACCGTATTCATATATGGGAAAGTTTGTTAAACGGGCCCTGAACCACACTTTGGGCTTGATGAGATAGAATTCCCCCCCAAAAAAGACAGTGCTGCAATCACGTCAACCAAATTTTGTACCCATGTACAGTGCATGGAGTTCACATGTAGAGTGCAATATTGAAACATCTTTTTAAACATGGCACAGGGCCGGCTGGTCGCAGCTGATGCCAGTAGGCGACAGGCAGGAGAGCAGCCATTGGCACTGCCCCTGTCCTTCAGTAACAAGTGTAAATAATTAAAAAAAAAGGCAGAGGTTAAGGGGAAGGTAAGGTGGAAGCTTGCACAGATGAAAAATTCGTGAACACAAATAAGAAAGGTAGCTCCACTCGAACAAGATCTCTCTAAGTTTGTTTAGTAACATGCTCCTAGGATGCACTATACTTGTTCTAATGTGTGTCTGGCATCCCAAAGAAAGATAGTTCAAGGCCCCTCTAATGCTTCTCGTCTTCAATTGAACAAAATATATTAGTACATTCTCTTCTTTTCCTTTAGCATGAACACACAATGTGATTTCAGTCATCCCCATAAAAAAATAAGGACCAAAATTATGAGATGGGCATGTGCAAATGATAATGACAATGACTGCTAAGCTACAGCGCCGTATAGTTCTCGATGTGCTGTCTCGACCGGCTTCCAGGCCTATCGGACGAGACGGATGTTGCGCCCTGTCGACCGTAGCCCTGCGTGTGCAGAGGGAGGTGGTGGTAGTAGTCGGATGGCTCGTGCCTGCTGTAATTGGCACCTTCGGCGACGCTGCTTGGCCTTGCATAAAGGCGTCCCTCGTACCTTGATGGGTGCACACCGCTGAAACACGCGCAAACGTAACTTTGTTGAAATTCATCGGCTAAAATAGTTTTTCCGTTCCGAATAAAGTTTTTTCGTTCCATTCATTCCATTCATCTGCTAGATTTTTCTCACCCGTGCGATACAAGACAGGTCTCCCTTTTTGCATCTTTCCCACAATTTTCCATTACTAGGAGGCACTAGTTTGGTCAAAGAGCAGTTAATATGGGAAGTCACTGGGTTGCAAATTGTCTGCAGCATTAGCTTTAGAGCATGATGAGAAAACCTCTATAATTCAAAAATTCAGTGCCCCATGATAGGTAAGTACAAACATTGAAAGTAAGGGAACTGTTTGAGGAGCACATTTCCTTATTAGACACAAGAAAATTGGATTCATTTGGTTAGGTAGAGACGTGTATTACCGATTGGTATATAGTGTCTGAACAGAAGTTATCCTAAAAAACAATTTTTAATTTTTTTTTTTCCCAACAGGAAGTCGCATATTTTGAGCAGCTGCCCATACCACCACATTTTCAAAATTAAGTAAACGAAACACTAAAAAGCTATAAAAAAGCTATAAAGCTATTCAAAGAAGTAATATCCATTTATGATCGTAATCTAGTAAGCTCTTTACAGTTTAAAATATTAACACTGAAGCTTGTTATTAGGCATTCAATTGGCACCTTACCCTCTTTCTGAGCTAGCATAGGAGCTTGGTGATTGCCAGTAGTCAGAACTTGCTGGAGCTCGGCTTGGCAACCTCAGTGTTGGAGCCAGCACTTGCTCATCTGATGGTGTCTGCAAAGGAAGCTGTGTCCGTGGTTGTGGTTGAGGCTGTGGCTGCGGCTCTGGCTGAGGGGGTGGCTGCCGCCGTGAAATGTGGACCACTTTGACGCTGCTGTCTGATGGTGGACGAAATGGTTGAAGACTCTGGAATGTAGAAAGTGGTATCAGCGGTGCAAGTGCAAAAAATGACCACTTGGCATGAAACTTATCAATGGGCTTGGAGGCTTCGGGAAAAATACACAAAAAGAGAGATGGGGAAACAAGCCACTTGTAAAAATAAGCATAAATCCACTTGCCACTTGTAAAATAAAGCATAAAAGGCTGCATAAAAAAATATTATGAACAATGCCTTATAATATGTTGAATTTGTACGTTGAAGAAAAAACAGCAAAAATGTGCATGCACATGCACACACATCATGCACATACAGTAAGCCTAATTATTATGCAGTCATGCTTATACCAGTGGATGACACATGACTCAAGAAAAAGTGGCCGGGAAGTTACAATTATTTCTGCAGCTGACAAGAATCCCGATTGTATAGGTTATTAATGTTGCTCAAAAGTTGAGGTGCACAAATATTAAAAATTTCCAATATTTTTCTAATAGTGTTTGCTATTCGATTCATACTAGAATTCTACAATTCGAACTTCCCCATGGCAAATATAGTCAACAACTAACTGACAGTTATCCCTTCAAATCTTTAATTTGCTTTGCCTCACCACTTTCTCCTACTGTGGCAATGCTGCCTTTCAGGCTCTGCTACAATCTAAAATGCATTGGCTCAAGAAAACGCTGGCTCCAACATAGAGATGATGGATGTCACAAAAGCGGTGGTTCAATTAATGCTGTTTTGGACATGAAACTTGGGCAAAATGTCCGAAATATCAGACGCAAAGATATCTAGCATTCAAAATTCCAGATGCTCTTGTATATCAACGTCTAGGGGGCAGATTTGGAACTCCGGACTCGAAGGATGCGCAGCTTTGTCCACCATGCCAGTTGGGCTGCCACAGAAGTTTAAAAATAGGAAAAACTGAGTAAATGGCATCTTTGCCTTTCACATGTGAAATGAAGTCATCAACACTTTGCTTGCACCAAATCATGTACATGACTACAATTCGACCTTCGCCTTGCCTCATTCTTTATAGTAAAACTGTGAAACACCACTCCACCAGCGCTTCATCAAATTAGGAAAAATAAACGCTTTCATGTTGCTATATTATAAGAATATGCTTAGAAATCCCCTCTAATTTTTTTTCTACAATTCCACTACAAAGTATTTGAAAAATATTCAATTTGATTTGCCTTCTGACTTAATTACTTCTAATTCACTGTGTGCCCAAAATATTGCTATTTTCACAGCTCTACTGAAAATTTCTGCGCATAAAAAAAGCCATGAACAAGCGAGGCCATGAGATAGTTAACAATATGCATTGGATTACAACAGTTTCCTTCCTTTGATATTCATTTATATGAAATTATTCAGAATGTATTGACACCTTCTAATCAAACATTAACGCATTAATCAAACATTTGCAGGACACATAAAAAGTTATTGACTTGTTAAAAGGTGTTGCATACGGAAGAATACCATGAAAATTATGGTTGACAATATACATTTGGTTGCAGCAGTTATTTCCCAGACATTCATTTCAGATGAATTATTCAAATTATTTCAACCCTCTAATCCATTCAGCATAAGCAGTGTCAATAAAATACTTGTAGCATATGCTGATAGCTAATTAAATAAAAACTAAGAAGCCGGCAGCTCTCACATCACGCTTCCGGCAAGTCTTCTTGGCCTTTTCATGCTCTGCTCTCCTTTTGTGATCCTGGAACACAACAAAGAGACATCAATTACGAGAGCCAGAAATAAATGCCAAGAAATGCCAGGAAAAAAAATCTATGGTATCTTGGCAGGCAGTAGTCATAGAAAATGAAGCTGACATAAATCAGAGTGCTTACCACGTAACTTATGAGACAGCTTCCAGGTACCCACACAATCATGGACACCACAATAACAGTGCCCACAATGTTGTCATTCAGAAATTTCACTGAAATAAATAAAATAAACGAAGAACAAGATAAATGCAGATTAACAGTGCCTGAAAAGAAAAAGAAATAAAAACTACTATAAAGACACCCAAAGGCATTCTTGTAAGAGCCTCAAACCAAGTGTACATTCACAGCAATGTCGGTAGAGAGCACACAAACAGCCACTTTTTGCTCAGTGGGGCGATACGAGGTAGTTTTGGGCAATGACGGTCAGCCTTCAGTGCATGATTTCTATGCACCCTGTCAGAGAGCAAAAATGGCTCAAGCTGTCGCCCCACAGACCGAAAACCGGCCCTTTGCGCACCCTACACAGGCGTGGCTGTGGACATGCTGCACCTAGCCATCATTTCACAAATGTACGACAACCAATTGTTCCTCTCGTAAACACTGCACTTTGCTTAGCTTCATTCGCACACTTGCTCACTCACTTACTCACAAGAACAGTGGGTAGTATCTGTCTCTCCTTCTGACGATTGATTCCCTTAGGACTATGTTAACTCCGACAACAGAGCGAAATATTTTATTAATATTAAAAAACGTTTGCCTGGATCCTTCACGCAATGTTTTTGTAACATTGTCAAAAGGTACAGCAAAGAAAAAAAAGACTCACAAACTGTGTTAATGTCTATGTCCTCAATAATATCCCAGAACCTTTCAACAATGTCCTGGACCGTCTTCTCACATTTTCCCTGCAGTTCACAAAAAGCAAACAAAAACAACAGTACTGTTGTGAGAAACATTTCAGTCATCAAGTCAATTTATTCATTCTGACCAAAGATAGGAAGAGACGAATATGACTACTGCACTAAAAAACATAAGTAATAGTAATATAATAAGTAATAGTAATATAGTAATGAGTAATACAGAATTTTAATCATATTACACTGCTAAGGAATACAGTCAAGTAGTAGCATTTAGGTAGCAGCGTTTAAGTTGGACATATTTACTCGAATGTATGCACACAATATATTTATTTATTTATTCATATACCCTAAAGGCCCATTTGGGCGTTACATAAGGGAGGGGGGGTAGTTACAATACAGCAGGGTCATGTGCAAAACAGAAATATTTACACAGAACACGAAAAAAAATAATAAAAAGGTAAATGCAGAAACAAATTTTGCACCAAAGAAGACATAGTAACGCAGCACTCAGTATGGCATGAAACGATGTGCGTGATAATTGATGTAATATGGCACTAGACTATATATATAACATATATGACAATAAATTTACAGTTGGATTTGCCTCATACCTCAAGCGTTTAGTACTTGAGTCTGATCCAATGAGAATTCATTTCTTATAACCACTGTCTAGTACTGAACACTGCACTAAGTGTCTGTTATGCTAGGAAATATGATGCCCCACACAGAGTAAGTGATTGCCTCAGGAATATAAGGTTTGGATAATTGTTATACGAAGCTTTCACTTAATTCCCAGCACATTAAGCTTACAAAGCAAGAAAACTGGCACAGCATGCAAACCTGATACATGCTGCGCACGCCAGTACAAATACAGCGAGCTTTGTCTTTCGATAATGTGCAATGCAATGAAGAGCTGACCTTCTCACAATAGCCATGTATACATGGTGTTCCGTCTCTCAGAATTTCCATCGGCTCCGTCGGCTTGCAGGTAGCATTGTGTGAAGGTCGACAGCAACGCTTGCAAGCGTCCACCTCTGCAAGTTGGCGAAAGATGACACACGGAGCAGAGTTTGACAGGATCGTTGAATCAACAAGCAATGTTGTTAACGCTGCTTTCCACAATTTTTTTTTAAACAGCAGCTCGCAGTACGGCAGCTCTTTAGGCTTCTTGTTTCAAGAAGTGATAAACTAAATAGTTCCCACATTTAATAATATCTGGGGTATAGCGTCCTAAAAACACAACATGGTTATGAGAGATGGCATAGTGGAGAGCACCAGAAATTTCAACCATTAGGGGTCCTTTAACGTGCACCTAAATCTAAGCACATGGTCCTCAAACATTTTCGCCTTCATTGAAAATGCAGCCGCTGCAGCTGGGATTTGATCTCGTGGCCTTCGGGTCAGCAGTAGAGTGCCATAACTACCAGAGCACCGGGGTGAGGATACTAGCTACCTCATTTCTTTTTTTTTTCTTTTGCACTAGTAGAATGATCTATAATTTGTATGGTGAGTCATTACAGATGTTCTCGGCTTTTAAAAAGTTTTTCCACATCCTACTTCCTAAGAAGGCCACTACTACTATCTGCAATCAGTTGATGATGGCTTGCAGTAAGCTAGCACACTTAATTTTCATCCTGTAAGACCCTCATGCCCACAACTGCAGTACCTTTCACGCAGTAATTTACTCACAATCAGTAGCGTTAATATGTCAGCGTGCTCCTCGCTTAATATAATGTCACAGGACTGTGCTTTCCACAAACCTAAAGCATTGAAAGTGGTTATAAAGGCGAGCAATATGTAAAATCCTTTAATACGCCCTTCCTCAAAATTCTATTCTATTCAAATTGCTTAGTCTACCCACAGGCGTGCAGGCTGGTTTGATACAAAATGGCTTGAAAATGTCATTATACCACCTCAGTTTACTTAGGGCAAGGGTTCCAGTCTCATGAAAATTCCTAAAATGCACACACCCCAGGACCATGCAGGAGCGATATGCGACGCATAAACTACATAAACCAGCTCTTCCTGATTTCACATTTCATTCTTCTTGGTAAAATGTTTTGGTGAAAACCTACTACTTTTTTTTTTTATCACATTACACAACACTCCCTCCTATTTTTCTTCCTTCCTCCACGTCAGGAATGAGACTTTCATTCTCGTGCTTAATGTACTACTTCATTTTTTGAAGGCAAAAACGATGGTTATGCAGGCTGTACTGAAACGTGGCAACGTGGAACGACAAGTGACCATGATAAAAGATCAGATTGCCACGTCATAAAAAGCCAATTTTAAAAAAAGCTGACGGTCGAGAGAGAATCAATTATTTTGAACACGCATGCGACTGGCGCACTTTCGAGGGCCGCAATTCTGTGACTCGCTGGTGCCTAGGCTTTTCGCATGCGATCCCCCTGCCACCACCAAAATTGGTAAACCGTAACAAGCTTCGCTTGAATAGTGCTCACCCACCTGTGTCGCACATGCAGGAGACTTCCCCTCTTGTCTCGCAGTATGGCATGCATTCCCCTGCTCTGCACTTGCCCCTGGAGACAAAAGATGACGTGTGATAAAACTACGTATGCCACATAAACTACATATTTGGCTACAACTGTTATCACCTTAATTCAATTTTTGCTTCAAATCGCTTCCAAACTGGAAAAGGCTTTCCGTGAACAGTAATATTTTATTATCTAAACAATGATTTGCCTTTAAACACAGCGCACAACAAGCACCAAAGTTGGAACAGCATAAACTGTTAAGCATGACATACTGTTTTTATGCTTCACTGATTTGTTGGCCAACTTTCAGAAGCTGATATTGCTAGCTGAAGCATTTGCCTGTGCAAACTTCCTAAAATCAAGCACTCAAGTTGCATCCATAAAAATCACCACAGTTGCAGGAATAGTATCGGAAACTATTGAGCAAAATTTTTATGAACAGGTTGTATATTTAATAAAGCTGCCCACAAATTTAGACAACTAAAGATTATGAAATTTACATCAAGAGACCTGGCAGGTTTAAAGCAATGCTACCACCAGCCAACATTATCCATCAGTACATATGTGTCTGCACTTACTGTTGTATCAACAAAGCGTTAAGAGAAACCAGCCGAACTGTGCCGAGTGCATTCACACAAAACTGTTCAGCATGGTGCCAAACCTTCCATTCAAGTGAAATCTCTTAACGTGACATTTTAAAGCACAAGAATATTGAGCATCTAGTGAAGTAAGCGTCCTATTGTTGGTTCACACTACTACTTTTTATATAAGTACACTCGCCAGAGGAAATGTTCACTCACTTGTCCAAACATGGGCTATCATCTCGTTGCGGCGGTGATGGAGGGCACTCAGCTGATTTACCAGTGCGCATTTTGTTAAGAAAAATCATGCCCTATTCGCTTTCATAACTATTGCACAGCTAGCAAAACATGTATATATGGAACATATTATACAATGCCAGAAAAAAACACATACCAAATGCATGGTGTTCGAAGAACCAGCCGTGGAAGCTCAAGGATTTCGTTTAACAACTCCCTCTTTATATTTCAGGAAAAAAAAGAATAAAAAGAAAACAGAGCTTGCCTAGGCTTTCTGTGGTAAAATGCTGTCATACTCTTTGAAAGGCTCTTTCAGTGTGCTAACGTTCTTACCTGTACATACCACAACTTTAAAGCCAAGAGATTATAACGACGTCAAAGACTGAAATGCACTGATAAAGTAAGTCATCCTACGTTGCCTAATTAAAGAAAGGGAATAGAATGCCTGTTTTATGCGCACTGCCTTTGACATTGACAGAACACGGTGGAATGATGTTGGGAGCATGTCCCCCCAATATCCACAGAAGTCTTCCAATATTTCAAGATCAATTTTCAACTAATGCAGAAAAGCCCTCCCTCCCCCCTCTACCCAAAACAAACTTTTTTTTTGTAGAATGTGATTAGTCTGCTGTTGTACAAGAAACGAAACATGCTAACTGCTATAAAGAAAATTCAGTAAGCACAGCAGATGGCAAAGAGTACTTTCTTTAGCCATGAGCACAAAAGTAGGAGATAAGTGGTACAAAATGACTTGCAAAATAATTGCACATGTACTAGCAAAGCAGCAAAGGATATGTGCAGTAGGCTTCATTTTTGCAGGCATTGGGTTGCGCCTCACGGCACAGCGCCCCGTTGTTCTGGGAGTAGTCGCAGTTCCGACAGCAGGGGGAATTTCTGTCACTACAGAAACAAACGACGAAGAAATTGAGCGCGATAACTTGGATGCAAATTAAAAAAATGGAATTCATGAAATCTGCTTACAACTGTTAAAGGTATGTGCAACCTGGATTTTAAATTATTTTATTGCTTCTGGAACAGTCGCTGTCAGCTTTACATCTAGAAAATCTGTACAATTCGATTTGAATATTACAGCAAGGGATCCATTGCTTTAAACTGAAAATTTAGTTACAAAAGCACGGCGTTCATTTTGTTGTAACAAAAAAAGGGCGCCAATGTACCTGCACTTTGCATTGGGCTTAAGCCGGCATTCCTCATCACAGCAGGGGTCACTGTCCTCGCTCCCAATGAGGCCAGCATCACACTGTTCTCCTTCTTCGACCAACGAGTTCCCACAGAATGACTCTTCAGGCTCTGGAACAATGTAAGTTATAAAAAGCTTCTAGAGGTGATATTTCATTCATTCATATATTTATTCATTAGGTTAGGAGCTAAAAATGTTGTTTTTGGTCTGCACATGTGAATGCAACAATGTTTCTGCAAGAAAAAACACTTACTTGAAAAGCACTTGCTCGCCTTAGCCAACAAAACTGCCCTAATGGAACGTACACTGCATGGGGAAAATTTCTGCAAGAGAATGAAATGGCAACAGGCCGACATACTGAGGCTCTAATAAACTGTACTATTGCCCACACTATGCTTGCAAAATGAAAAACAGACCTTGTTGTTTGGGTCGTAGCCACTGACAGAGTAAGTGTACATCAAATACGATCCACCACGCTGTGAGTCTGGTGAACACTCGGGTAGGTCAGGGTCATGTTCACTGCCCCAGTTGTGACCTGTGCAAATATGTCTTGCATGTAATATATAATTGTGATACTGACATAAATTGAATAAGCGAAGACAATAAAGGTGGGTTTATGGAGGATGAAGAGATTATTACACAGTGAGACTTCCACATAACCAGGCTAGATGTAAAATATTACCAACTGTAACAAAGTAATCCTATAAGAACATCAAACTTTACTTAGGTGAGCATTCTGGTACTGCAGTGGAATAGAAAGTACCAAATCTCAGAAAATATTGATTAAGGCATCAATTATTATTAATTAACTGCTCAAAGTAGCTATTTTGACAGCAAGTGCATCTGATACCAAGTAACAACTCAAGAATGGCAATATTTGAAGGTCTAACCAAGTCTTGGCCAACAGCTTCGCTTGGCTTGCATGCAACCAGTAAGACAATATGTGAACTATCATGAACACGCAACGATAATGTATTATGTGCCAGAGGTGATGATGATGATGATGTTTGATGTTTTGTGGCGCAAGGGCCATTTCACGGCCAAAGAGCGCCAGTTCATCTTACTAAAAATATGGACAATGATTGCGATAAGCGGCTGTATAAGGGCCATAAAATTCCTCGCGGTAAGGCGGGTAAGAACATACAAGTAATAAAATCATGACCATGCCGTGAAAGGTGTGCGTGGTGTGAATAGATGACAAAAGTTGGTGATAATAAAGGACGATGGTGGATATGTATGGCATTAGCACAAGTGCCTCACTCGTTCATACACTTGCGTCCAAGGGCCGTGAGGCAAGTGCTTTATTGTGTAGCCACCGCAGCAAAAACCTCTCTGGAGAGGTCGTGCTACGGAATGCCCGGGTATATGATATGAAAACTATGAATTTCTTTTAAAAACGCTAACAATAATTTATGACTAAAAAGCGGTTCCCTACCGACGAACATGGCAGGGTGTAAAGGTATATGTTGTCGGTAGGGTAATGGAAAATGTTGTTTTCTTAGAGTTTCTAAGTGTTTGCACTGGATTAACATGTGAAGGACTGTTAATGCTTCACCACATCTGTAACAATGGTGGATCGTCAACAGACAAAAGATAAGTGTGTGTCGCATATGTCTGTCCTATCCTGAGTCTCGTTAGTATTATATCTGTATGACGTGATTTCGATACGGGCAGCCAATGACCAAGGTGTGGCTTAATAACATGTAGTTTGTTTTAAGTGTGTGTATCCAACTTGCTCTGCCAGTATACCCTGAGGTTTCGTTTGAGAGACAGCTTAAGATCAAGGGCCGGGATTGATATGGGTGTAGGGGCAGTGCTTTTGTGGACGGATGCAGCGTGCTGATCCGCCCTCACGTTGCCTTGAATCTCACGGTGCCCTGGCACCCAGCGCACTACAACATGTTGTTTGAGTGTGTAGAGTGTGCACAAAATGGAGTAAAGTGAGACAAGGACTGGGTTTTTGTGTTTTTTAAGAGTGTGCAGAGCCGTTACCACACTGAGGGAGTCCGTATAAATTACTGCTTTTTGTATTTGTAATTGCTTGATGTGTTAAGCCGCCACAAGTATCGCATAAGATTCCGCTGTGAAGATACTTGTGTCTGGATGTAGAGGGCCAGCATCTGAAAAGAATGGGCCGACAGCAGCGTAGGACACCGAGGAGTTAGACTTGGAGGCATCTGTAAAGAACTCAGGACGTGTGTATTTGTGTTGAAGTTCCAGGAACTATGTTCGGATATAGGCAATAGGTGCATGTTTTGTAACTTCTAGAAAAGACACATCGCAGTCTATAGTCTGCCATTGCCACGATGGCGGGTATACTACAGGAGCCATTAAACTGTGTTCAAGTGAGACTCCAGTTTCCTCAGCTAGACTCTTCAGGCGAACTGAGAAGGGCTGCTCATCGAAGGCCTGTTTTGAAACAGAATTGAGCTCGACAAATCATTAATAGTAGAATATGAGGGGTGCTTCTTGTCTGCTTTCACCTTAAGGAAATAAACAAAGGACATGTAAGTTCTCTGCAGATGAAGCGACCACTCATTTGACTCGACATAAAGGCTTTCTACGGGGCTGGTGCGAAAAGCACCCGTAGAAAGGCGGATGCCCAAATGGTGCACGGGGTCCAGCATCTTCAAGGCACTTTGAGTCGCAGACTGATAAACAACGGCCCCATAATCTAAGCGGGTGCGAATGAGGCTTCTATATAGGTTCATGAGACATTGCCTGTCACTACCCCACCTAGTACGTGACAACACTTTTAAAACATTCATGGCTTTTAAACATTTTGTTTTTAGATACTTGATGTGCGGTACGAAGGTCAACTTGTTGTCCAAGATTAATCCTAAGAATTTATGCTTCGTATTAACAGACAGACGTTGACCATTCAGTTCAATGTCAGGTTCTGAGTGCATGCCTCTCTTTCGGGAGAACAAGACACACATGCTTTTTTGTGGGTTCAGTCGGAATCCGTTTTCCTCTGCCCATTTGGAGACCTTGTTTAAACCTAACTGAACCTGCCGCTCACACATTGCCAGATTGCAAGATCTAAAGCCAAGCTGGACGTCATCGACATATGTACAATAAAACATATTGCGAGGAATGGACAAGCGCAAGGAATTCATTTTGATGAGAAAAAGTGTGCAGCTAAGTACACCACCTTGTGGCACGCCTGTTTCCTGGACAAATAATTGGGAAAGAACCGTGTCCGGTTTGACAGGTAATTTTCGATTATGTGAAACATTCTTCCGCGCACGCCAAGGTGGGACAGGTCTCTTAGAATTCCAAAACGCCATGTTGTATCATAAGCCTTTTCGATATCGAGGAATACAGAGAGAAAATATTGTTTATGGACGAAGGCGTCCCTGATCTGTGCCTCGATACGAACAAGGTGGTCTGTGGTGGATCTACTTTCTCGAAACCCGCACTGAAATGGGTCGAGCAAATTGTTTGTTTCAAGGATATGTATAAGTCGGCAGTTTATCATTTTTTCGAAGATTTTGCACAAGCAGCTTGTAAGTGCAGTAGGCCTATAACTCGAAGGTAAAGAAGGGTCCTTGCCCTCTTTCAAAATGGGAATAATAATAGCCTCTTTCCAGGAGGTAGGGATAGTGCCAGAAAACCAGATAGCATTGTACAAACAAAGTAAGGTTTTTTGTGTTTCAATTGGTAGGTTTTTTAACATTTCATACACCACACGGTCAGAACCTGGGGCAGAAGTACTGCACGAGTTTAGAGACGTTCGCAGCTCAGCTAGACTGAAAGCTTGGTTATATGCCTTGTATCTAGTGCATTTGTGTTCGAGTTTCTGCTTTTCTATTCTTGTTCTGTATTTTTGGAAAGTGTCAGTATAGTGGGATGAGCTGGACACCGAAGAAGTATGCAGTATGCAGAGAAGTATGCACCGAGGAAGTTTGCCTGATCTTCCAAGGTATCACCCTGAGTGTTTACGAGTGGAAGTGTGTGTACTTGTTTTCCTGCTATCCTACCGACCATGTTCCAGACTTTAGCCTCCTGTGCGTATGAATTGATCACTGACAAAAACTTCTGCCAGCTTTCTCTTCTGGCCTGCCGACGCGTTCTCCTGCCTTGAGACTTTATTTTCTTGAAGGTGTCAAGATTTTCGGCTGTCGGTGAGTTCCGAAGCAGCCTCCAAGCTCTGTTTTGCTGTTTGCGCGTGTTTCGGCATTCAGAGTTCCACCATGGCACACGCCGTTTTCCAGGGTGTCTATTTGTTTGTGGGATGCATTTTGTTGCAGCATCAATCAAAAACACTGTGAAGTAGTTGACAGCAACATCAATGTTCAAAGTACATATGTCATTCCAACCTAGATGAGCGATGGTATAAAACTGTTCCCAGTCGGCTCTATTTATGAGCCACTTGGGAACACGTGGTGGGCACTCAGTTACTGTAGTTGTGCTCAAAACTACGGGGAAGTGGTCACTTTCGTACAGATTACTGATGACTTTCCACTGGAGTAGAGGCACAAGAGATGAAGAGTATATACTATGCTTAGGTCTATGGAGGAGTAGGTGTTATTAGCGAGATTGTAAAAGGTTGGTTCTTTTCGATTTAGGAGACACGTGCTCGTCGAGATAAGGAACTGTTCGATCAGTCGACCTCGCGCGTCATACCGAGAGTCACCCCATAGCCTGCTATGCGCATTAAAGTCTCCAAGGAGAACATAAGGCTCCGGAAGTTCATCAATTAGAGAGTGTAAATCCCGTTTTTGCAGCTGATAGCTCAGAGGAATGTAAATAGTGCAGATTGTGATCAGTTTATCAAAAAGAACTGCTCGAACAGCCACTGCCTCAAGGAATGTTTGGAGTTGTAAGTGTGTGCATGCAATTCCTTGATTCACTATGATGGCAACACCTCCGGATGATGTCATGGCATCAACACGGTCCTTTCAGAAAATAACATATTTACGAAGAAAATTTGTGTGTTTTGAATTAAGGTGTGTTTCTTGTACACACAGCACTTTTGGTGAGTGTTCGTGTTAGAGTTCTTGGATGTCGTCAAGGTTTCTGAGAAGGCCCCTGACGTTCCATTGTATAATTTGAGTGTTCATGGTGAATGTAAAATAGTGCTGTGTGTACGAAAAGTGAGTGGCTGTTTAGACAGGAAGTTTGAGTTCACTTAACAGGGCCGTCACCAGGCCCTGTTATCTGCTTTTTTGTTTTCTTGGCATCCACTGGATAACGCCTGCACGTGTGGGCTGTTAGTTCGAATTTCGGGCCTCGGCTGGTGAGGTGAGGCCTTGAGACCTGAGGACTCTGGAGTCTCCGGTCTCTGTTTGGGAGTAGGCGGTGTAGGCTGGGCTACAGCCGCCTTGGGGGCAGGTGCCACAACCACCAGCTCGGTATGCGCGGGCCGAAGGAGTGGCGAGGGCTGGTGCGGCGGTGCCCCCTGACGCGCCGCATCAGCGTATGTAGGTCCATAGAATGGAGCGACTCTTCGCCGTGCTTCCTTAAATGTAATGTTCTCCTTCACCTTCAACGTAATTATTTCTTTTTCTTTTTTCCAGTATGTGCAGGAGCGTGAATATGCGGCACGGTTTCCTTCGGAGTTTACACAGTGTGGCGGTTGTTTGCAGTTCTCAGACACGTGGCCTAGGACTCCACATTGTGCACAAGTCTGGCGACCACGACAGCTTTTAGAGCCATGGCCATACCTCTGGTATTGCAAGCAACGACGAGGGTTTGGTATGTACGGCCTGATAGATGTCTTCGTGTACCCTGTTTGAATAGATTCCGGTAGTTTACTGGATGCAAACGTGAGTATTAAGTGTTTTGTCGGTGTTTCCTTATTATCTCTTCTCATGATGATTCTCTGTACATTAGTGACATTTTGGCTCTTCCACCCCTCCAAAAGTTCAGTCTCAGTCAAGTCAAGTAAGTCTATGTCAGATACCACTCCGGGAGTTGTGTTCATTGATCTATGTGGTGTTATGGTTATTGGTATGCCACCGAAATCTGAAAGACGGTCTAGCTTTTCAAATTGTTCTTTGTCACGGATTTTGAGAAGAAGGTCTCCACTAGCCATTTTGGTTACCTTGTATCCTGTGCCAAGAGTTTCGGTAAGACATCTAGAAACTAGGAAAGGAGAGACGTCCTGGCTTGCTTTTCAGTTTTTCACAGTGAATGACGTGGAAGTGGGGAAAAGTTTCTATTGGCTGGTTGAAGAAATTTATGTCGTCGGTGCGTACCCGCTTTAGGCCGGTACGATCAGACAGTAAAGGGAATGCTCCATGCATGCCGGTCTTATTTTTGTTCAGCAGCGTTGGCGGCCACCCACCACGGAGCCCAACAAGGGGACGCTGCAAGTTTGCAGGTGCTGAAAGCTTGCAGACGTCAGCCGTACAACACTGCCATAACCCAATGCGCCTAGACCAAGGTAGGCTATTTGCACAGGGTTAACCCTTGCCGCCGAGAAAATTGGAAATAAGCAGAAGAGAGAAGTAGACAGGAAAGCTAAAAAAGTAAGAAAGATGAAGATGTAGGGAGAGAGAGATAGGAAAAGGCGACTGCCGATATCCCCTGGGTGGGTCGGCCCAGGGGTGCCGTCTACGTGAAGCCGGGGCCAAAGGGGTGTGTTGCCTCTGCCGGGGGGCCTTAACGGTCCAATAACCCAGCGTCGGCTCAACCCCCAGGATCCCCTTTTCCCCGGACACGGCAAAGCCACGCACGGCTAGGTGTGGGAGGGAGTAAAAACTCCCCCGTTAGCTCGGGTCCGTGGTGTCACTACACACCAAACTTATGTGCCAGAGGTACTTCAGCTTCATTAACATACCATGTAATCGTTAACAGGTGATCAAGATCGATACATAACCATTTATTTGCCTGTTGGACGCATGGCTTTAGCTTATTTTGCATATACCCAACAAGAACTATTTTTATTGATTGATATTAGCATCTGAATGCAGGACGTAATCAAATTACTGCTGCATCACATGCGAATTTATTGTAACAAAATATGTTGCATTGAAACACTCTGACAGGCCAGATGTTCGACTGAAGTAAGTTACAATGACACAAAACTTTTCTAATTAACATTGTTTATTAAATTAAGCAGCATTTATTGTCAAGCTAGTTGGTGATTCACACTGAACTATTCAACTTCAGCTGTTTCCTGAACTACTCTAATTGTACATTGTGTACTACTTTTGTGTAAATTAACTAATTTAAATGACACATCACAAAATTTATGATCCCACTTACCAAATTCTGGATTAAGAAACAGTAGCAGATGCAGGAATACATGAAATGAAAAAAAAGAGAGAGAGAGAATAATGTTTAAGGTATCCTCCTGTAAGCACAAAATGGAATGCCACCCAGGGGTTAAACTCTTTCAGTTCATTACTGGTATCAAATTTTGCACTAAGATCAGGCTTATTTGCTGTCAGTAGGAATGAACACTTTACTAAGACTGTAGAAACAGCAATGCAAAGAAACTGACTAGAGAGAAAAAAAAAAGACCTTGGAAACTATTTCACAAAATGAGAAGTCATCGGAAAGGACTTTGAATGGTCAGAGGGCATAACAACCATTTACTAAATGTATAGGTGAGTGGTTCTTTTGACTTTCTTTTTCGATTTCCCAGCGTGCCCATCCAGGTCATCACTGTTAAATGAATGCCCTCAGTGAATTCAGAATCACTCAACAGTGCTCACAACGATGACAAATACCAGACTACATCAATATATATCTTTTTTCTTTTTTTAATGCCGGTTAGAAGAGAAAGAAAGCAACAGCCCGAAAAGGTCCTACCGTGTGCTGTGACCAGGTCTGCTTCTCTTGTGATCACACGTTGTCCGTAGTGATTTCGTGACGTGCTCAGCCCAGAATTGAGGTACAAGGTGTAGCCATTTTTCACATAACCTGCCACAAGATGCTTGTAAGAATTATCGCTTCTCACACACACACACACAAAAAGAGAAATGCTTCACATTTTAGCTAATGAGCCTACAGTTCATCAGGCATTGAAACACAAAATTTGAACAGACAGTCAAGCATTAAGTGTGTTTTCCAATCACTAAATGGGCCCAATCATGACACTAGACATTACAGCGATACAATTATGGAGCACAAGTCAACCATTAAGTTCTCATTTTTTTAGCATAATTTTGAGCAGGCCATTTGTACAGTTTAAGCCAACTAATATTATGCACCATCTTGTAACATTGTGTGTTTTTGTCACACGAATTGCTTGTTCGTTACATGCTCTACTTTTTAGGAGATCACCAAGTGTATATCACGCTCTTTTAAATGTAAATCATATTTTACAGAAATCTGTCTGGCTGGGTAAAATAATAAGAATTAAAATGTTTTAAAGTCAAGTTTAGCCTTTATATTTAATTTAAAAAAACATAGAGCCAGTTTCTAAATTAGAAACTAAAATGTAAACATGGCTGGAGAGTATTTTTATTTTCATGCTTTTTCGACACATTAACACTGACACTAGTGCTGCGATGATTTTACAATCGCAGTGTGTAGTAGACCATAGAAGTGTGCGCAGTTACATGCTGCAGTTGTAATACACAGTTACAACTCGATCTAACAAAGTCCAATGTTTTAAACTTCCCAATCTCATGAAGCGATTTACATTCCAGGAACTCGTTAAGTTTAATGTTGTCATTAACTAAAATTAAGAAAGCTTTTGTAGCACTGAACTCAATTTAACATAGCTTTTTCCACAAATGAATGAGCAAGAACGGAGTGGCTTCTAGACAATTTTAAGCCTTTTTGGAACCTTTTTGCTCTGCCTAATGACACATCAACTTGATTCATTCTCCCTGTCCTTGAATATTGGTGGCTTGTCGTAGCTTTACGTGACCGTCCACCTCGCTGTATCGCCCAAATATGATGCTCGGCCTGCCCTCGCTGACTTTTCGCACGTACAGGCGTGTAATAGTGGCAATAAAATGGTGTGGTAGCTCTTGGATGGCACCATGTTACAATTTTAGATTTCCAGGAACCAAAAAAATGCGTTCCTCGATTTTACTAAGCGCCCGATTTAACAAAGTAATTTGAGTGCCCTCGTTGCTTCATTAAATTGAGTTTTAACTGTATAAAAAAACACCACATCCCACCGGATGACTTAAAACAGCACAATGTTTTGTAGTGACTGAAACACTAAGATAAGGCAGACAAAGGATAACGTCAAAGAAGGTCAAGTTTGCAAGAACATAAAGAAGAAAGATATGCAAGCAAAATGCCGATGCAGCCCCAGAAAAATGCAAGCAGTGATGCCAACTCTTCAAGTGATATTTTAAAAAACAAGAGGGCATTATTCTTTTAATCTCAATCCATATCTGTACCACTGCCTTCAATAACATGGCTTGACAAAAAAGTCACAATGCTGCACAAGGCGTAGCCTTTTGCACATGACATTGCTATATGTAGTAACTACAAATACCAATAATCTGCCGGCAAAACATTCACGATGAATTTGTTCAACATTACAATGAATATTTCCCCGCATTTTACAAGAACTCTTTTTGACAGTGTTCATAAATATATTTACCTTTACCAGCCGAGTAGCTACCTTTCAGTTTCAAACCTTATATAAAATGCAATTTTATTATCTGTCCGGTGTTGAGCATAGCATGTACCCGAGCTGGTCCGAAAGCTTTGGCGGCGTAAGGAATTGTTGGGACGGGCCCCGGACCAGGCTTCATTCAGTCAGTCCCTTAATAGGCCGACTTCTTATATAAGACAATGATATGCACGGGTATGCAGTATGCAACTACAGGAAACTACCCAATATAATGTTGAGTCGGAGACATTTTTGGGTATCTTGTAAACACTGCCCATTTGACTGGTCAATAGCAATGTGCCATGCGTCGCCACGAGGCGCAACAAGATGTTCCCTATTCAGTTTCGATGAAAGGGCCTTGCCCCCTCTAGCCCCACATCCCACTGTCCAACTTTGAGTACTGGTCCTTTTTAACACAGAAGTATTGCTTCTAAGCTAGATGGACTTCGTCTATATGAAGACAGACTGATTATTCTATGCCATACCTGAGCTGTGCTTAATGCCTAATACCCTAAATGTTGAAAGAAAAACAGAAAGTAGCCAGGTTGATTCACATAACAAAACGCATCACTGGGCATTGGCTGATAAACCAGCCCCTGCAGTGCTCTAACTGACAGTGTTAACCATCAGTTGGACTGAAGCCTAATGAAGCTATAGGGCATGCCTGACCCACATAAAATATCATTACATGTGAGTGCTACCCCACTATGCGACCAATTCATATAAACATTATCACGCTATAAATATTTGTTATGTTCAAGGACCTAACTTAGGCCGCACATATTGTAATTTTTCTATGAAATCCAATATTAAGCTTAAGGGGCTAGACAGTAAGCTTTGCCTTCACTTATATCATAATAAAATTATTTCACAGATGTGTCATGGGCCTAACAAGCCAAATATATACGAAAACACCACTGCAAACCTTGACACAGTCATCTCTCTAGAAAATATCTTGTGCATGGCTGGTATATTCACAATAAATAAGAATTAGACAAAGCGTTTTTTTTTCCATGTGAAGCTGCAAGCTTTCAACAATGCCTCGTTTATCCTCTAGGGCTCATTGGCTGATCCAAACCTGGCCAGCTCAGGTTGGGTCCAAATCCTTCCGGCCAATGTGGCCGTGTTTTAAATTATTGGGCCCAACTCAGTTGGAGTACACAATTTCCTGGCCCGAGTGGGATCAATCAACTCATACAGTGCTCTAGTTTGATGTCCCATACAGTAAAAGCCAATTTTTCTTTCTTTTCTTCAACAGGACAATAAAATCTGACTTAATGAAGGCCTGCAGATGACGAGTGCCCCAATCCACTGAGCATGCTGCCAACATACCGTATGCGAGCCATGCCATTCGTGATCCCGAAGAATACCGAGTCACATAAAAATTTAACCATTTAGTGTTCCTGGCAGGCAGATGCAGGGGCTATTTGTCGCTCTCGAGAATACAGGAGCACTGGGAGCATAACAGTCTCTCCAATGCATGCCCTGTAGCAAATTTCATTCTCAAGTGCCACGGCCTGCTATTCTTTAGACGTACAGTCTTAATAAAAAAACATTAACGTAACCATAAAAGGAACAGCCCTGCTAAATGTATGCAGCAGTGGAATGGTGAACTGGGCAGTTCCCTAACACAACTTTATAGTTGACCACATAAAAAATTCAAGCATGCAGAACCAAAGAAGTACATCGAAGAGGCCCATATTGTGCATGCCTACTCTGCATACTTCTCTGGCTGCGTGACCTAAACTTCTTTTACATTACATTTACCACAATGAACCCATGTTCAGCAAAAGCCATGGCAGAACACATTATTTTCACTTCATGAAGCATAGAAGCACCAGGAGTGCCATGGGAATCCTTACAAAGTTGCTCAGAGAAGGCTGACATTGCTGTGCAGCAGCTTCTAAAAAATCTAAACACACGGCAAAGAATGAAAGCTACAGATGCTGTAGCTTCAGTTACAATGTGTGCAGCAGCCGACTCGCCAATAAGCAACCCAGCAAGCGGTAGAGGAGAAGCCGCGTGAAATAAAGAGAAGGTGAGAAGGCGTGCTCGTACCGGGGCTGCAAATGCCGCCCACGGAATTGCGGCGAGGAGAGCCCACGTAAGCAAGGCCCAGGATGCCCCCTTCAAACTTCTGATCGGTAAACAAGTGCGCCAGGCAGAACCAGCGGTGGTTCAGGCTGCGAGAGAACACCTGCCGGGTGGCAGAGGAGGACAACATGCCAATATTCGTGAGGTTAGTCCCAGCCGATACCAAACCGAGTCAGGGGCAACGTGGTTACTGGCATGCACATGTCATTATGCACTGGTGCATAATGATCCAGAGTGGGTGAACAATGGACGTTTCTGAAACCAATGTTCATCCGACCAAGAGCGCTAAGCCAATGTTCATCAGGTGAAGCCTCGGTGTGAAAACAATACCGTCAATCTGTTATTCTGTTATTCCCTCACTCTTGATCACATTACCTCCATCTATCTATCAATCTATGTTTCAGGTGCAACATTGCTGAAAAGCTTCAGCCTATACTATGTAGCAAATTCCCTACCAAGTTTCAAGACAGGGTACACTACGCACTAAACAACAGCCCATGGCGACACACACAAATTTAAAGCAGAAGTGTTCAAATTTAAGAATAGAGTCGCACAGTGTACTAGGTATTTACACCTCATTCAGAACATTAAATGCACACACTAAGATATCTATTTACAAATGGCACTTTCAGAGTCAAAAATTATGGCTAGTGAACTCGAAACATATGGCAACCTCTGATGCTTAGGCTCTGTACTTACCGTATTTAATTTTTTTTTATTAGAAGTACATGCTCACATATTTACGTAGGTGTCTGCTGTCATTCAATTTCTCTGTGCGTCCTACAGTTGCACTGCTACCAAAGCATGATTAAAAAACTGCACAGCACACTCAATAGGAACACAATCCTCCTGAATTCACACATGCAGTGGATGTATACACAACTAAGCTGCTTCATACATAGCTTATACTTTTTTAGTTTTTTTTTTTCATTGAGCTCGCACATACAATCAAAACCAATTTTATTTTCTTGGCATATCGATTTTGATCTTCCTTATCAATAAAATTTCGAAATACTTCCTTTGACAGAACATATTGCTGCCCTAGTTTATGGAAAGCAATGTGTAGAATGCACACAGACAATATACAGATGTATATGAAGGGATAAAATCATTAAGTGCAGGCATGACACTGAATGCAATATAAGTAAAGCATGAACCAAGCGCACAAGCGAGATAGCCTTTACATGTCACTGGAGCAGTGGAACGTCATTTGAATTTTAGGCTTCTTTAATGACTTTTGACACTTTTTTACTACCATTTGAACGACATTCAAATCTCATAACAACAAAGTTGCACCTTACTTGAAAACAAGTTCATTATATTTGAAAATTCTTTATAAAGGTATATTCCTAACACTATACCTATTGCACGTATGTTGTTTACTTTGTTATAAACGATCATTTGTTATATCTGGGTTTGTTATATCGAGATTTGAGTGTATTCTAATGTTTTGAACCAGACACTATAGAGCTCTATGCCACAATAAATGAAGGCACACATATTTCTCTAGCAGGGTCTGCTACTGTGACAGAACACTCAGTAGCTTTTTGTGCAGGACAGAGAAAAACAACAAAATATCGTTGCTCGTATTAGCCTGCTTCACACCATCGGTAGAAAATCTTGAATACTTCTATGTCGCTAGTTGGCATGACAGAAACAAATTTGACACTTTTCATAACAAAGGACTGCAACAATACTTTCACTAATTTGAGATGATAGTTATTGAGCTCTAGTACTTTCTACAGCAACATACACAACACTTATCTTTTTTTCAAAACCTAGAAGGAGATCTTTCAGCCGATCAGAAGTGAAACAACTTGGTCATCCTTATTTCAGTACTACATACAGAAAAGTAATACCGAAACAATGTGCTGCATAAAATAAAAACTGCATTCATGTCATGCACAAAAATTTTGTAACTGAAATACCTACCACCTTATGTCAATATGCAGGAGAAAACATCGTCATTATCAATCATCCTATTGGCAACTAACAGCAAAAGGCCATAACAAATCAAAGAATAGCTGCCATTTTTAAAACAACTGAGTTGGCTTCAAGTTGTTCCCTATGTCCCTTTTATAAAAACAAAGAAAAAAAGTTGCAGACATAACGGTTTGACAGCAAACCAGTGAAGCTGAAGACCTATAGTCTACGAAGAGACAATAACTATTCAAGTGTTATGCAAAAAGCAACCACTAACACTTGCAAACTAAAGGAGAAAAACAAATGCGGTACTGCCTATTTGCCTACCCAGAAATAGCTTGATTGATTGATTTTAAAATTTGAAAGGGGCCAAATTTTGTTCCTTAAAGTGATCTAAATCATGTTGGAATAGCAAGGGTTCTTTAGTGGGTCACAGTGTATATTGAATTTCAACACTGACATTGAATTTCAAGATCGAGATGTGCCCATCATTCAATTACTTGGTAATCATATGTCTTTTTGGCCAAATTTGAATGGCCTCCGTCGCGTCAAAGTTATTATATTTCGACGTCAAACAGCAAAGAAAAGCTAAGGAGAAAAAACGAAAAATAGATTGCCCTGCGACATCGACACTAGTGCTACGTGTTCGGTGTGATACATTCCACAAATACCATCCTGAGTGACGGTATGCTACTAACAATGACGTCGATGATCACCGAGTGTGTGTGGAGCCGGCTCCCAGTCATGCTCCCACTAGTGGCTCTCCTTGCTGTGTTGAAGCGTGCGTGCCATTCATCGTGTCACATCGACTGATTTGCGTTGTGCTCCCCTGCGTGTCAGTATAATCATTCAGAGCGACAATACGTGCCAGAATGTCGGGGAACCCCTGCATAGTGAGAACCTGCACGTCAAGGCACGGAAAAAGCGGAAAGTGCGTGGCGTTTCATGCCTTTCCAAGCCACGAACCTCAACCCAGCAGGATGACTTCATACGCGCCGTTTGGCAAAAGGACTGGACACCTGTGAAGAACAGCTGTATTTTTCTCCCTTCACTTTGCGGTGAGCTGCTACAGGATAAATCCTGTGTTGCAAACCAGTTGGGTTTCATTGGCAGTACGAGGCCTTTTCTCGAGGCCGGGGCTAATCCTACCATGTGCCCTGCTGCAGCTGAAAGCAGCGATTCACTCGCCAAACGTCCGCGACATGAGGAGCATAGCTGGTGTTCCTGAGCTCCGACAGTACGGCCGGGACAGATAAATACATTGCATTTAACGCGGAGCTTGTTAAGCAAGGATTGTCGCGAATCACGGCGATACCCAATTCCAGGTCGCTGTCATCATCACTTGCCGATGTTGACCGCAACGACGGCAGGGATAACGATGTTGGCGACAGAGGCATGTCTACGCCTTCGAAGACACAGCTGGACTGACTGTACGTGTGCTTCTAGCAGACGAAGCCACAGTGTGACGTCACCATTTTTTGTGGAAACAGCATCAGCTGTGCAGCGGCCTCGACGTGGCCGTGAGGTAACGCTGCCGGCACTACAATTTGGCGGGCTTTCTACCCATTTTGAACCGCGTTCGACAGCGAATATATTAATCAGTATTACAGATACTCATTCGTCACTCAGATGTGATTTAGCTCGCGAATCGCTGCTAGGGGGTCGATAGCTACTCGTTGCCGCAAACATTTTGACACGAGTAAATTTGATGTCAGTGCTCCTTTAAGTCCATCACAGCACAGCAGTATCATGAGCAAATCAAGTGTGTGGCCCCACAGTTTTATAATAGACTACCACAGCCACTCGACTGCCTCAACACATAATCATACACTTCAATTTTACTAAAGGACAAACATGTGGCAATATTCGCTTTCATGTCTAGAACATGTGAAGCACGCAGTTGAACGATTACGCATGCGTACCAATAATTCCGTATGTTGTCCGCAACATCGCTATGAAAATTCAATGGGATTAATGTAGAATTTACATATACTCGACCACATTACGAACATCATATCGACTCTTTGGAACGGCATAAACATCTCAAAAGGGCATTAGGGCTCATTGAGGTGCACTAAAACCAGGCGTCTCAAACACCTTTTGCTAGTGGCCTAGATTGCACATGAATGTCTTCGTCCCTTTTTTTATTTATTTCTTTAAATACATTCATGAGCACAGATGTGACTGGCCTCAAACATATTTTTCGTGCGACATATGGTCGCCATGTCTCAAAACATAACCATGGAATGTCAACTATACTTGAAAATTGTGTTCATATCTCAGTCATTCTGGAAATCGGTATCAATATATTTCCCGAACCCTGATGTCGAATTCCCTTAAGAAATGTCCCATACATGAGATGTGGGACAGTGCTTCATTCAAATGGCAATGCTAGCTGACATTTTTCTCAAACTGCCAACTCCCGCACCCGCTCTGACCTTCTTCATTGTTCCTGTCCACCGAGAGACTGAATTTCATGGCTACGGCCAGCTAGCTGAGGTGAGTTTAGGCCCCTGACTTAGACTGTATAGAAGTAGAACATCACATGCACTAACTAAATAATGCACCACTACAGGCAATGCAAAAAAGCGATGTGTCATGCAGTGTAGCGCAAAGGTGAAAAGAAAGGAAGAAAGAGGTAGCAGGAAGGTGATGAGAAAAGAGGAGTAGGGACGGTGCCCAACAACCTTCAGTGCTACAGATGCCACCCGGGGAGAAAGGGTTAGCGGAGGCCACATATCCCAGCCCGAGCACATTGCCATCGTCACTGAACGACTGGTCTGTGAACAGGTGGCACAGGCAAGCGCTCGGCTTACACTTAGCGGAAAATGCCTGCAAAAACAGAGAAACGTGCAAACCAAAAGTGCGGGGTAACATGCACGACATGCAATGTGACACCGCTTATGCGGAAACATGACACCACTTACACAGAAACACAGTGCAAACGTAAAAACAAACAAATGAGAAACCCACAAAGATTGAAGAGATAAGGAGCCCCGAAGGACACTGCCAAAACACTTAGGCAACACAAGACCAGCACATCACTACAAATTAATAAACATAGTTAAAACTACTTTATCGTAACATTTCTTATGCTACACTTAGAAAAAATAAATAGAAAAAATAAATATGCCATTAGAAAAAATAAATATCCAAGCAATTTAGATAATTAATCATAGTTTATATTGACATCGCTCATGCTATTATATATGAATGAAACAAGGAAATTTCATAATATTTGCTCACAGAAACCATCCCAAGTTATACAGACTAGACCCTTTCTATTGCACAGAGAACTATGCAACATTCATGATATGTGTGCTATTCCTGCATTTCAGTGCCATTATACACGAAATATAGCTTATACAATCTGTTTTCTCCATATTTGAGGTAACAATGAAGCTTTAGATCTAGGCAGGCACGAAGTTCCAATTATAAAGGACTGTGTCTATAATGTCAAGTGTTATAAGGTTATTCAGATCAACTAAATTCCAAAACTTTATGTTTTATGACTTATTTCATGTCATAGTTATTAGTAAAGTGGTTTTAATATGTTGTTTTGTATGCCATTACACCTCATGGCGCAGGAGGAACACATATACGCAAAAAGGTATCAATAACGGTACTTCGGTGGTCAAATTAGATATGCAGGATAATATGATGACATTTTTTTTTAAGTAAGAGGTTAACAACATAAAAATATTGGCACATTCATCTGAATAAGTTCATTAGTATTACTTATAACCAGTTAGGACCTTTTGAAAAGGCAAAAACTGAAAGCTACCAGCTTGGAACTGACAAATATAACGCTGAGCCATTATTTTCACATCAGCAGTATTCAAGATCATGGCATCCAATATGTGCCTTGCAAAACTGCATGCGAGTGTTGAGCTAAGAGAATAAAACAAATGTTTTGCAATTTATATGAAACACAAGGTACGTAACAAATTGCAGTAGGTAGTACAACTGCCATTCCTAATTTAATGACTAATGATCCCTATACTTGTTATTTTCTCGTATCTTCATTTTTTTTGCGTGCTTTGTTTCAAAACTGTGGTTTCACATAACACAACAAACATCTACGTTACCCCTTGGTATCACAACATAGCACAAAGCTAACACTGAAGTGTCCTTCATTTAGTAGTCAGGCAGCAAACATTGCTTTTATCAAAACTGAAAGCCAAGAAATATTGCATGCGATCTCAAAAGTACATCTTGTAAGAAAATTCCAACATAAAACTTGCCTCTAGGAGGTCTCGTACATTCCATGTAACACCCGCCATGTTGTAATGGACTTCGTTGCGAAGCACAGGCGTTGGTTCGGTATGCACCATCACTTCTTGAATGACAAAGCCCATTCCACGAAATCCAGGATGGCGGTCGCTGTCACGCCATTCAGTGTCAAGGAAGATCTTGTTGACTCGGTCTATCAGCGTTATCTGCACATAACATGATACATGCAGGGCTTTAAAAGGGCTGCAAAATTAGAATAGTGAATTGGTGTAAATTGATAAATTTTACTCTGAGAACTCTCAATGTTGTTCATTTCATCATAATAGGTATATTAATAGAGGAGCAAATCAAGGTCAATGTTTATTTTATGATTTCACATCAAAATCACCACATGTGACGTCATGGACTTCAATGTGTAATTTTCACATTTTGGCGATTGTGGCATAATGAAATTTCCAAAAACCTGGTATGTCAATTCTATAGACACCTCGGAGGACAATGTACTTTGTTAGTGGTTAAGAACAAGAAGGACTTCGCAGATGCCACCAAAATATACAGTGTCACCTACGTTTGATGAGGGAACTTCAACGTGTCCTCGTCAACTGCATTTTCTTTTTGCACACTATAGCTGTCTTCTCACAGCAAGTGTTGTGACTTTGTAATTATGAAACAGTCGTTTACTAATATAACAAAAATCATTCTTTTCTTTAGTGTCCCTTTAAAGAGGCATGGCACTTGAAAATATTCATTTCTAGATCGATTTTGCTTGAATTTGCCAAGTTGATGTATATTTGGGTTCTGATTTCAAATATGCTATTAATTTGCTATTAGACTAAAACCACGATATAACGAACCCAGATACAACAAAATATTGGTTATAACAAAATGAATGAAAAATAGTCTTGTACTAGATATAGTGCTAGATACATACCTTTATAATAAATTTTCGGATATAACAAACTTACTTTCGTGTGAGATGCTACTTTGTCGTAATGTAGTTTGAGTGTATCATGTGTAGCTTCTAAAATACAAAATATTTTATACGGTTTTTGGGGAGCAAGACTTTTTTCTAAACTGAAGCGTTACAAAGTGAAGTAGCATATCGCAGCAGTCTGGAATCGGAATGGTGTGCAGCACATCAAAATTGAATGTTCTAACATTTGTGATATTGGTGACATTTGTAACATTTGAAACCTGTATGTCAAACATACTCACAAATTTTAAAAACACCACAAGTTTTGATGAAATCAGTTTGCGACATCCATATTCGTTGTATTGCACACAGTTCTGATTTCACAATATTGTGATAATTGAGATATACTGATTTACTTTGTTTGCATAAAAAAAGGTGGTGTCAATATTGTGAGGGGGTGTGTTTCATGCGCAGATGCATTTCATGCATTACTATCTCACTTAAGGAAAAATATTGCTCCCCAAAAGCCACATACAATATTTTGTGCTTTAAAAACTGTGTATTCTACTAGAAAAATAACTGAATATTTGAAATAAACACACCAATATACATAAGCTAAGATCGATCAAGAAATTTAATAGAATTTTAAGAGCAGTATCCCGAATAAGAAGTGCCAATTCTCAGGTATCGTACGAGAAAAAATCATGTGGGAAGAGACAAGCAGCCCATGATTGTTAAACTAAATGCAATTTTCATCTCAGACAATCGCTGAGTACAAAATTGTTTAAGTACAACACTTCTGAAACAGATCCGGATAAAAAATTCAAGGCGATCAACCAGGGTCTCGACTCTATGAACCAGGACATTGACCATTTGGCAGTACGACAGTTGTGCTAGAGCAAGTTCCATGCAGTTGGCTTCTTCTGGCAGTTAGCAAACATTACCACTGTGGACTATTTTCATGAATTACTATAACTAGAGATAATAATGGTCTTTAAAATAACAGGAGAGTAAAGAAAAGCAAAATGTGCTATGAATGAGAAATGTTTTTTCTAGGCAATACTGGTACAAATTGAAGAGATGGGTATGGTGTGCTCTTGTGGGAGATAGGATGAAAGGCCAATAAAGTCAAAGGTTATATAAAATGAGGTTACACAGTGCTGTGTGGCAAAACCACATTGCCATTATGAAGCACACTGCCGCTAAGTACTCCAAGTAGAATTTCAGATCTAGCGGTTTTTGTTGCGCATTTCATTTGATGTAAACGAACATTCTCGCATTCAAAAATACTTCAGTGAAACTATCACAAACACAATTGAACAACCACCTTTAAAAGAGCACTGACACAAAAATTTTACACAGTTTTTTTCTGTTGCAATAAGTAGCTGATGACGCAGTTATCACCTCAGAAAACCTTGTTTACTCAAGCACACTGACGGTTACTTATTTAGATATGTTTTGTAGCCTCCAGACAAATTTTTATTTCAGGGAGCACCTGAGAGAGGCTGGACCCAGTAAGGTATATATGCAAACATAACTGGCTACGCAAGCAAACAAAACCACACACATATGAGCACTGCAATGACAGCTCTTTTCAAAGAAGGCTCACTGGCTACCACCATAAGTCTCTCTGGTATGTTGTAAATATGCTTGACCCCTCTAAAATACACTGCCGAGGAAAGGACGTCAGCCTTGTACTTCTGTACAAGTCCATAAAACAGAGTTTTCCTTTTTTCAGTTGAAAAGGTCTGTTAGGAGAGTGCTTGCAAGGACCTCGGTAGCCAACAAGCACTCGTTATGTAGTGGTTGTTTACAATCAAAACAAGTTAGCGTCGATATTGCAAGAGGGTGCATTGTATGCGCAGGCGCACTTCACACACTTTAAAGTTCATGTTGAATAAGTTGATTTTAGATGGTGATATGATGTGTGTGTGTCCACACACGTATATCCTACAAGTTATCTCACTTTCAAAATTTTATGGCAGTACCCCTTTAAGCTTAGAAGAACAATGCCACGGCTACTAAACTACTGCGGCAACTATGAACATGTCAGGAATGCTCACCAAGAAATTAATGGTGCTCTTGAGATTACGGCCCCCCATGTTTTCGTAGAAACGATGGTCGGCCACGAGGAGGAGAGAACAGCGCGTCTGCACAGGCTCCCAGTGGTAGGGTTCCATCGCCTGTCGCTTCTGGACATGAGACGTGATGCTGCTTCCATCGTTCCAGTGGCTCAAGTTCTCAGACAGGTCACCCGTAACCTCCGTGGCATTTCCATTCTCCTTGACGTAGCCGCAGTACTTGGTTCTGCAGTTGAACGGATTATGCAATTAGCAATCACACACACAAAAAAGTACAACCCTTTGTAACATTGCATCATCGTAAAGCACGACTTACTTTTACCATTTCTCTTCACTATAGGCAATGAAGAGACAGCAAGCATTGAGCTAGTAACTAACCGTTCTTGTTAGCTAAAGTTCCCTTATACCATACTTTCAGGAGTAGAGCATGAAAGAACAAAGGGACAAAGGAAGAAATGTACCCACACATTGATGATAGTGACAATAAGTTTATTTCCTTCTTCATGCTGACACAGAAACCTGTTTTGCACACAGTGGCCACGCGAAGTTGCACAGTGAAAAAAATCAACAACTACTCTAACAAGGCTAATATTCTTTTTGTTTGTTTTACCAGCAAGAAACAAAAGTACGGTGGGCACAGGTAGCCAGGAGACCTCAGCGCACCAGGTGCAGAAAATTCAGCTCTTTTGAACTCAAGGAGAGCAAGGGCTTGCTGACACAAAGTTTGCCAAATTCATCTATTTGTTCAGCTTCAATTACCAATAAGGGGATTTCAACATTATTATTGCTCACGAAGATGGCTGATCCAAGTTGCATGTACAAATGTCTGTCAATTGATGTTTGTCCATGCAACATAACAAGAATAGTCACCCTGTAATAGTTTTTTGGTTTTTTGTCTATTACATTGACTTTTCAACAGCATGTACGATCGCCTACAAATCCGGTGTGATGGCATTGTTTCTATTCGTATACACAATGGTCTTAATCCACTTCTCATGACTGTTGAGTTCCCAGTAAATGGAATTATTTGATTCCATGACGTGAAATTGGTACTTGCGCAGCAACTAATTTGCAGGTGTTATGAGTCCAGAGCAAAGAAGGCAACACTGGCACTCAGCTCTGGCGACTCAAAGCTCATCAAAAAAGGTAAGCAAAAATGTGCCTAAATGATGAGCTCTTAAAGTCATGTATGCATTTAGTTTACGCAAGTTTCACGCAGCAAGCGTCATGGTTACAATTCATTGGGTGCCCTACTCATCCAATTGTTTCTGTAGCAGAAGGTTTCTTCAGCAATCAAGAGTTTTGTAATATGTGTCCATTGCTGCTAGTTGCCCCATCATTGAAAAACAAGTTGTAGTGGTAATCCTTTAAGTTTACCACAACCTTAAAAAAATGCCACCCAGGCAAACACGTGAGTTGTTTTTTCAGCGCCATATGAGCTCGGCAATTTGTTCAAAAGAACCAATCCTGATGAGAAAACAGAAATGGAATGCCCATACAAGCACAAGAAAGCTTTGTACAACGCAAAACATGTGTTTTCTATTGTGTTCCTTTGTACTGTGGCTGGTTTTTTATTGGGCAGGCCTGCCGTTGCTCAAATGATCAGATCAGAGAATATTGTTACGTACAATCCAAATGGTGTACGAATAACTGTTTATTGGGGCGAACTTGTGCCCGAAAAGTAGCGGCGTCTGTAACAGGCGATCAGCAAAAAGGGGTCAATCTCCGAGAGAAAAAAAACCCTCGAGCGGTGGTCCACTTCTTTTTCATCGAAATCCCGTGCTGAGGAAGCGCGCGCCGTCACGGCCTTTTCTTGTTTGATCATCAAGCCGCTGATCTCTTGGGGGGGCGCACGAACTAGCGCGCGTAGTTTGAATACTGCGTTCGCCTTGCGTCATTACCCCTCCTCCGAAAACGCATCGTTCCGATGCCTAAAAGCAGTGTTGCTGAGATGGTCTGAATGCGTGATTTCCAATGGAGAAATAGGTATTCCTCATAATCGGGTGTGTATAATTCGATGTTCATTGCCTGTCATAGTATGGCTTCATTCTGACTACATGCACGATTTCTGTGCTCCTTCGGCATCTTGATGAGCTCACTTGTCCTTCCGGTGACACCTCGTAGTTCAAGGAGCTGACGCGACGAAGGACTCGGTAAGGGCCCAAATAGCGGCGCATGAGTTTTTCGGAAAGGCCAGGCGTCCGCACAGGAGTCCAAATCCAAACTAGGTCGCCTGGTGCGTAGTCGACTCCTCTCCGACGAAGGTTGTAACGGTTTGCATCCACGCGTTGTTGTTGTTTTATGCGATGTCGCGCCAACTGCCGTGCTTCTTCGGCTCGCTGAATGAATTCGCTGATGTCAGGCTTGTGCTCTGTATTGTCGCCTACAGGCAGCATTGCATCTAATGGTGTGGTAACTACTCGACCATAGACTAGCTGGAATGGCGTCACTTTAGTAGTCTCCTGCACAGCAGTATTGTAAGCGAAAGTGGCGTACGGCAGTATCTTGTCCCACGCACGGTGCTCCAAGTCAACGTAAATGGACAACATATCGGTTAGAGTTCTGTTGAGTCGCTCGGTTAGCCCATTAGTTTGGGGGTGGTAAGCCGTTGTTTTCCTATGACTTGTGTGGGTAAGTTTCATAATGGACTGCGTCAGATTGGCTGTGAATGCAGTTCCTCGATCCGTGATAACCACCTTTGGGACACCATGCCGTAGTACAATGTTAGTGACGAAAAATTCAGCTACTTCTATAGCCGTGCCCCTGGTGAGAAAGGCTGTCTCGGCATACCGGGTTAAGTAGTCTGTCGCCACTACTATCCATCGGTTGCCCATTGATGACGTGGGAAATGGACCAAGTAGATCCATTCCTACTTGTTCGAACGGAGACTCAGGTGGTTCAATTGGTTGGAGAAATCCTGCAGGTTTCGATGGAGGCGTTTTGCGTCTCTGGCAATCTCTACATGTCCTTACATAATGCTGTACAGCATCCAGTAACTTTGGCCAGTAGTATTTTGTGCGGATGCGAGCCAATGTTCTACTCACTCCGAGGTGTCCTGCTGCTGGGTCATCGTGGCAGGCTTCCAGGATTTCGGGTCGTAAGGCCGAAAGAACGACGAGTAGGAATTTCTCCTTGCTGTGCTCGAAGTTTCTTTTGTATAAAACGTTGTTTCTCATAAGGTACGAGGACAATCCCCGGACGAAAACTCGAGGAACACGCACGGGTTGCCCTTCCAGATGCTTGATCAGTTTAAGCAACTCCGCGTCAGATCGCTGATATTCAGTCATGTCAGCGGTGCTCACGGCCCCAAGAAACGGAAAGTCATCTCCATCTTCCCCAGGTGCAGATTCCATTGGTGCGCGTGATAGGCAATCAGCATCGCTGTGCTTGCGACCCGACTTGTATACGACTGTTATGTCGTATTCTTGCAACCTGAGGCTCCATCTAGCAAGTCGCCCAGAAGGGTCCTTTAGGCCTGCGAGCCAGCACAACGAGTGATGGTCGCTCACTGCTCGAAATGGTCTACCATATAAGTACGGTCGGAATTTCTGTATGGCCCATATTACCGCCAGACATTCTTTTTCCGTCGCCGAATAATTTATTTCAGCTCTCGAAAGAGTGCGACTAGCATATGCGACCACTCTTTCCTCTCCGTTTTGCAGCTGCACAAGGACGGCGCCTAGTCCCAAATTGCTTGCGTCCGTGTGAATCTCTGTTTCGGCTTCTTCGTGGAAATGTGCCAGGACAGGGTGGTGTAGGAGTCGCTGTCGTAGCTCATTGAACGCCTCTTCTTGCTCGCTTGTCCAGGTGAAAGGCATGTCTTCTTTCGTCAGTCGGGTTAGTGGCTCCGCAATCTTCGAAAAATCTTTAACGAATCTTCTGTAATAGGCACAAAGTCCTAAGAATCGTCTCACAGCCCTTTTATCTGTCGGTCTAGGAAACTTTTCTACAGCTGCTGTCTTTTCGGAGTCAGGTCGAATGCCTTCAGAGCTAACCACATGACCGAGGAAAAGCAGTTCATGAAAACCAAAATGGCACTTTTGGGGTTTTATCGTCAGCCCTGCTGAACTAATCGCTTCGAGCACAGTACGTAGTCGTTCCACATGCTGATCGAAGGTGGCCGAAAAGATCACGACGTCATCGAGATAAACAAGGCAGGACTGCCATTTTAACCCGGACAGCACAGTATCCATCATCCGCTGAAATGTGGCGGGTGCGGAACACAGGCCAAATGGGAGTACCTTGAACTCGTATAACCCATCTGGGGTCACGAAAGCAGTTTTCTCGCGATCTCGTTCGACCACCTCTATCTGCCAGTATCCACTCTTGAGGTCTAGAGAGGAGAAGAATTTCGCGTCTCGTAGTCTGTCAAGGGTGTCATCGATCCTTGGAAGGGGATAGACATCCCGCTTTGTGACGACGTTCAATTTTCGGTAGTCAACGCAGAAGCGCAAGGTCTGGTCCTTTTTCTTTACCAGTACTACAGGTGAGGCCCATGGGCTGGCCGACGGTTGAATTACGTCGTCCCTGAGCATTTCTTCAACTTGGCCTCTGATGACTTCTCTCTCTTTTGGTGACACTCGGTACGGGTGCTGGCAAATAGGTCTAACAGATTGATCGACTATGATGCGGTGTTTGATGATAGATGTTCTTTGCACTTTCGATGACGTGGAAAAACATGAGGCGTACTCCCGTATAAGGCTCTCGATTTTTTGTTTCTGGTTCGGTGATAGGGCTGCTTCGATGTGGATAGATGCGAGTATGGAATCTATACCGTCAGGGTGCAGTGGTGCAGTCTCGGAAGAATTCAAATCCGTAATCGGAACGTAATCATGCAAGTGACCAACCACAGTTCCCTTCGCAAGGTGCTGCACCTCATTTCGGAAATTTGTCAGGAAGACACTCGTACACCCATCACGCAGTCGTACAATACCTCTTGCTGCACAGATCCCTTTCTCGAGTAATAGCCCAGTATTGCTTTCTGCCATTCCTTCATAGTCGTTGTACACATTGCTTTTTACGGTGACAACGATGATGGATCTTGCAGGTACTGTTACATCATCACCTGCAATCTGGAGCGCATCGAATCGTTTTTCACTCTCGAAAGTCGCGATGGCGTGTTTCGTCGAGAACGAGACGCACGTTTCCTGCAAGTTTATCACTGCGCCATTGGCCTGCAAAAAGTCCATTCCGATAATTACATCTCTTGAACACTCCGACAGGACAATGAAGCTGGCGACGTAGGTGAAGCCGCTTATCCCAACTCTAGAGGTACACATGCCTGCCGGATCGATAAGGTGTCCCCCGGCGGTTCGCACTTGTGGTCCTATCCAAGGGGTCAGCACTTTTTTCAGCGTTCTGGCAAGTCCCCTGCTCATGACGGAATAGTCTGCGCCTGTGTCTACTAAAGCATTCGTTTCGTAGCCGTCTATAATTACCGACAAATCAGAAGCGACGTTACCATTTCTGCACGTAGTCTCGTGTCCGTCATCACATTTTGAAATCGGCACTGGAAGTTGTTTTCTTGCGTCGGCAGCGGCCTTACCTCCCCAGGTCGCCGATTCTAGTTTTCCCGAAGCGGGCTTTGGGGAAGTCGCCTCGGAGAGTTTGAAGATGGGCGCGGACTTGGTGACCGATACCTCAGTGGCGCTGTCGACCGAGGCTGATGCTGCTGCGAGGAGTGAGCCCCTTGACGCGTTGACAAGTACTCCTCGATTTCAAAAGGTCGCTCCCCATTCCGTGGACAGGCAGCGTTTACGGGAAAACCCCGAAGTCCAGCTCGGCGATATGCACACATCCGGTAAAGATGGCCAGCTTCGCCGCAGTGATAACAAAGCGGAATTCGATCAGGAGTGCGCCATATATCAGCTTTTCGGATCCTAGTCTCGGCTGGGGACGGCGTAAATCGAGGTTTCGGCAGATGCGTGCTTGCTGCGGCAAAATAAGGTCCAGGGGCGGCGAAAGGAGGTCCAGGGGCGACGAAATGAGGTACAGGGGTGTTTCTCAGTACCTCGGCGTACGAGACTGCGGGCTGCATCGGAACTGACGCTTGAACAGGCTGGGCTTGTGGCTGCTGCTCACGGACTGCCTGTCTCACCTCCTCCCGAACTACTTCCCCTAAAGACGAGACCGTTGAGGGGTTGCCGTTTAGCTTCTGGAGCTCTTCTCGAACCACCGATCGAATGAGCTCTCGTAATACGTCGATGCCATTCTTGAAGACTGCTGACACCGCGTCTACGGAAGTGACGTTAACATCTCGATTGTAGTGCCTCGCTCGCTGCTGCAGAGTCTTTTCAACCGCTGTCGCCTCGGTGCGAAATTCAGCGACGTTCCGCGGGGGACATCGGAGCAAACCGGCAAAAATCTCCTGCTTCACCCCACGCATCAGGTGCCGAAGTTTCTTGTCCTCGCTCATATTTTGATCAGACCGACGGAATAACCGGCACATGTCTTCCACATACATTGCGACGCTTTCATTGTTGCTCTGGTTTCTTGCCTGCAAGGCAGCTTCAGCTCTTTCCTTGCGGTCTGTACTCGGGTATGTGGCCAGTAGCTCCCGTCGGAAATCATCCCACGATCGAATGGTACCTTCATGGTTTTCAAACCACGTTCGTGCGCTGTCCTGCAATGCGAAATAAACTCGGCGGAGCTTCCGTTCTTCGGGCCATCCGTTGCAGTTGGCGACGCGCTCAAAACCCTCCAGCCAATCCTCGGCGTCTTCATGAGGATCGCCATGAAAAGGGTCCGGCGTCCGTGGCTCATCGACAACGACGTGCGTGGCAGCGACTGGAGACGAAACGGCGTGTGCGGCAGCGGTTGGAGACGACATTTCGGTACTCTCACCGGAGACACGTGGAGACACTCTGGGCTCTAGTGGCAGGGGAAATTCCGGCGGCTCACCACGTAGACGACGGCTGGAGCGCTGATGAACTGGCGTGAGCTCAGTTGGTTCGACTGCTCGTGGTTCCGGGCTGCTTCCTCGAAGTCCAACTGGGTTTGGGATCATTACCCAGCACCTCCACCAGAATTGTTACGTACAATCCAAATGGTGTACGAATAACTGTTTATTGGGGCGAACTTGTGCCCGAAAAGTAGCGGCGTCTGTAACAGGCGATCAGCAAAAAGGGGTCAATCTCCGAGAAAAAAAAAACCCTCGAGCAGTGGTCCACTTCTTTTTCATCAAAATCCCGTGCTGAGGAAGCGCGCGCCGTCACGGCCTTTTCTTGTTTGATCATCAAGCCGCTGATCTCTTGGGGGGGCGCACGAACTAGCGCGCGTAGTTTGAATACTGCGTTCGCCTTGCGTCAATATTATAATAGAGGGGGAAAGTGAGACACCCTTGATGGGTTTCCAGCACTTCACTGCCACAAATGCCAGTGCCAGTCTAGCTTAAATGTGACTGTTATTGCAAACAAGAATGATTTTGAAACCAACAGATTAATAATTGAAGCTGAACAGACATATTATTTTGGTGACACCTGTGTCAGCAAACCCACACTGTCCGAGTTCAAAAGCAATGAATTTCCTACGCATGATCCACCAAGGCCCATTTTTCAGTTGACCGTGCCCACTTTCGCCTTCTTGCCAGTAAACGAACAAAATGTTTTGCCTCATAGGCACCTCAGAAGAACCGAGCGTTGGACGAGTTGGCATTTCATAACACAAAATGCCATCCACAATAGGCACCTCCCAGGGAGTTTACCCACAATCGTGCGCGCATCTGTTTGAGAGTGCTGAAAGATGTTGTGAGCGACACACGTGATTGAGGCTGTCCAATCACGTGTGGAGGACACATGTGCATGTATGCCCTTTGTAATAAATAGCCGTTCGCTGGCTCAGTCTTTGTTCAGGTGTCTCACTTCTTGCTCAAGACCAGCACCAGTCACGGCTTAGTTCAGCTGCCGGACCCTTGCTGCCGGTCACCACTTGTCGACACAATGTTATAGCGGTTGATTTAGTTTACTGTGTGGTGTTCACGTGGCTGCCGTGTACCGGACAGGCTTCTTCGTGGGCTTGAAGACGGAAATAAACTTATTGTTGTCAGTAGCATCAGTGTGTACATTTCTTCTTCTGTCCCTGTGCTATTTTGCACTAAGCCCCTGAGAGTATAAAAAACCAACAAGCTCGCATCCCTACCCTCGCCCTTCATATTAATTTTGGTTGAAATATTTCATTGCACACGAGTACTATGTTCAACGAGACATTCAATGTGGAGCGTTTCAGCAGAAATTTCAATATATATATATATATATATATTCAGAAATGCTCACTGCCACCAAATAACTGTCTTACATAATTTTAGTGGCCTGTTGAACTCGATTTATGAAAAATACAGCATGACTGACTCTTCAATATTTAAATAATTATTTCCATTGTAATTGCATTTAATCGCTACAAAATATGCTATAACTTATTCTGACTCTTCCACTTGCTTTAAAAATGGTCTCCAAAATCTTTGCCTAAAATTACAAAAATTTCTAGCATCTCTAGACAGTCGAGCATAATGCTTGTTGCAAAAGGATAACGTAACATAATGCGTGATATGCTTCTGGTATTTTCTTCAGAGAGCCTGCACTTTGCAGCAAGGCTTGGCCACCAGTGAATAGAGCACAGATGTGAGCTTGTCTGTTTGACCTGTTATCTATATTCTTTCGAGAAATAATTATTTTCACATCTTAATGCATACTGTTAGATACAGCTGAAATTAATTGTACCAGCAAAATAATGTTGCATCAATTGCTGCGTTTTCTTTCTTTGAGTGGTTAAAATACAAAGTAGAGCCAAAAAGCCACAGTTCATTTTTAAATACCAACGCTATAAGATAGGACACTGGAATGAAGGCTGCCGAACACCAGTGCTAAACAAACATTAGCCTACTCACGTATTTTTTTCAACTTTGCTCTGATGTGCCATCAATGCTTATTAAATTAGGTATCATAATAAGCACTCAGTTGACAGCTAGGGGCCATATCACGCCACTTTCACTTTGTGACCCATGTCTCATATAGCACTGGTACTGCATAATAAAGCTACTGGTAACATGTAATGTGTAAACCCCTATGTCAGCTAGGTCTGCAAATAATGCTATGCTTACGTTCAAATAAAAGTAAATTAATGCTACTTACAGAGACTGGGCTGGGTCCCAGGAGTACTTGACATCTGACGCTCGGTAAACAATCATGGTGTCATTATGGTCGTCGGGTATGTGCCTCCACGACGGTTCCATGACAGTATATGTCATCCTTGACACGTATCGACGCTGTCATAACGCCTTCGTCAATGTGCGCGCTCACATTAGAGACGAGTTCGCCTGTGGAGGGCAATGAGAGCCAACATGCGGGCAGTATGATGCCATGATGCATATTGCAACGCACAGAGTCCATAAAGGATCAATGATCACTTACCAAACACCCTGCCTTCGTAGAACTGGTTTTGGTCCACCCATACGGGTCTTTTGTTGCCAGAACCATCAACTGTGTACGCCTTGAAGTGGGCCGATAAGAGGCCTTTGGTCGGGTTTAGGATGAGTCGGAAATCCCTAGGAAAGTGACGAACACAGTAGTTATCCACCAATGACGGAATGGTTGAGCTAACCCACGCGTCAGCGACGATATACGTACGCACCTTCCGTGCGCTCTGAAGCTGACTTCTTTGATCGTGTTGAACTTGTGTTTGCTTGGCTGCGTGCCTCGCTTCGTGATGGAATGACGCAGATCGCTGACCTTTAATGTTTCAAAATATTTGAGCTGATCGTAGATGTTTGCGGCTGCAAAAGAATGTCAAACGTCAGTCCTTGGCTCGAGAATGGGATATGTAGGTCCTGTGCAGAGAAAGCGACCAGCAAGCGTAAGGAATTAAAGCAAGCAACTAATGTGTAAAAGATCGGCTTGCTTCGAGGAGTCGGACTTGATAGAGTCTGAATCGAGGCGTTGCGCCGAGAAATTGTCCAATAATTTTGCCCATGATACTTACCGTGACTTGAAGTAAATATAATTAAGTAACATATCACAGGTAACGACTTCCACGGGAAGACGACCATGCTTCTTGCAGTTCCGATCGAGAAGCACGAAAGTAGGCACTCCCAGGAAGTTTACATAATCCTGGGAAAAAAAATGTTACCGGAAGTTTTGTCGCGAATGCTAACTTGTGGACAGATGCAACTGTCAAGTGTGGACATATGTTTGCGCAACTGCCTTGAAGCAACCAAATGATCGCCGCCATTACAATTTTGTTTTATTTTTTTAGCAAATGCATGTTCTAGATGTGCCCTGCACCGTACGGAGATTTGAATCTGTTCCCACTTTTAACAAAAATTTAACAACCAATGTTTGAAGCACGTTGTCGACAAACTAGACAAAGTAGACAAACTAGCCCGGGCGCAGCCCTACCGATAGGTATGGGCGCGCAACGTTTTTGGGGGCGCACCCGGGCTGTCGTTGTCACTTGGTACTAGACTAACCGATAGGTAGACAACAGGGGCCCGGGCTATCGTGTGCTGTCGTTGTCGCTTGGTTTTTGGTGTAACGCTGGCAAAGCCACGCAAAGGAGCGCCATTTGATATATGTAGCATACTGAGCACGCACCCGCGCTGAGAAGTCTTGTTCCTCTAGCGCCCTGATGATGATATTAAGTGCAGAGAGGGTTTGGGGACCGGGATGTCGTTTGCTGTCGTAACGCAGCAACGTAATCCAGGACAAGTGAAAGCAAGCGAGAAATAGTAAGAAGGGGTAAACATAAAGAAATAGAGAAACAATGCAGAAAAAAAAACAAGAAAAGAAAAAAATAGGGCGTAAGACGGAGTAGGCTGCCCAGGTCGACGCTCCCTTCAGGCGTAGCACCACTTGTGTACTTGTGCAAAGCTACATTAATTCTTTTTTATTAATTTCCCGCAAAGCAAATCAACACGGCGTTGTGGCAACATACAGCAGCCCCCCAATGTATGCTTCTCGAGTTCACTGCAGCGTACTGCATTAAGATTTTTCTTTAGGTGAAAACTGCCACGGAAAAAATCAAGTACTTCGGGAAACGTTCAATGTGTACTAAATACGTGACATGAAAATTCTCTAAAGCAATGAAAAATCATTGGATGGAAGATGGGATTCACTGGAGCCTACAGAGTGTTGCTGGAGCCAGTGCTTCGACAAGTGGTCGTGCTGCCTAGAAGAAGAGATAACCATTTATCAAAACTTAGGCTTCAGTGACACATCATATTCTACAAACTTCACATCACCTCAAGCTTCCATCTTATTCAAAAGTTCCCTGAAGGTCCTCAAGGGGCAGATTCGTTGATATGCTTACATGGCCAAAAGGTGATCAAATTTAGTGTTCGCAACACTGGTGGCTGATAAACATCAGGCACAGTTTGGCGTTGGTCACTTCTGACCTCAACTGAAGCAAACGGCAGCTGCATGGTCATTGCTATTGCTGTTTAAACTAATCAACCCAATTATAGAAAACAGAAAGGAAAAAAAGCACACTACTTCTACTAAGGCTTTCAAGTTACATTTATTGCATTGACCTAAATTTCTTCCGAAGATCAACCAAGAGTCCATCCTAACGGCTTGAAAAGCATCCTGCTGGCTTGACAGTCAGCACCTGCATTTCACAAACAACAAATTATCAAGAGCATCAGAACAGCAGGTATAAACTAAGCATCTATCACAAGGAGAAATTCTATGGTGTTGCCAAAGAGAATAATTTATTTAAAAAAGTTCCTTGAAGGTCGCCTCATTCATAATATGGCCACGACATAATGAATAAACTCACCTTTAGTGTAGCTAGTGGACACATTAGCAGATGTTATATATTGACGCGTATGTACTGGTGGACCAAATCCTCTTATCGTCGTTTTGGTCCAATATATTAAATTGCTATGATGCAAAATGACATTAATGTGCCAGTTTGCCGTGGCTACGAACGAAGCCTCATCACCCTGAATGCCAAGTTCATGCATGAGTAAACAATTGATCACAGCCAAAATTTGGTAAATTGACTTTTCATTCACTGTCACTTCCATTTCCACTTCAATTACTAATAAAATTTATTTCTCCTATGCTTTTCCTGGCTTAATTTCTGTTTCTTTTTTTAAATTTTTTATACAGTTCAATGCACCATGAAATAATGACCTATATTTAAAGAGAGTATGAATTCAATCAGAGTGCAAATTCATACTTGCCTTGAGTGCTCCGACAGGCGATGATATTATGAGCTCTTCTGTAAAAAAACAAACAGAATGGAAGACGACCATTACAACAAGCAACAACCTTCATGATCACTTACAACACTTACGAGGAACTTGCAGCCTACCATAAACAAAAGCACGGCTGCAATTAAGCGTGGAACTGAAGTATTTACCGATTCCGGATCGGCCAGCCTGAAACCGTAATACTGAATGTCACTCACTTGCTGGCCCACTTGGTCGATGGTCTTCGCAGAGAAGTCCGGCAGCTTTGGAAGCTGCACTTTAGAAAACAGGTCGTTCAGGTCATGGCCTGCACGGAAGTTTAAAAAATTCTTATCAGCACATAAATAATAATGAATCAACTGTCCCTGATCAATGCACACTTCCATACATCAGGCAATGCATGACCGATGTATGACAACACATTGGGATGGCTTGTTGGACAAGTTTGTACATATAGTCCATGCTAAGGGAATACCAGCAGCACCAACAGAAAGCAGAAGGAAACGAGAGAAAAAAGAGACAAGAACAAGATGGATCTTAGATGCATCCTGTCCCTTTTTCTTTTATTCTTGTCTTGGTTCCTTCTGCTTCATTTTGGTGCTACTGGTATTCGCTTACCAAGAGTATGACCAAACATCATACGAAAGAGGACAGAAAAAACATGCATTGACAATGCAATGGAACATAAGCTGCCAACAGCCACAGCACAGACTCTAAAGACAGGTAAAAAACCACACATCAATCATTGCATTTGCCTTTGAAAACTCTACGATTGCCTCTTTTTTATCAATAAGATTATGTTCCAATGACAGCACACACGTCATTTGTGTCTTGGAAGTACAGTGCACATGGCAATAAAGCAAGGAAGGGCAAGTAAATAACAATAAAAGGCAGATAACATACTCTTGTGTGGAGCAAATACACCTATAGGGGGTGTACATGTTTTCAGAATGCAGCCAGTTTTACGGCAACTGCTGACACTCATTTTACACCATGAGGATACCCTTTTGATAAGAGAAACAGGCTGCACCCAGAGATGAAGGAAACAGGCTACTCCCCAGCTGTGCTACTTCATATACACCAAAGAAATGGATAAAACGGATGTATTAAAATAATAAACCTTTAGAAGGCAGATATTGTATTTTTGAGCACTTTAAATGAATGCTTTGAATATATTTTCCCTTTTTGCTTACAGTAATACGTCCACCTCATCCTTGCACTCCTGTCATCACCAGTTTCAACCACAGTAGACTTTCAGTAAATGAAAATCTGTTAAATGGAACTACTGCTTAAACGGAACAATTGCCTCTGCAATGCTTAGTTTCGGTCTTGTACTCTGCACCCATATTCACCTCTCAGTAAACGAACTCCAGTTAAGTGGAACACATTTCCCGGTCACTTCAAGTTCCGTTTAGTGAGAGTTTACTGTATTAAGTGATGCAACATGAATACAGAGGGAACATCACAGTTGAATACAAAACAAAGCTATTAATTTGTATATTACATTAGGTGGATCTTAGTAATAATCTTTCATTATCTTTTTCCCACTGAACAAGAATATTTTTCTTGCCTGTGGCCTGTTTCACAGCAGCAGCAGCCTGGTCCCGTGCAACGACCAGGTAGTCCTGGGAGAACTTCTTGGCTTCCTTGGGGTAGCATGCAGCAGCAGCCACAGTAGCCCCCACACTTCCGTAGATCAGCTTCTTGAATATTCCTCCTAGAAAAAAAAAAAAAAAAGAAACACACACACAACTTATGAAAATCAAAGTTAAACATTAGCTTGTGCTCATGCTACCTCCGCTACAAAGGAAGTTTAGCCCTTTCCAGCCCTTAACATCCACACACAATGCTAACCTGTCTGGTCCATAACTTTAAACTTGTTTCAGGGGTCGTGCAAAAACACACTAACATAGGCAGACAGAGAGCAATGTATTAAATTTTTTTCTCCATTACTTTTTATACAAGTTCTTCAAAAATACTTTAAAATTGTGCTGCATTGCTCGGAGGTTTGACTCTGGAGTTTCTGGGACATGTAGACACATGCATTACGGGCTGCTGTGTTTTGTGTTGTCTTCATCAACGTTACTATTCGAGCATTCATGCAATGCACTTTCTTCATCATCAGATAAGCTTTCTGTTCCCTGGAGTCATCATCACTTTCTACAAAGTCAGGAGAACCAGTCCTAGACGGTTCCCACCCACAGACTGCAAAAGGGTTCATGCGCTAAATTTAAAATTATGCAGTACCAGTTGTTCAAAGGTGTTTCTACGGAGACAAGAAAAGAAATTGAATTTTCTGCATAATACAAACTACATTTTAGGAAAACAATAGCAGCATTAATATTTTTACCATATTTAGCCAGTTTATAACTATACCTTTTTCATCAAAAATGGACCTTAATATCACATGCGCATTAGATTCAAGCTGAGACGCTTAAACTGCCCCCTAGCTGTATTTTTGTTTTTGGGTCCTGTAAGTTAGGTCGCGTTGAAACAAGGGGCACCTTGGAATCGGGTAAATACGGTAATTCATGACCTAAAAAGATGGAAATGTGGAGGCACGGCATCCATCAGTAAGGCAGCATAACAAACACAGAAAGAACACTGGTTACTTTAGCAAATGATGGTACTGTAGATACAAAACAGTCTCAGAGTGGAAGCATAACATACAAGTTGTCAGTCATCATAGCCATTCCAATGCAAACTGTGACACTTTACCTCTGGCTCCAAGGAATAATGCCCGTAAGGCCTCCCATGGATATGGCCATGGCTCTGGCTACCATGTTTTCCTCCATCGTCACATACTCATAGCTCGCTGAAAGTGAAAAGTCGACATAAATAAATGTCATTTCTCATCCGCCTCCTGCAAAATCAAAGGAGACAAGTACTCACACTTCGAATGTTCAACAGCAGTTGTGTATATTTCTCCAGCCCTTTCAGTAACTGACTGCAATGAAAGAACACAAAAGAATATTTCAGGCACAACTGGTTTTATCTTGTTGCATGCAAGTTCCACAGAAGAAGCTGTGCTTACTGAAATGTATGGCTGAAATAAAATATGTCAAGACATCTTAGTGTGTAACTACAACTGATGTGAACGTCAGTGGTAGTATTTTGAACAAGACCGCTAGGTATGAAACACCTCGGCAAAACTTACATGCCTAAGTAATGAAAATGCCAGTAATAAATGCATCGACAACAACTTTTTGAAGTCCTCACCTCAACAACACTGTAGTAGGGGCTCACGCTTGTCCTCACGTAACGAACTGCATTTTCAACTTGACCGGGAGGCTCTTCTACAAGCTCGTACTCAACATTTTGCGACGGGCAGCTATACAGCGGCAACTGTAAGAGAATTTAAAAAAAAGGGGGGTTAGCAGTAATGCACGTCTCAATGCACTTGTCAACAGAGGTTGTTTACCCATTACAGTGGCGTGCTTGTGCTGACACATTTACCAACAGAAATAACCGTAGATAATTGCAAAGAAAAAGTGAACGTTACAGAACAACAAACGACTGGAGTTGGTGGAATGATAGTGTGGTGAGCATTCTACGAGCATCAAAACACAGAATATGGTGCATTGCAGTTAGAACGCGCCGTAGTTAAGCTTTAAGTATGTTGTCTCAAAAGACCGTAGGTATTTGCTCGCTTGCTTCAAGAAATGTTTTAACTTATAAAGAAAAAAATCTGGACAAGCGAATGCGGGGAACACCTCAATCACACAAGTGCAGTCATAGCCGATCAGAGTGTGGTGCCTACTTCACTGGGCTTCTTCAACTTCTTTCCACGGCAGCACGGCTTGCAGGCCGGTTTCTTCTCCTCAGCGGGAGCAGCCTCGTGAGCTTTGGCGTCCATAATATTACGAGGCTCGACCGTCCATGAATCTGCGCAGTAGACGTGCATGCGTTTACCAGTGGTATACAAACACGCGTTTTCAAGGGCAAACGGACAAACCGGTTGTCTAATTTAGTTTAGGTCTATATATTGTGAAAGGCGTGTGTACTCTTTTATTTTCATTCGGCAACGTCTGTCTTCAGGGGGCGAACTTCGTTAATTGGCATGTGTAAAGCACGAAAGGTTGACATAACTGAGTGCAAAGAAAAACACGCGGATGCTGCACACAGCTTTGCACGAATGACATCAAGGGTGCGGTCATTTAGGTGGTCAGCCTTATGCAACCAGAAATGATTCAGTGCAGCTGAGACTAAATGGCAAGTAATTGAACCTACAAGAATACACGAAAGGCAGCAGTATTTTAATGCTGCAATCGTACTACTTACGAGAAGCCCGACGCAGAAATCGCCGGCCGAAAGCAGCCCGGAAGGAAACTGAAAATACTCGTGGTGTCGATAACGCTAGGAATGTGTCGTCGCGCGTGTTGGGACCACTTTCGGTTTGCAGCGATCGCGTCGAGTTCGCGCCAGCGTAGACGCGGCGATCGCAATACGAGAAGCGCACTCTCATTATGGCCTGCAGAATTAATATGAGCAAAGAGGTTGGAATAAGGCTGAAGACAATCAGCTGTTCCTTATGCGTGGACCACACATCGCAGGCGAAGCAGGCCGCCAAAAATGATTTTATTGGAAACGTTTCTTTCTTTCGATCTTTCCCTCTAATAAGCTCCCTTGCGAAAGCTCAACTCACAAGAAACGATATTCGCTCATTCAGTCCACCGTTTTGATTGCAGTAGTTTCGATTCATTACGTGCGCGTTCATTTTTGTGCGTGCGCGTGCGTGTGTGTGTGTGCATGTCACACATAGAATCTGCGCGACGAAATTGACAGCTATGCGCTCCAGTTGTGGGCTTAAATGCGAGGAAACACGTCGTTTTTGTTTTTTTTTTCTTCGAGAGAACTATCAGCGTCAAATGAAAGCCGAACAACGGCAAGCAAGTTAGTGATAGTGTAGTGCCCGCCGTCACCATTGACAGGCATGCGCATCATGTCCGGCAGCTCTGCACATATATGCATGCCTGTCCGTAGGGATAAGTGGACGATCGCGAATGATTGATTGATATGTGGGGTTTAACGTCCCAAAACCACCATATGATTATGAGAGACGCCGTAGTAGAGGGCTCCGGAAATTTCGACCACCTGGGGTTCTTTAACGTGCACCCAAATCTAACAACACGGGCCTACAACATTTCCGCCTCCATCAGAAATGCAGCCGCCGCAGCCGGGAATCGAACCCGCGACCAGCGGGTCAGCAGCCGAGTACCTTAGCCACTAGATCACCGCGGCGGGGCGAATATTTCGCGAATATTTCGCAAATATCGGGAATATTTGCCGCTGTTTGCGTTTCATTTGACGCTGATAGTATATTTCGCCAATTAAGTTTGATCGCCCAGGTATCGAAATTCATGGCACCCTCCATCAGTAAAGTGATTACTTCAAAAGCTAACAAATAACCCTTAAGACCTAATACAAAAGCCTTGCACCATTTTGTCTCTCAAATAATCAAAGGGTCTCTCTACGGCCTTTGTATCGCACTCCTCATTCTCCGGTAGCAATTAAGCTCCTTTGCAATACATTAAAGTGTGAGGTGAAGCCCCCGTTAGTGCTTCCCCTTTAGGATTTTTTTTTTAGAAAGCTGCGCTATTGTCATTAATAATTGCTCGAAACGCATTGAAGCACGCAATACGTTTATGCCAGCATACTTTACAAAGCAACAAAGATTATTAATGTGCCAGTTTGTTTGTGGCTGGTGCTTCAAAGCAAGTCATGAAAGACCTAAATGATGAAATGACAAATCAATCATCAGTGCTGATCATGTTTATATTCGTTTAGGTATACCCAGACAGGTCTTTTGTTGAAGCGGGACGGCGAAAAGTAGCCATACATGTGCGTTTCTTTTTTTTTTTATGATCACGTGTTGTATAACGTGGTCTATCCTCTTTCTTGTCTATTTCGCCTTGTCGCTCTTTTCTCTTATAACATCTGTGCAACTCCAGATTTTATCAATCTCTTAATTTTTTTCCTATTCTTTTTCTATGAATGTCTCTTTGACTTCCCGACCGATTATACCATTGAATATTTCCGTCTACATTGGATCCAAGACTCAAATGCCCATCTAACATCCGTAAAGTAGCGTTCTTAACATTTCCACGTTTACCACTCCCATATGCTCTTCCCGCCGTGAATACTTAATCCGCATGGTAGAGTTTATCCAAAATCAAGCTACTCGACTTATTTCTCATGAATATAACTACCAGTCAAGCATGACACAAATAATACAACATTTACCTTCAGACTTTTGATAGTCGACATGATAACACTCTCGTCCTTGTTCCATAGATATGTTTATCGAACGAAGCCATGAAACTTGCCGTTGGTACGCGCAAACTGTACATCCCGATGTCTTCACAACGACTCATGGTATCTATACTCATCTATAGTAACGTATAACTCATCTATAGTAAGAGGGAGAGAGAATAAAATGAGGGAAAGGCAGAGAAGTTAACTAGGAAATGGAGCATCCGGTTTGCTACCCTGCACTAGGGGAAGGGGGAATGGGGAAGAAAAATGGGAAAGAAAGCGAAGAGGGAAATAGGATAGTAATAGAAATAGGATCTATAGTAAGGTATCGACTCATATATAGTAACTCTGGCGCATTTAACTCCTCGGCCTTGCCACGAGCTGCTCGGTTATGAAATACGCACCTGTCGCACAACGAAATAAAGGTAAATTTAGAGTTCTCATCGTAACAAATATTCGCATTCATCAAGTTAGACATTCCTTTGTAAGGCTTCAGTTTGTTTGTTTCCTTAAAGTATGGCAGATACCCACTCTGGTGGACAGGCCAGGAAAGCGTAGAACACTTTTTCTATGAGCATTACAGCTATGTTTAATAATGGATTCATATTAAAATACAGGTAATGCCAGAAAAATCGTATAGCGTACACGCGAACATTCTTTTTCTTTTTCGTGATTGTGAGGAATGTGCCTAGTGATGCGGTATACCATGAAATTGCCTTTCTTTTTCTTTTCAATTGGGTGTTTCCCAGTACATCTGTTGCATCGTTATTTTAATTTTAGCCCTGCTTCGCGGACGGTCTTCTGTAGTTTGTGCTCTGTTCCTTGATTGTGTGCTCAAGCTATGTGCATTTTTTAGTTTCTTTTTACGGGACCAATGCACCACTCATTTGGCATTATTTTCTCATAGCTTTTTTTAGTATTCTTAGTACTTTTGTCATTTATTTATATATTGTTACATTGCATTGCCAGTATATTATAATTGTGCTCACTTTTCACACTAATGTTTCAATCAATTTCTTTTGTTCGCTCTTGTTCTGTTATGCTTCCCTTGTTAGATACCTTTAAAAAATAAATTATATATATATTGCTACGATACTGAGGGGGCGCGTGGAATAAGAGGAGAACGAGGTTGGCACGAGCGGTGATCGGCCAGATCCCCGGACTAACAGCATCTCCGTTGTGTCTCTTTTGCAAGGAATCGGAATCAATAGATCATTTCTTTTTATCCTGTCAACGTTATGCTTATCAAAGGAAAAGATACCTGGTCGAACCAATTGAGAAGCTAGGTTTAAAAATAAACGTGGAACTAATTTTATCCTTCGGAGGGATTACATTAGGTTATAGCCACAGGGAAGTTTAATCTGCTGTGTGCGAGTACATAAGGGCAACAAAGAGATTACCCTGTTAGCCTATGTCACAGAACGAGCGCTCAAAAAGGGCGCGCCGCCGAATTCCCGCGACGAAACGCCGGAGTGACGCCGCGAGGTCAAAAGAAAAAGAGAAAAAAAGAAAACAAGCTCCCCGGGCACGCTCCCTCTCCTCACGGAAGCGTGGCTTCGCCGACGAACCTCCTCACCCCACATCGGCGGCCGAGCACTCGAAATTTCTAGAAGGAAATAGGCATGGTGGTGCCGGGTTGAGTCATCTGTCGCGGACGGCCCTCGCATCGTCTCGACCTTCTCCCCAGCCTTCGCTGCGTATCGCGCCGACGAAATGACGAGAACTTTCTGGAATGTCGCGCGGAAGGTATTTAATCGAGCAGCCGAGATGAGAGATCAGGAGAAGACGGAAGTTAGCGCCAGTGCGCGTAGGGTATCCCGCCGTGTAGTCGGCGAAGGTTTTGTCCGTAGGGACAAAGCAGGAGAAGACGTGAGGTTTCCTGGAAGAGAAACTTCGAAGGAGAAGGCGGAAGCTAGCGCCAGAGCGCGCAGTGGATTCCGCCGTGTAGTCGGCGAAGGTTTTGTCCGTAGGGACAAGGCAGGAGAAGAAGAGGATTTCCACCTGAGGGGTGAAGGCTCGAGCTACAGGCAAGAGCGTGTGTCTACCGCTATCGAGCGAAGACGCGTGGCAACAGCTGCGTGTGTGAAGCCGACGTGTTTCCGGCGAAGAAGTTTGAAGCTTGGAGAGTGGCCAATTGAAGACGCGAGGTTTCCTGGAAGAGAAACTTCGGCGAGGTTTCCTGGAAGAGAAACTTCGGGGGCTGCGGAACGACAACAACGCTGGACTTTGAGTGAGTGATTCTCGGAAGAGTATCATCCAGACTTTTGTTCCAAGAACTTTGGACTGAATAGGTTTTCTATCTCTTTAGTCTTTAAGTGTCTTGGTTGTTCAATGCATGCGACTGCATTGTAGTGCGTATTGTTGTCTGTGTCCGTTGTTTCAAGTGTGGCTGATTGTACTGTGTAGTACGTTGTTTGATTGGTGACACATTGTATGCAACTATTGTGGAGTGTGCATTCTTGTGTATTGTTTTCGGTCTGCCATTATCGAGAATATAATTTTGTTTGTTTATCAACTCTCGGCTCTGACTTGTTCTTTGGGCCACAGCCGGCGTCCGCTGGCGCGCCAAAAAGGACCACTTCTAAATTGTCCACGCTTTCGTGGTGCGGTTCGGGGGGCCGATACTTCGGCCCTTGGAATTAGCCCGGCGATCGCCTCCCTAATTAACGGGACCTGTGTGACAGCCTATTGTTATTATTTACGGCTACGAGACTACCTGAATGCCTGACTTAGCACACTTGATGATCCTGGCGCCCGGTTCTTGGCCGATCCCCCTTTGTGGGCGAGTGCCAGCAAAGCTGAAGGTTCATCATCATCATCATCATCATCATCATCATCATCATCATCATCATCATCCCTGGACTTTCGCATTCTTCATCTCCTGTAAATAAAGGCATCTCACCGTAACAAGATTGGTGGAAGGTGCGGGGTACAGCGGAGCGATCCCAAGCGAACGATCACGGAAGCGCTACCTCGAGAACTACGCCGAAGCCGCCGACTGGCTGGTCTACCACCGCTCTCTATGGATCCGATTGCTGACGGCGACACCACGCATTCTTCGTGTGGCGCTACGTGGCCCCGACACATAGTA